TAAAATTAAAAAAAAAGTTTGCAATTTATAGTTAACTGTATTTGTGTGTTAGGCATTAAATTATTTATGTTGTTAGAATTCATGAATTTTGAGAAGGTAAAAATACCTTTTTCTAACTTAATTATACAACATTATCCCATATTTTATAGATCTATGACAGATGTCTTAAAAAGAAAAAATAACTTCTATTGATAACATTTAATTGTCTCAATATAATCCTTCCTATTCAGACTATCCAATATGAAGGATATTGGCGTGATCCAGGTGAGCCTCCCACGGATTCTCATCCTACCCGCTGGGATCAAATACAAGGGATGATCTGAGATTTTGACATCCCCCTCAGCTGGAGACCAGCTTGCAATACTCGCTCAAGAGTAGACTGCATTGGTTATGGATAGGATATCCAACTACAAAGAAATGCCTGGCAATGAAGCCGATGATGGAAAACTATCCCAAAATTCGACAATTAAGCCGGTTGTGGAAACTTGTAATTCCTCATAAATTACAGCAATGAGGCGTAGTGCAACCTGATATTTTCATGTCTCCAGCAATGAAGGCGGTAGTGGAACCCTTATTTCTCAGATCCGGCAATGGAAGGCGTGGTGTGATATTAGTAGCATTAAAGTGCTGATTTGATCAGCAATAAAGAGCTGATCTTGATCATGTCAGCAATAAAGGTTGATTTGCTTGTATAGCATAAAGGCTGATTTACTTGTATAACAGCAATAAAGGCTTATTTTGATCAGACCAATAAAGCTGTGATTTGATCATGCAGCAATAAAGACTGATTTGCTTGTATCAGCAATAAAAGGGCTGATTTTGATCAGAATTAAGGCTTGATTTGTTTATACCAGCAATAAAGACTGATTTTTATTATACCAGCAATAAAGGCTGATCTTTGATTATGTTCAAACAATAAAAGGTCGATATTCTCTCCCTTTTGTTGCTTGTTGAAATAACGATTGGTCTTTATGACTTGGACGGGTAGCTACGCAAGCAGAAGGTCTGTTTAGAAAATCAAAGGCCACCCCATCCATTGGAGGACGGCTTCAGAGCCAATTCATTGGAAGTTGCTGTAGGTGGTGACACAGAGGAGCTCGAAACTCTTTTCGAAAATTTGAAACTCTAACGAAGACGGGAAGATCTCGTCATTGGGCTAGGCGCCATCTTTCGATAGCCTATGGCACACGGCGTCAGCTGTGGTGCTCGCTCAAAGTGTATGAGCGAGGTCGATTGCCGAACCAGTGATGGCTTCATCGTCTTGAGGAGTTTGTGGATATGAATACTAGCAAGGTCGATTCCATAGTAGCGCTCGAGGATCTCCCCGCGCTTTCTTGTCTATCGATCTTGATCGCAACGGATCGTTATCAGGGAGGAGGTTCGCACGCGTTTGATGCACGGCCTCGGAGACAGGGGTTTGTCGCGCAGTGCTGGAAGATGACAGATTGGCGGTCGATCAGGAGGCAACGACTTCGTTGACTTACGTAAGGAGGTGCGTCGCTTCTTCGGATCCTTCGGGGTTCGACTACACTGCTTCGATGACTTTCCCTTCCGGTTCAGATCGAAAGGTTTCGCCTTCGCTCGTTTGTGCGTTGTATCGACTATCCTCTTCGACGTCTCTCCTGTTCGGGCTTTGGGGCTTCATTAGAGGCGCTTCTTTGGCTCCTTTCGTTGAATGTTCTGTCTACGCTCGCGCAAGTTCGAAACCTCTGCGACGCCGGTGTTTAGCGGAATCAGAGCTTCAGTCGATGGGTTTTTTCCTGGTTGCGCTGGCGTCATTGAAAGGATCCGCGGCTTCTGATGCAGCGTCAAGAAGCTCTGGAACATTCGGCAATGAAGGCCACCAGATTTCTTTGGCTCTGATACCATGTTAGGAATTTCATAGAATTTGGAGAAGGTAAAATACTTCTACTTATATACAACATTATCCCTATTTATAGATCTATTACAAGATGTCTTAATAAAGGAAATAAATAACTATCTAATGATACATTTAATTGTTCTCAATTAATCCTTCCTAATTCAGCTATCCAAATATAGAAGGATATTGGCAGTTAGATCCAGGTGAGCCTCCACGGATTCTATCCTGACGTCGGGATCAAATTACAAAGGGATGACTGAAGATTCTTTTGACATATGTCAAAGTGAGCATAACAAATTTAAAAATATTAAATGAAACTATGACCAAAACCAACAAAAATATATTAAGAAATGGATAGGCAATTAGAAATACACTTGAGAGATTTGCACATGAATAATGAGTAGTAGAAATCCCCAATAAAGACGGGCATATTAAAGCTTTATGATGAAAAACTTAGAGGAGGAAATATTATACCTAAAATAACAATTGTAGTTATTCAAAAATAATTTATTAAGAAGCAATGTTAATATACCCATACATACTCAACAAGATTGAAACGAAATGAGGTTCAAAAAGACAACCCCAATAGTTGGCATAAAGGGAAAGAGATGAGATGAATTTGTGGTGACTTCATCATTCATGATATTTATGACATATTGTATATATTGATGTCATTAAATCCAATGATCTCAACACTCATATGTGAATCATTGTCGGTTTCAATGTAGCATGGAAAATAATAAATTTCTATTGAAAAGTTAAGGACTTATATCTCTTTTTTATGCACACTTTTTCTACTATCAATTCCACAACGAGTGTCCTATATTAGTGATAATGAAGTTTTAATGTCCAATATACAGATGGTAAATCCCTCTAGTTTTAAATCATCAATGGCAAATGTTGAAACTACAATAAACTCCTTCAAATGTTACTCTCAACAATACAATTGATAGAGAAAAGCATTAACATGTTATTCAAATAGGGATTTTAACGGTTAAAATGAAATCATAGAGTGTAAAGAAGTCACTGTGGTGTAAGATCAGATATAGGCAAATTGCCGTAATGCAGTTCACAAGATTATCCAAATTCTGCAAAAAAGCAAATTTTTGTGGATGGTTTGAGTGATATTTTACTGCTCTCCACAATAATTTGATGAAGTATGTCAACCACTTAAAATCATGAGGCATGCCAGCAAACCATTCTTAGTTGTTTTTTCTTCCCGGATGTCAATTGCAAAAACAACTGACATGTTGATTCTAGATACTGCCAATTGGAAGTGATATTGTCCATAGTCACAGTAGAAGTGATAATGCAAATGACATATATTCCCTTTCAAATATGAGGACTACCTAATACAGGAATTTCTAATAACCTACCAAACTTTTCAATGATTAAGTGACGGAAAGAAATGTTGATAATACTAGATTAATAATATGCCCTAAAAGAAGCTGAACTGCAAGTTCACCAACGAGTGCTCTAAACTTATGAATCGATCATGATGAGGGTAACCTATGTACTTCCAAAGTAAAAAACATTAAGTCCACAAAACTTCTTAGAACTCATCTTTTGACATCACATTTTGGCATAATTTAAGCCACACTTCTTTGAAAATGATGCTATAGATAGTCACAAATCGACTAATTAAGGAGCTTTTGGGGAGAAACATTTTCACCGCTTCGTTTTTCAAATTGCTATCACCACTTTTTTTTGCTAGTGCTCAAAATTTTTGTCGGTTTGAAGCTTCTTCTTTATAACCAGATCTACTAATGTCTAGTAGATAATTGTAAGAAATTTGTTGTAATATATTTTTTCAAAAAAAAAGAAAACATATTTATAATTACCACAATAACTTTCAAAAAATATTTTCTTCACAACAATTTTAAAACCACTTTTTACAAAACAGATTTTAAAATTCACTTTTCACAAAAATGTGCAGCCACCCCCAAATTAGATCAAAAGAGCACACAACTTAATTTTGTGAACCATACGAAATTTCTTAAAATCTTCTGCAATACTTCAATTGAAGGAATATTTCTCACGTTACATTTCCCATTAATAATAACAGGATGCTTAAAAAACGTTATCATCCTCCCTATAAACGGGCATGGGATAGAATTTTCTCAATAAGAAAAATTACCGTACAGAAGAAAACTACTAGCACTATTGGGTCCCAATAGCTTTTTAGTTCTCATGGAAAAAAATTATAAATAGTGTATTTGGACCTGCAAATACTTTCATGACGCGACCTTCATCGTAACTACCTCTTAAAAGAGAAGATCTGTTATGGCATACACATAATCTCCATTCCATCTTTGGGCACATCTCAAGTATGAATTCTATGCTACGAGAAAAGAAATGATGCTTACATTATATTTCAGTAATTTTACAAAAAAAATTAAAGGAAAAAACGAAGAATGAAATAGCGTTCAAAATACTCCTTGAAAAAACATAAATATTCCAAGGGATGAACTCCAATAATAGCTCAATTACAACCCCCATCCAAAAATAGCAGAAAATTATTAATCATGTTATTGAAACATAACATGTCATACTGTTGGTACAATCTTAGTAAATCATTGCAAGGTAGCAATAAAATAAATGGGACTAAATGTATTTTAACTTAACGATAAACACATTCAATTTCTGACAAAGAAGAAAAGAGTCAAAGGTATCAAATAGGAACTGAGATGTATTTCCATGATACAAATAAGACCTCAACCAATAGTCATTAGCTCAGCCTCATTTTGGTTGATATGAATTTTCAGTTATTGGTATTAAAATGTTGAAAAATTAACTAGGTGACATTAAAGTATGCTATCTTGAATTGCAGTAGCAAGTCATTTCCAATCAAGAATGATTTTTGCAACACATTTACAAAATCTAAAAAAATAATACAATGTCAACAGTGTCAAAGCTTAGCCAACGTCAATGCTAAGATCATCTAGGAAGGAAACACGCTGCAGAGATTTTAACCACTCCAATTATTCTAAAAAATAACATGATCAAAATAACTGTCAACTATTAGAGCATTACCTCTTTTATATAACATCAATAAACACCACTGTTTTTCCCACATGTGACAAACACCTTTTAAAAAACAGCCAACAGCAAAAGGACGGTTCTTTCACAAACTAGCCGGCAAAAAAAAAAAAGAATTTCAATTGCACTGTGTTAAAGCCAAATAAAAAAGATTTAGTCCTATCATTGCAAAAGATGATTAGTAATTAGACATCTTCAAACTTAAAAAGGAAAAAAAAATATGGCATTCCAAATAAAAACTGTATAATCCACGCTAGCTTTTTAAACCCATGCATTACAAAAAACAGGTTGGCACTTTCTATTAAATGAGTTCTCATTGCATATCATCAAAATGAGAAATATTTAATGCCTTCGTTTAATAATTTTTTTTAAACAAGTAAAAATCTATAAACATTTTTTTGGTTTTTGAGAACAGAGGCAGCAAAAAGGCCTTAAAAGAATAAATCTCCCTCATTCACAGCACATGCACACTAAAGTTTTGCCAAAAGAAAATAAAATGACAGATATTTCAGCTCTTCCATCAAAGAAAAAAATATCAGGGAAATAAATGGACATACTATTTCTCCTGAGATAAGGATTACTGGCAAGCTCATTGCTATGAGCCTTAATTGCAGTCTAAGAAAATCTCTATAAATTGTCTAAAAAAGACACAAGAAGGCTCTGTTCTTCAATTTCAACAATACTCTATCAACGAAAAAAGACACAATAAGGGATCTGCCAATCCTATATATTTACTATGCCACACATTACTAAATATTACCAACCAGAACTTAAAATCATATCAGTCTAAGCCAACATATCAAAAAATAAACTGTATATAGAATATAACTTGGTATATAAAAATAAATGTCACATTGTTTCCTTTCACGTACTCTTTCCTGACGCCAAAAAAAAAATAATGATGCAATAGTAAGCAAAATATAAATTATTAAATCAATCTATAATAATTGCAATACAAGCAGCACCTAAAAACAATGCCACACCTGTGAGCTCTTGACCTCAGACTTGAACTTGGAGAGTTAGCATCTTGAGCCATCTCACTCTGCAAATCAAAAAATTCACTCACACCATGCATAAAAACTATTCCTCCCCACAAGAAAACTATAAAAAATGAATATCAATAAAAGAAACCAAAAATGCACCATTCTGCATCTGCACATTAGACCACAAGATGACTGCGACACATTCTCAACTACATTTTAGAACTGTCTGTGATAAGCCGAGTAATCGCTTCGGCCTGATTGGACGGCACCACCCCTGCCCCTCCAACCTTCTCACCTGCCAACAAATCAAGCAAAATGAGCATAATCCCTCTCCATAAAGGCATTAATCAGACACCCGACCTTGACAATAAACTCCATTAAAAGAGAGAGAGAGCAAATAAAACAGGAAAACTCACCAGTCCCAGGGTATCCACAGAAACGCACGCTTCCCATTTCCTTTCGACTTGGCCAGTTCCGACACTCGCGGATTGATTACTCGAGGATGCCACGCCATCATCCTCTCCCGACGAGGCAATCACTGCGCGCCATCCAAATCTCCTTTTAAGCACATTTAAGGGGGCTGGATTTGGGCAACAGGATATTATTGCTAAATTCGCCAAACGGGATTTTGAGCACCCAGATATAAATCCTCCATTGCCCAATATTTGCATAAATCCCGGATTTCATTAAACCTGTAGTTCGGCGATTTACTAGCGGATTTGGCCGAAGAAGCCGCGCGAAAAGGGATAAAGTTGGTACATTCGCATACGAGCAAAGCTCCCGTCGTGACTTCCGACCGACGTCGTCGAAGGAGGCGAAGAAGCTTCTTTAGCGGCTCTTTCAAACCACACCCGCTTTGCAGCGGAGCCTTTTCAAAATCTCACGTGAGACCGCGAGGAGCCGAAGCAGGCGCTGAAGAATGGCGTGAGTGGTAAAGCAACAGTATCGAAGAAATGGAGACGATGAAAAAGGCAAACCCTGATTAATTAATTAATTATAATTATAAAATAAATAAATAGTTTTAATTTAATATAATAAAAAATATAAATAATTATTATATATTAACAATATAAATAATAATTAAACAATTAATTAAGTTAGTAAAATATTTACATATTTAATTGAGATAATTAATTATTAAAATATTTAAAGAATTACTTTAAAAATAAATTAAGATCATCAATATAAGGAGTATTAGTTAATAAGTTATTTTAAAAAAATAATTAACTAATTAATTAGCAAATTTAATTAAAATTTTATTCTCTCTTTCTATAGATTGAGTGGAATTATTGGGTCAGCATTCGAACACAGCTTACCATTTCGATATTCATTAGTACTGAAACAGTATTGAGCTCTGGTACTGATGAAGTACTAGTACCGAGCTAGTATCTGCAACAGTTCTGAGCTCGGTACTATTGGTACTGCTCAGTACTGTTAGGAGGTGGTGTGGCGCATTTTCATTGGGGCTCCGAACACGTCCAGGTGACTTGACCCATAATTTCCCCAGATACTTGAGGAGGCTACAGTTGTCGTGCTGTGGAAAAATTTTATTTCCGATGGTCCGTAGTCCCCATATATATCTAAAGAAAAGCTTTTTCTTTTGTAAGTTAGCATTTATATCTCTCTTTATATTCAAAAATTACATAACTATGATTATTATTTTAGAAATATGCTCAAAATTTTATCTGGTTAAAACCTATCTCTAACTATCTAATATTTCAATGTATGTGAGAGGAGATACAACAATTGTTTTATTTGGGTATTTCTTCATTCATATTCGTGTATTTGTTATACCTCGTCTAAGTTCTTCACATACGAGAGATTTCGTAATCTTCTTCATTCATGTTAAGCATTAATTAGTACTATTTTTTTGGTTTTATTATATATTCTGGATATAGGTCATTTTAACGAAGATCTAACATAGAAGCTAAAATGAGTGTCAAAAGTTTTTTAATTAATTTTACACTGCAAATGATATTTTTTTAAATATTTTATTAGATAATTTACGTCATAATTTACCATAAAAAATAAATGTTCACAAATTTTTTTTTAAAGTTTATTAACATGTTATTCAATTTGGAAGACCATTAGCGCTTGTAAAATGTTATATTCACATACATAATTTAAAAGAATTATATTTTGTTATAATTTCAAATGATAAAATAAGAATATATACATATGAAATATATAAAATATTGTATTGAAATATAAAATCAAGAAATTTAGTTAAATATTTATAGAAGCGTTACTAATATCACTTGTTACAATTTTAAACGGACGTTTTAGCATAATTTTTTTTACCTTGAGCTAAATTTTGGAGGAAATTATTCTGTGGAGACCGGATACAGACTTTTATTCGGAGATCAATCAGAATGTGTCACGTCAATGATATCTAACTACGGTACCGACGAAGGAATTAGCATTGATGCATTTTAATTAGCCTACAGACGCGAGTTTCAACATCTATACAGAATAATTTATCCCATAACTTGGATATAAAACCTATCAACAGTAATCTTAAAAGTTAAAAGCTTGTGATATCTTATGGTTGGTTAATACTAATGTGCTCTCTCCACATTTGGGCCTATAATTTAACAATTTTAGCATTAGTTGTGTGATTGGAGCTTGAGCTCTTTTGATCACCTTTAACAGGTTCGAACATATGGAGAAATTATCGTGCGAAAACCAGACGCCCAACATCATATGAAGACCAATCAAAATGCGCCACGTTACAACAAGTACCGAGCCGTCGGGTACCAAGCAGTAACTGAGCACAGTACCCAACAGGGTGATGTAGCACATTCTGGTTGGTCTCTCAGTGATGTTTGCATTCGGCACCATAATAATAATCTCGAACATGGGAGTATTTGTAGGCTTTTGAGTCATGGCACTTTCTAAGTTTTGTTAAATTGGGCCATCTCATGGGTTCCATTTTGATGTTAGATGAAAGGAGGAATTATCTAACTGACAGGCCAAGCTACTTAGATCAAATTGCTCATAAGTAGATGTGGACTTAAGGATGGTGTAGATTGGATGCTTAGGAGTTCAAAACGCTTAAGAATATTAACATTGATGAGAGAAGGGTTATGCAGAACTCAGTTGATGTATCAATTACTTGCTTTCTCCTGAAGTGCTGTATTCAAAAATGCTTATTCCCTTTAAAAAGTTAATACTGTCATTAGCCAATAAAATACCTTACAGATTGAGCAATCATTATATTACTATTTATCATTATTCTTATTTATCTTCAAATGAGACTGTATGAAAACTACTTTCTGATATAGAACATGATGCCGGAAGAAGAGATGTATTTTCATGCGGAGATCGGACACACAAAAAATTGTTCGGGTGTGTTTTCTATGAACATAAAAGCGCAGTGGTGAACAGTAAAAACGTAGTTAACTACCTTCTATTGTTCAATAGAGACAAAAACCGGACGATTTTCTGTGTCCGATCTCTGCACATAATAATTTCTATATCGGAATACCAAAAGAGACCAAAAAGAATTTTAAAAAAGAACGAAGAGAATTTCCCTTGAGCTTATCGATACAAAATTAAATGAACCTGATGTACAACTTCAAACAGTTTAAACTTCCAAGAGCTGATCGATAATGGCACTATTACCAGTGAAGAATTGACAACACGATTAGCTTCACCCTGCATTGCACAGAGCTCACTAATTTTTACACTGCAATCAAGGCAAAAGGAACAAATTGAAGATGGAAAATTATGAATTGAAGCACTTTGATCTGTATGGAATTATTCTTGGTTTCATTAGACAAGCCAAATATATAAATAGTTCACTTTTACCGTGTAAATTGTAATAGTTCATTACTTGTCTATGAAAAAAATAACTCTGCTATTTAATAGAGCCCTATACGTCTGTCATCTATAAAATATGATTTTACTCCTTTCTCTTTACATTCGTCTTGTCCTTTAGTTATTCTTGTTCGGTTCTATCCATGGCCGAAGCTTTCATTTGGTATCAGAGAGGAAACCAACTGATCTAAGCGGCATCCCCTCTGTTCTCGCTTTCCTCCAACGGTTAGAAATGGCAAACTTCCTCCTCCTCCCCTGCCGCCACCACAATCGATCTCCTGCCCGCCTCATCCGGCAATAGTTCCGAAAATCAAACATACATCAGAATAGCGCCAAAAAACACTCAAAATTCTTTGATGAGCCCATATCAAAGCGCGTCATCTCCCTCACCCTCACCGCCGAAACTTTCCTCTATGGCGTTCACAGTTTTCAAGCTCTTCAAGGCCACGGCTTCGAAGGGCTTTCTTGACGGGCAGCTGCCACCTGTCCTCACCTCTTCATAACAACTTTCCGCAAACGAAAAATCTCATTGCCAACTTGGAATCTCCTGGATCAAAAATCTTGTGCCTGCCCTCTACTCAGTGATCCTCACCAAGTATTCCTTCCTATGTCCTATCTGGACCACTTGCGCTGAAATCTGGGACACGATCAATCGCCGCCTCCAGTCCAATACCTCGCTCTCGGCACCATCTCAGCTGCGAAAACGAGCTTCATCATCTTTCTCATGAAAAAATCAGTCCATGTCGCAAACCTGCTCGCTATCAAATCTATTGTGCGACAGCCTCGCCGCCACCGGTGTCTCCTTTGGATCCTGAGGAGGTCTCTTATCACGCTAAAATGGTCTTGCTCCTCAATACCAGGCACTCAAGATGGCCATTTCGAACAAACTTCACAATCCAATCGTCTGGATGATCTTTATCACGCGCCCTGTTGCAAGTGAGAAAATTGATATGGCCAGAAACCACAACCGCGGCTTCACAATCTACTCATCACTGGACCAGCTACGGCTCTCGCGGCATATCGCGGGCGCGGGGCGCGGACGCAACAATGCCTGGTCGCGGCCGGTCATCCAACGCTTCCAGGAAGGAAAACCGAACAGAGAAGAACGCCTCAAACAACATCACCCTGTCAAATTTGTTTCAAAACAGGACACCAGCCATCAAATGCTGGTGGTATCGCATGACCAATCATTACACGGAAGACACTGCCTAAGACTGCGCTATTCACTCCATCAGGACATCAAAACACCCACCCTCAGACTGGTTTTTTGATAGGCGGCGGTCGAACCACCGCCACGTCTAACATTTCAATCATCCATCCACGCAAACAGATTCAGAGCAAATCAGCAAATCCACCCTTGGAATGGCTATCAACCTTCCTATTCACAATTCAGGCAAACCGGCTATCCCTTACCAACCCCAACAGGTACTCTCTATCTCCAAAACCTTCTACACGCTTCAAATCTATTCTTTTAATTCTCATACTCCATCTATCGACTAACAATGACAACAAGTGCACAGTACAAGTTTTCGGCCTAATGACTTCTGGCATTCAGGACTCAAAGACGGGTCAAATTCTACTTCGGGGCCCCTGTTTTAACAGGTCTCATTACCCCGTTTCGCTCAACTGCTACCACCGCTAACCTTGCTCTTTTTCAGCTCAAGAACGTTCAATAATCTTTGGCATAGGCGTTTCTCAGTCAAACCGGCCCTTCAGACGTTTAGCAAACAGCTAGACATCTATATATCCTGCCAATTTGTAAATTTCTATCACAATAACCAATTGTAACGCCATGTAATGTGGGCCAAAGCGCGGTTACCATTTACTCCTCAACTAACAATTACTTCTCATTTGCTTCGATCTTCGTTCACATCGACATCTGGGGGCCTTCACGGCCACCTCCACGCACAGGCTATAAGTATTACGATTGCGTTTATTGACAGATTACTCGAAATTTTCTTTGGATTTTTCCCTTATAATTCACAAGTCAGATGTTTTTACCACTGTTTATTTACTTCTTCACCAAATGATCAATTACCAATTAACAAATCTATAAAACATCTTTCGATCCGATGGTGCGAGGTGAGTCATTAATAGCAAGTTCCAACCAATTATTTCAAGAATCTTGGCTCCTTCATCAGTATCTTGCCCGTACACACCGGCTCAAAAAATGGAGTCGCAGAAAGAAAACATAGGACATCGTTGAAACCATGCGCGCATCCTATCTTGACGGCCAACCTTCCAGTCATAACTATGGGTATGAAGCCATGAACGCCTCGGTTATCATATCAACAAAAACTACCGTCTAGAGCTTCTTCAGAACCAAAGTCATTATCAGATATTAATACCAAAACCGCCAGCCTTATAATCATCTCAAGATCTTCGGTGGTCTCTGCTACCCTGGCTTCGACCCTACAGCAATCCAGCTCTCGCCGTCTCCCATTCCCGTGCGTCTTATAAGGCTATGCATGGTCAACAAAGGTTACCGCTCCTCGATCCAAAAACAGGCAAGCTCATTCCAGGATGTCATCTTTAATGAGGCTATTTTTCCTACCATCACTGATTTCGGCCCTTCACCAATCCTCCTCAAACAATTGTCCCACTCTTTACTCCTTTATACCACAATAAATCAGCCTCCCAACCTCTCAGCTCAATCAGCCACACCCACCTCGGCAATCTTGCCCTTTCCTAAACTCAGGTCCTCACTCCAACCACCGACATCCACTCGACCATTCAATCCAACAGACCTGACTCAAATTGTCCTTACCTATTTCCAAATACTACTGCCATTCCAAGCACCCTTACCTTCTCTCTCTTAAAAAATATAAATATTTAATGAGATAATTAATTATTAAAATATTTAAAGAATACTTTAAAAATAAATTAAATCATTATAAGGAGTATTAGTTAATAAGTTATTTTAAAAAATAATTACCTAATTAATTAGAAAATTATTAAAATTTTATTCTCTCTTTCTTAGATTGAGGTGGAATTATTGGGTCAGGTAAATATTTAATGAGATAATTAATTATTAAAATATTTAAAGAATACTTTAAAAATAAATTAAATCATTATAAGGAGTATTAGTTAATAAGTTATTTTAAAAAATAATTACCTAATTAATTAGAAAATTATTAAAATTTTATTCTCTCTTTCTTAGATTGAGGTGGAATTATTGGGTCAGGTCATCAAATACAGCTTACGTTCGATATTCATAGTACTGAGAGTACTGAGCAGTATTGAGCTCAGTACTGTGACGTACTAAGTACCAAGCAGTACTGAGCTCGGTACTGAGCAGTTCTAAGCTCGATACTATTCGGTACTGCTCAGTACCGAGAAGGAGGTGATGTGGCGCATTTTTATTGGGCTCCAAACATGTCTGATGACCTGACCCAATAATTTCCCCAGATTGAGGAGGCTACAGTGTCGTGCTGTGAAAATTTTATTTCCGAATGTTCCGTAGTCCCCATATATACCTAAAGAGAACCTTTTTCTTTTGTAAGTTTAGCTTTACATCTCTCTTTATATTCAAAATTAAATAACTATGTTTGACATTTTTAGAAATATGCTCAAAATTTTTATTCGGGTTAAAATATCTCTAGCTATACTCATTTAGAACTGTCTTTATATTCTATACTCGTCTAAATTTCTTCACTTAAGAGAGATTTCGTAATTTCTTCATTCATGTTAAGCATAATTAGTACTATTTTTTTTAGTTTTTATTATATAATGTGGATTAGGTCATTTTAACGAAGATCTAGCATAGAGCTAAAATGAGTGTCAAACAATTTTTAATTAATTTTACATGCAAATGATATTTTTTAAATATTTTATTAGATAATTTTACAGCATAATTTCCATAAAAAATAAATGTTCGCAAATTTTAAAGTTAAATTAAAATGTTTCAAATTTTGAAGGCATTAGCGCTTGTTTCACATAAAATATTTAAAAAGAATACATTTGTTATAATTTCAAAAGATAAAATAAGAATATATGCATATGAAATATATAAAGTATTGTTGAAAATATAAAATCAAGAAATTAGTTAAATATTTATAGAAACGTGTTACTCATATCACTTGTTACAATTTTAACAGACGTTTTAGCATAATTTTTTTACTTGAGCTTAAATTTTGGAGAAATTATTCTGTGGAGACCGGATACAGAACGTTATTCGGAGATCAATCAGAATGTGTCACGTCAATGATATCTAATTACAGTACCGAACGAAGGAATAGCATGATGCATTTTAATTAGCCTACAGACGGAGTTCAACATCTATAAAGAATAATTTATCCCTAACTTGATATAAACCTATCAAACAGTAGTCTTAAAAGTTAAAAGCTTGTGATATTATGATGGTAATACTAATTGCGCTCTCTCGCATTTGGGCTATATTTTTCACTTATATGGTATACAATTTACAATTTAGCATAGTTGTGTGGTTGGAGCTTGAGTTCTTTGATCACCCTTACAGGTTCGAACATGGAGAAATTATCGTGCGAAGACCGGACGCCAAACATCATACGGAGACCAACCAGAATGCACCACGTCAACAGTACCGAACCGTGGTACCAAGCAGTACTGAGCCACAGTACCCAACACGGAGGTGATGTAGCACATTCTGGTTGGTCTCCGAGTGATGTTCAGCATTCGCACATAATAATTAATCTCGAACATGGGAGTATTCAGGGGCGGAACCCCTCTATGGGTAGGGGGGGCAATTGCCCCCCCTCAAAAAAAAAAATTTTTTTTAATGCTCTTATTTAGATTATTTTTAATATTTATTACAAGGCTTTGAGCAAATTGCCCCCCCCCCTAAAAATGTTAAATACTGTGGTCAAAAGGCAATTGCCCCCACTATAATTAAATTCATTGTGTAGATGTATTATTGTTAGAGAATGATGAACCAAATACAAAGAGAAATAATAAATCAAAAATTATTCCGGGGGCACTGCCCCTTGACCCCGCGACTGAACCGATCAGGTCGAACCCCGCCAGAGGGCGCTGCCCCCTTGGACCCCGATATATATGTGAACACTTATAAATTTGCCCCCCCTAAAAATTATGGCTGGTTCCGCCCCTAGGAGTATTTGTATGCTTTGAGTCATGGCACTTTCTAAGTTGCTAAATTGGGCATCTATGGTTCCATTGATGTTAGGATGAAAGGAGGAATCATCTAAACTGACAGGCCAATCTACTTAGATCAATTGCTCATAGTAGATGTGGACTTAAGGATGGTGTAGATTGATGCTTAGGAGTTCAAAAACGCTGAGAATATTAACATGCATGAGAGAAGGTTATGCAGAACTCAGTTGGATGTATCAATTACTTGCTTTCTCCTGAAGTGTGTATCAAAATGCTTTCCCTAAAAAGTAATACTCATATAGCCAATAAAATACCTTACAGATAGCAATCATTTATATACTATTTATATTATTCCTTATTTATCTTCAAATGAGACTTTGTATGAAAACTACTTCTGATATAGAAACATGATGCCGGGAGAAGAGATTATTTCATGCGGAGATCGGACACAAAAAATTGTTCGGTTGTGTTTCTATGAACAATAAAAGCGCAGTGGTGAACAGTAAAAACGTAGTGAACTACACTTCTATTGTTCAAAGAAACAAACCGGACGGTTTTCTGTGTCCGGTCTCCGCACATAATAATTTCTATATCGGGAATACCAAAAGAGACCAAAAAGAATTTTAAAAGAATGAAGAGAATTTCCCTTGAGCTTATCGATACATAAATGAACCTGTATGTACAATTCAAAACAGTTAAACTTCCAAGAGCTGATCGATAATGACTATTAACAGTGAAGAATTGACAACACATTAGCTTCACCCTGCATTGCACAGAGCTCACTAATTTTACACTGCAATCAAGGCAAAAGGACAAATGAAGATGGAAAATTATGAATTGAAGCATTTGATCTGTATGGAATTATTCTTTGGGTTTATTAGACATAGCCAAATATATAAATAGTTTCACTTTACACATGTAATATTGTAATTAGTTCATTCTTGTATAGCTCTGCTATTTATAGAGCCCTGTACGTCTGTCATCTAATAAAATATGATTTTACTTCTTTCTCTTTACATCGTCTTGTCCTTTAGTTATTCTTGTTTCGGTTCTATCCATGGCCGAAGCTTTCAGGGTTTAGAAGCTGGAAATCAGAAGAAATAGTACAGAAATCAGAAGGGAAAAACATTGCCAGTAAAATCCTTGCCCACCTGTGCTGCTCTAGATCAAAAGGTTCTACTTGGGCCGCCTGCGGTAGGGATATAATATATCGTCAAAGGTTTCTTTGATATAGTTGCCCACCCGATTCAGATTCCTCGCCACACCAGAAGCAACCAGGCCAGCATTTCTTGAGAACCTGCACATAATCAACCATAATCAGGACTACACTCTCCTCATTCTATACTTGTTTAGAATAAAATGGAGGATTTTGTAGTGAAAACAATAATTGTAAGACTTACCTGGACATGAATTCTTCACCCAAAGCCTGTGGTGGTTTGTATGGACGGGGATGGGAGCGAGCAGTAGCATCTATAATTCAACCAGTTAGTAAACAGTGATAGCATTTTCTTTAATAATTGCTAGATGCAAGATACAATAATGGGATAATTACATACATAACTGATAAGGAGCATATTATGAATCCAGAGATATCATACCTCACCTAGTCGAAAAATTATTCTGTACGGACACCGGACACAGCTAAAGTATGAAGCCCAATGAAAATGCATCACGTTACCCGGTACCGAGCGGTACTGGATGACGTGGCGCATTTTTATTGGGCTTTGGATAACGTTCGGCATCCGCACAAAATAATTACTCCACCTAGTCATCCCTCTTACAGTACCACTATTAGCTAACTACTTTATTACCTTTTTACCGTTATATAGTACCATTTAGCTTTATTTCAGCTTAGCTTTCTTTAGTAATAATACACTTACTCTTGACATATAAATATAGAAGAGTAATATGTAAAGGGGAATATTAGAAAGAAAAGACGAAAAAGCCTTCAGCTCACTGTTTTATTCGTTTTATATTCCCTGCATTGCCTGTTTTTAGTGATTACCTACATTAATAACATTTAAATTTTGGTTACGTACAAAACAAACACTCAATTGCCTCTATTTTCCAAACTATGAACTCCTAAATATCAAAATTCATAACAAAGTCCTAAACCTTTATTTTTTGCTTTTGTTAAATTTTCAACAATTTAATTCTAGGAACTGCAAATTGATAGCATATTTTTTAAATGCTAGCAGCCAAATGAGCCATCAAATTAAATTTAAAGATTGCAATCACTTCACAACAAACGAGTTGTTGCTGTTAGTGGTACTTTAGATAGATAGTTATTTCACTCATAATCATAACTTAATAAAAGCAACAGCAAAGAAAAAAAATGTTAATACTCATTCTAATTTTCATCACCACTAAACAAAAGGAATCAAACAAATCAGAAAGATAATACTCTCAGTAGTAGTTGCTATCACTCTTAAAACAAAATTACCAGACCATTCAAAGATTTTGAACTAAAGAAGAGAATTGATAACAAAACTTGAATACTAGTTAACAAAACTTGAATACTAGTTAAAAACAGATAAGACTAAGTTAAAAGATTTAATAAGTGAAGACATAGAAGGTGAGCCTATGTAGTTAGTGGCTAGAGATTTTACTCTCATGCGAAAGTTGTTTTACTATTTCAATAATATGACAACAGAAAAATAAAGTACAAAAATAAAAAGAAGGAAAACAGCAAGAAAACCCAGCAATTGGCCAAAAATATGCAGCGTTTCTTTAAACAACAAGCAAAGAGGTAGAAAAAAAAAACGAATGCATTGTCGATACTATTATCATCACTTGGCATTGTCTATTTATTTACTTTGAGAACTACCTTCCTTGTTATGAACATGGGCAGGAGCATGGCCAGCATTTGATGTTCGCCTATCTACCAATAGCTGAGACAATTTCAATAAACTTGTTAGAAAAAAATCTAAAATTGAAGAGACATTTCTAAGAAATAAAGTGCTCGTGTCTGACTTATAGACTAAATGATATCGAAATAGAAAAAATGAAAGAAGGAATTTAAAAATATCCGCTATGATTTCTTTTGAATTCTTATATACTTTAAAATAAAAGTAGTTTTATTTTGCGTATCTAATTACGATTCAAAAGCAAATACGGATAATGAAATAAACCATTTAGTAGATGTGAATACAATGACTCTAAAATTTCCAGAGATGTGGAGAAATTAAGCTGGGACTTAAGTGTGCTAACCAAGCCAAGCGTAGGAGCTTGAATGAGCTTGTGGGGCAGTCCAAATCAAACTATTATTTAAGTCATCAATATTGAAATCTATATTATCAAAATTTTGTAGAATGATAGAGGGATCCACAAGTCAACTAATATTGATAAAAATTCTTGAACACGGATTAAGGATTATAACCATTTGATCAATCCTTGATGGCCCCTAGATTGCAATTCATGTGCCTCATCTTCTTTTTCTAGCCCCAAGCCCTAGTTGAGGTCTTTTTTTTTTCTTTTTTTTTAAAGCAGCTCTGATTTATTTCATTATAAGACTTTTGAAGAAGTCTACATATACTTCCATGCTTTATACATAATCAAGCAATAAAATTCAAATCAGTTTTTTCTATTTTTTTTATTTTTCTACATGGCACCAGAGCAAAGTTGGGGTTTCCTTCTTCCAAACTTTGTTCTCTTTCCTTCTTGTCATTTTTTTCTCTTCATTATGTCTGATTACTTTGAATTCCCCTCTTAAGGAGTCGACCATCATGAATGATAAAAGTCAAAATAAGAGAACTTCAATGGCTACAAGCCTCGTGTTGTTTGAACAGAAGAAACAATTTGAAGTGGTCTCAAATTATGAAGACCTTTTTGAAAAGAAAGGAAAATATCTATCATCTTGTATATCCACCTCTGAAACAGAAGGACAAAGTTTGTACTTTAGGATAAAGCGGATTTCATAATCATTACTTGATTTTGGAATACCATGATACCAAAAATTAGAGTGTTATATATGTTCTTCTCTACTATAAAAGAAATTTGTGACACCGTCAAATAAGCGTACTCAAAAGTGAAGGATGTTATACTCATTTATGGTTATTGAGTATTTTAATGCGATGAAAGTTTATTAGCTTGAATTAATTATTACTAAAATATCAAGATGATATGCTGCAAATTGATGCCGCAATTCTTAGGCAATTTATAGAACGAGAAAAGGTGTTTAAGTTCCTTGCAATACTCAATAATCACTTCGACCAAGTTTGTGCATAATTTTAAGCAGAGAAAATCTACAATCACTAAATGAGATTTTTTTTTATCTCTTTTATGATTAAGATGGTAATGCTCTACAACTACAGAACCCCAAGGTAAGGGACTTATTATTATAAAATCTTTTTTCGAAAAAGGACAAAAGCTTTCGTCCAAAGGCAATTTATGGGGCAATGATTGTAAAAAGAAAGGACACATAAAAAAATCCTAAAAACTCCACGGAAAGCCCCCAAACTATAGTGCAAATAAACAAGTTACCGAAAATGGCAAGCCTTTCTTGTGGAATTAGAATGGCTCAATCTAAAAGAAATTAACAAACTCAAGAACTCTCATTTCTCTAGAAAAATCATCTGGATCATGTTCTTTAACTAAAAAATAATATGACTTCGAACTCCTATATTGCAGCTCCTTAAATAATTGCCCTCACATCTATATCCTAGATAAGATTCATTGGCCACATGAAGAACCTTTTTAAATCAAAACTACAAACCTTTCCCTAAAAATATAAAAATATAAGTATTTGATGGTTCTCTAACAACTATTAAATATCAAAAAATTGTTTCAATTTTCTTTGCATTTACCCTCAATAATATACTCCATGTTCCTCATCTTACTGTAAATTTTCTATCAATCCATAAAATCGCTAAAGAACGCAATGATAAAGTAATATTTTTTGCTAATCATTTTATATTTCAAGACCTCAATATGGGAAAAACAATTGGACAAGCTAAAGAAAAAAGATGGGCTATATCTTCTTGAAGATGGTAATAACTTGTCATGTTCATTTATTTTTCACCCTCAATATAAAAGTCATTTGGGAATATTATTATAGACTAGAGCATCCATATTTCAAAGCCCTACAATGTATGATCCATTTAGCTTTTTTTAAATGTAAATATAAAAAAAAAAAAAAAATATTGTGAGGCTTGTAAAATTGTCAAACATCAATGTGATGTTTTTTCCCTGAAATTGATTCTAAATCCTCAACTTCGTTTCTAATTATCCACTATGACATTTGGTGAGCTTCCATGATCCCTAATCTTTTTGGAGCTATAAAATTTGTCATCATAATTGATAATTGCACTCAAATGGTATGGGTATATTTTAACAAATAAAAATCTGATGTGCCATTATACAAAAATAATTCCGCCATAACATAAAAGGTTTTTTAACTAATAATGCTTGTGATTACATGAATGAGGCAACAAACAATGTCATAAGGATGAATTATTGGTCCTCCAACACACCAAGAAAGGAATGTATGTCCCCATTACGCAAATATACATATATATATATATATATATATATATATATATTACTGGTACATGCCAATCTCTTCTCCATGGGTGAGTAACATGCAATCTATGCGAGTTTTGTTCAACAAAACCAAGGTAAATTTTTTTTTAAAATGATAAAATATTAGTTTTTAAGATATAACTCGCTAGAAATCACACACTAAACAATATTCTTAGGATGCTTCACCATCTCTTGCAACAACAAGTCTTTAACCCACTACGTTGGGTCGACTACATGAATCTTTTTTCTCAATAAAATCATATTAAGAGTTAAATTCTCATTTAAATCTATTAAAAAATGTCAGGTTTGATATTTTCTAATCAAGTCTTTTTAGGCATATTTATGTATTTCTTAGCATTTGCCAGATCTAATACATCTACTCTCCTAACAATAGCGTCGGAAGGTTGATGTTTTATGTAACCAAACCATCAAAAATGACCCTCTCTAATCTAATTTTCCACTAGAGCTATTTCAACCTTTTCCTGCATATGCTCTTTTGCATTTTATCTCTAAAGTGTATAGCTATTCATCCACTTGAGCATCATAATCTATGCAAAACTTAACTTGGTTTTATACTTCTCTTTTAATGAACAGCATTCTACATCATAAAGCATTGCAAGTCTCATCATCATGTTATAAAATTTTTCCTGAAGTTTGAGGGGTACTTTTCTATCACATAATAGGCTCGATGTATTCGTTCACTTCAACCACTCAACTTGAAGAATCTAGTTTACCTTCATAATTCAAGTTTTCATCAACCCCCTCTCTAGTCTTATCAACAAGAAGAATATCATCAACAAAACATACACCAAGATGCATTCTATCGCAAATGTTAGTATGAACATCCATGAATAAAGCAAAAAAGATTTTTCTACAGGATTATAAGAACAAATATATAACTAGTAATGATATGCCAAGACGAACCCTAGCACGGGTCTATTGGGTCATGCAAGTAAATATCACAATTTGAACATCATATGAGAGGATTATAAGAACAAATATGTAACTCTCCAAACACTAAGCCAAATCAAGCCATAATTCATCCTCCAGCAGACCAACGAAAGGAAAACCAAACCAAGATAAGAATTACCCCCTCGATCTTCTTGATTGGAGAACTTAATTCAAGATTCATCCAAAATACAAAATAAAAAACCGGCTTTTGAAGCATTCTTTCATAGAGTGGATAGGATGCTCAACGAAGATATCTACAATCTCTAGGAGTTTTATTACAAATACAAATTATCTTATTCAACCCATTTACGTGTTGTAATAACAAATATTGTAAATGATCGAGTTTTGACCAAACTTCATCAAACATGATTATGATATAACTAGATCTGGATGTCAACCAAATTACTAACCCAAGCACAAAGTAATCCACATCATTGTTTCATAGTTGATTACATAACCTAACCAACAAAACAATCTAGTAATGATATGCAAAAGGAAAACCAAACCAAGATAAGGATTACCCCCAAGCCCTCACCCGTCGGCCCTACTTGCCCCTCCTTCCATTCTTTTGAAATCTCCTATAAAGAAAGAATTGAAGACTTACCTAATCTAGATCTTCTTAAATTTGGAAATTTTTCAAATTTCAAATTCAAATAAATTTGAATTTGAATACTTTCCTAAAATAAGATTAATCTAATTTGGATACTTTCCAAATCCCTTCAAATCTGAATTTAATTGGAGTTTCCCTTTAATTCTCTTCCCTTATTTAATATCCTATGTTTGGAAAGAGTCTTAAATCTTCAATCAATTTCCCCCCATGCATGGCCGATCCCCTCTATCTATTTAATTCAATCAATTAATTAGATACTTGCCTCTAATCCTCTTTAATTATTGAACATCCTAAGTTTGGAAAGGGATTTTTAAATTCCCCAATTCAATCAATCCATATTAACTCCCTAGACTCTCAAAACCAGCCATCTCCAACCTTCTCTCAGCCCCAGCCATCCCTCCCAGTTCTCTACCATGTGGCCCTCAGTTTTCCCTGATTTTCTGCTTGTTGTCCCGCTATTCCAGCAAGAATATCTTGCTGTCCAGAAAAGATTTCTGCATTCTGGACAGATTCTACCTGCTGTCTTGAAATTTATGCACAGTAAACTGCTGTCCAAAGAAGGACAGCTTGCTGCCCTTCACTCCAACAAGACTTTCTTTACCGTACCACCACCAGGAAGGCTTTTCACTGCTGTCCCGATCTTCATGTGCTGCTGTTTACACATATTTACTTGCTGTCCAGAAATTTCTGGATGCTAATAGTGGTTGTCCACCCTTCCAAAACCTAGAAAGCTGCTGTCCAAGACCACCTATCTGTTGTTCAAAGACTCCAACAGCAGTTCGCCGCTGTCCAACCCCTCTCGGAGCTACTGTTGCTGCCCAGAATCTCTGTCCCAGATTGCTGTCCAAAGACATCAAGAAGAATCAAAGGTTGCTGTCTACTTCCTCTCAAGCACATAAACACCACACCGGAGCCTATTTTGTCGTGTTTATTTGGGTGAACTTTCTTCCTACTCTTTTATCTTTTAACCATTCTCAATTGTAGTTATTAATTGATTCATGAAAAGTTGTGTTGATTCTTCCAGCTAAAAGCCTAGTATTTATTAGGAGTTATGTGAGAGATCTTGCATAGCACTACTCTTATTGTTAGATTAGAGATTTCTTGTTGAAACCCATTTCGTTTGTAATGTCAAAAGTAATTGATTGTTATGTGATTTTTACTTCTTGCAAGTGACTTGGCCTAAGCTTTTGTTATCGTTCTTGTGTTTTATTTCATTGTCTAAATCAACATAAAGCTTTAGTTAACTTGCTCTTAATCATCAAGCGTGCAAAATCCTTATCTAAATCATATTTTCATATGTGTCCTGCATCAATATCTCTAGGAGTTTTATTAAGTTTCCTAAACATAATTACAATCATCTAGAACTAATCAATGTGAAAGATATGAAAATAAAAAATAAATAAATTCTTTAAATGACATGTTCTAGAGATTTCTAAGTTGAAAATTCTCTAGCATTTAACATAATTAGAAGATTTCGAATTTAGGAAGCACCCTAAGGTTGTTGACTATGTACAAGAGAGAAGATTCCATTCGATGCAAATTAGTTAATAAAATAGACCTACACAAGATCAATGAAGAAGTGCACCTCCTAGCAACTAGCTTGATTCGAACTGTTGTCCCCTAAAAACACTCAAAAGGGCAAGCTATCCTTTTTTTGAATCAAGAAGATCCAAGGAGTCTAATGCCTTGTTTTCGGCCAACATAACCTTCTACGGGTAATTTGTGCCGCAAATGGCTGAAAACAATTATGAACCTCTACATACACCTATCCTCTATCCATCTTTTGATATCAGTCTTAGAACGCCATAAAACTTTTATCTCTAGAGGGCTCTTTTGGCATTCAAAGGTCCTTAATAGAGTTTTATCTCTAGAGGGCTCTTTTGGCATTCAAAGGTCCTTAATAGAAAGAGCACCAATCCAAATATAGCACGAGATAAATATTAAAAAATGAGCAAATCTAAAAGTCATTTTCAACCCTCCTCGAAGCGTATAACATGTCTTGGATTCTCCTTCTAAGAAGACAAATAAGGAAAGGGATAAGAGAGATGAAATAAAGAAAAAGGAAGGAAGATTGGCATAAAAAATAATAAAAAAAGAAGATTGGCATGATGATGAAGTGGTTTGAGTGAAGTTCTTCCTAAACCCTTATTCATATTATCTCTTTTCTAGCCATTGAACTATAGATACATCTTCTCCTAATGTCTTCTCCAAAAAAAATCCAAACAAAAGCTACATAACCCAAAAGTTAAAGTTTCTACATAGTCACGCTAGAAAGATTACGAGAAATAAGGAGGATGTGAACAAAGTGGAGAGAGAAGTAGAGGAAAAATGAAAGAAAGAGATTATTCAACCAAGGGAAGAAAGAGGAGACTAGACAATTTTTATCATGGCAAGAGATCTTCCTCATCAATTAAAAAAAAAAACCCAATTAATAAGAAAAATAATTTTCAAGAGTTCTCTAGCATATTACAATTTGAAGACTTCCTAGTGCTATGGTTTTGGATAGAGAATCTATTCCATTCACTCAATAACTAAACAAAATTATAAAACTAGTTTGAACAATACATCTTTCAAAATTTATAAACCAAAGTGCAAGTAGCCTAACACCTTGAAACATCAAAGTAATTTTACCCCAAATATTTTGTTGACCAAACATATAGTCGGCTTACCATGGGGATGTTTTATGCCCTTTAGAAATCAGAAAATTAAGAAAGAACAAATGCATGAAGTAACCAAAGGCAAGGTGATATTTAAATTCCAAAACTAGCGATAATTAAAGTTTCAATAATGTATGATATAGAGAAAAGTAAAATCTGAAGAGAATAACTTCAAGGCCAGCACAAAATGGCAGCTCTGCTTGCTCCTCCCTCTTCTCATTTTTAGTGTCCTTGTCATCCATAAATACAGAATAGCCAAGACAAGCATACTTGAAGTCTGACAGGCTACGCCCATCATTAGCTGCTTCCATCTCAGATTCCCCAACAATGTGGCTTGGTACTATTTAAGAGAAGCATAAATCAAAAAAGGAATTACATTAATGTTCCAAAGATTCTTATTTAAAACAAAAACGCAATGAAAGCATAAATTGAAAAATTTTTAAATGTGTAGATATAAGCAAACTTAAATGTGAATTTACAAAAAAATACACTAACACATCGGTATGGATTGATTTTGATGAATCAACTTCTTAAGCCCTACACAATACCAGCAGTAACAGTTTTTTAAGACTTTTTAGAGGACTTGAAAGTGAGCTTCTTATTAAAAAATAAAGGAAAAAATACCTCTAAGTCACCTAATCGGTTGGTTTTTTACTAAATAATTCAAACAAGATAGAGAATAAACAGAACCTTCTAAGAATTATTCAGTATTGACATGCGCCTTAATTTTTTTAAAACTATCTTATAAAAAAAGGATCTATCATGCCTTAAATCCTCAAATAGATGAATTGGAATAGTCAGGGGAATATTAGCCCAAAATCACTTGTATGACTATCGAAATCATGAGTATCAGCATGTAGGTTCCATATCCAAGTGGTAGTATCAAGACCCTTTAGCTATAGTTCTTGAGAAATGGTCGGGTCTAGCCGATTCCTCGAGAGATGTTTCTATAGGATTCCTATCTACAACAATTTTTACTTTGGGTTTTGACAAACGAATAATCATTAAGTTATATTCAATCTCAAATGACAAAACCAAAGAGATTTAGCACAGCAATTAATAGAAAATATTTTAAACCATAAAATGAAGATGATGTAGAAAAAGAAATGCATATATTATTTTTAAAATATTATAACAGCTTTTAAATGTATTAATTTTCATGAATATTTTTATTTTAAATTAGAGGATAAAATTATTAGAACTTCTCTAGAATTGAACTTAAATCAGCTAACCCTATGTTTAAGAATAAGGATTTCAATACTTGCATTTGCATTAGAGAAATATTATAATCCAAAAAAAAACCATTCACATCATCAATTGATTGCAATGAAAACTTTTTCCAAGTAGAAGTATATAAAAATCTGCTGCTGAATTTTTGCGTAGATTTTTTGGAACTATTTGAATTAATCAATAATGAATTACATTTAAGTCAATACTCCCTCTACTCTGCCTCTTCATTGGATTTTCTCTTATGCCTATTGTCTCTATCCTTAGAGAAAACTATATTCCTGGCCTCTCCTTCTCTCCATAAGGAAAACTGCATGCATCCAAGATCTCTCCTTTCTCTATCCATGGAAATCGTAACTTCCAAGCCTCTCTCTCTCTAAGAAACTAAAAGCTCCCTCCAACTTCCCCTTTCAAACAAAAAATTGTGTCAAGTCTCACACATCAAAAAATAAAAATCAAACAAATTTCAAGAAATAAAAGAAGAAAAAGAATATCAATAATGAGATATTAGGAAAGCATCCATCATAAAATATCCAACAATATGATAACAAATCACCTTCTACACCATTTGATATCAAAGCTAGATTTCCTGAAAGTCGTTACAACCAAATCCTAGACTACATATGCTTTCCTTCCTTTAACCATCCGACTGTGTTTTGAATGAACACATTGATGCAAAAATATTAAGATAATGAACACTGCGTTAGGGTTCATAATGAAATAAATGCATATCACACAAAAAAGAAGGATCAGCAGATCAAAGATAATGAAATACATAAAAATGATCTTTCTATTATTGCAAACCAAAAAACATGGGAATCTGAACAAAATATAAAACGCAACAACAACAACAACAACATCAAGCCTTTATCCCACTACGTGGGGTTGGCTACATGAATCCTTTTTCTCCATTTTGTCCTATTAACAGTCAAATTATCATCTAAATCTAATAAGGAAAGATCATTTCTAATATTCTATAACCAAGTCTTTTTAGGTCTACCTCTACCTTTCTTAACATAAGTCAAATCTAATACCTCTACTTTCCTAAACAGGTCATCGGAATGCCGCCGCTTTATATGACCAAACCATCTAAGGTGACTCTCTCTAATCTTATCTTCCACTAGAGTTACTCCAACCTTTTCACGAATATGCTCATTTTGTATCCTATCTCTAAGAGTAAAGCCACTCATCCACATGTCTCACCACCATCGTATAGAATTTTCCCTTAAATTTGAGGGAAACTTTTCTATCACAGAACAAGCCCGATGCGTTCAATAGATCCAACATATCTAAAATATAAAACGCAATAATCAATTAAATCCAAAGAAATCAAATAGAAATTTGAACAATGAAAATTTAACAAACAGTTAAATTTTTACATCTCAACTGAAATTCACTTGTATCAAATATGACCCAAAAAACAAACTCTAGCAAAGCCAATAACAAATATTTATAAAATAAAAGAAAAAGAAAACAGATCACTATGTGAACAAAATATATGCATAGCCAAGAAACAAGTAGGTAAGTTTTCACATAATTAGTTAGTCGAACTTGAACTGCACTTGAAGGAATCATACAGCTAACTGGCATATATAAGATTGATAATTAAAATCTAAAATTTTATTCAAATAAAACCTGAACTATTAAATGACGTGCATGTGACCGAAACTCCATTGGAATACAACACCGCCTACCAAAAAAAAATAAACTGCCGCTAAACAGTAGAAATAAATGAAGTCAAAATCAACAGCAATAATTGAAAACAAAACATCAACATACGCTTTTGAATGTTACAGAAGATGGCGGAACTTCGGAATAACCACAAACTAAAAAACCCAAAGTGGATAAACCACGTGCAATTAATAGTTATGCATAGATCATGAGGATAAGACAAACGACACTCATCCGTGCTGCACATTTGACAATGTAATTGAAAGAGTTGACGGCATCAAAAACAAAACCAGTAGCCAAGCAACTCCAATTATGAACCAATTTAATAACCCGAAAATCCACAAATTGGCCCATCAACAACAACTCAACAAACAAATTGGACTACTTGAAGATTGAACAACAGTTGAGCCAATAGGAAGCAAAACATAAACCCAATGGCTGGAACGTATCAAAACTTCACAAAAATAGTACAGAAAACCAAATTAAAAAGTCAATTTACATCACATATGATAATAATTCGATTTTTATCAAATTTGCAATGAGGTATTTGATATGTGCATGTTAAGTCTAGGAATTCTAATACAGATTTGACATGGAGATGTAAGAAAATCATACTACAACAACTACTACATGAAGAATTTATCTCAATACCTGGGGTCAGCTACATGAATCATTTTTCTCTATTGTGTCTTATTAAGAGTCAAATTCTCATTTAAATTTAATAAACAAATGTCATTTCTAATGCTTTCTAATCAAGTCTTTTTAGTTCTACATCTACCTTCCTAAACATAAGTCGAATTTAATACATATGCTCTACTAACCGGGTCATTGGAAGGCCGACACTTTATGTGATTAAACCATTTAAGATGACACTCTTTAATATTATCTGCCACTGGAGTTACTCCAACCTTTGCACATATATACTCATTTAGTAAAATTTTTATGATAAATTATTAATCTTTAAAACAATATTTGAAAATAAAAAAACAAAATTCAATAGAAACTAATTCAGATGAAAATCAAGTACCTTCTACTAGAAAAAAAAATGACAATAAATTCACAATCAAGAAAGACATGGCAAGTACTTTGAAATTGATAGAACTCTAAAATCTAATTTATATTATATATGATTAAAATCAATCATGCGCTCAAACCAAGAATAGATTTTAAAAGAAGAAAAAAATATAAAGGAAAGAATTCAGCAGAAAGACAAGCCGCACAAAATCTACAATTCTTTCATTAGATCAAGGAATTAAATCCCATAAGCAAAGGTAAATCCAATAATAATTTTATTCAAATTCCCAATGTTAAATTTTATTTATAATCATGAAGCCAGTTAAAAAGTCTCCTTAACAAACCTTGAAGAGAAGAAACCCAAGAATGGTGTCCTTAATGGCTCAGCTCTTGGAGCTACCATAGATAGATAGTATAAGATGAAACAATGTATTCGTGCAATAGAAAAGCACGAAACAAAGGATTTGAAGCTGCAAAATACAAGGTGTCAAAATAAGCAAATGGACTCACATAACAAAAGCTACACAAGTTAAAGTTCCTAGAAGATTTTAAAGTCAAACTCAAATAAGCAACAAGTAAACACAACATAAGCTTGAACATAAAAAGAGCAACATAAATTGGGGATCACAAGGTAAGACCGAATAGAAGTCAAAGCAGGAGGGGGTCAAAAATAACGTCATAAAAGGAGTAATCGTATGAGGAATAACAAAAGAAAAGCTAGAAATACCCTAGATTGCTATAGTTTATTTCACATAAATTTATGTCTAACTAAAAATTTCAACTAGGATAAATTGTTTAGTTGAATGTAATCTAGCATATTTAAGTATAAATGTTAGCTTTTCAATAAAAATATCAATGAATCATCATCTATAGATTTGGGATTCTACTTTATAATATATAATTTTTATCCACCAAAAAAAGTGGATACAATTTAATCACATCGCCAACTTAAAAACAATATCAATATCAACGTATAAAACAATCGTGCAAATAATATGTAGAATGTTAATCCTAAAGGACGGGAAAGAGATAACCCAGGAAATTGGTTGGCAATTCATGACATAAGCCAAATCAGATACATTAAAAATGAAACTAATTCTAAAATTTTCTAAGACTTCTAACTTCAAAGCATTGGCCCCAAATTCATTGCACGACATGCTATGGTCATATTTTTTTAGCAATAATTTCTTAAGGATTCACATAGGAAACCTTTAAAGACTAGATCATTACTTTATTGGGAGGTTTAAATTAAAAATGTCTTCATACATTCAATAAATTTATAATTATTATGCAACAACAACAAGCATTTATCCCACTATGTAATTATCATAATTAATAGGAAATTTAAAGCCAATATCTTCATGTAAATCATATGTATGATTCATGGATGAAGAAATAGTAATAATATGGATGCAAGAATAACATTATTACTTGTTTTTTCCTAATTAATACACTATAACTAATTTGATGAGAAGAAAATGATGAAGAAAACTTGGAATTTATATTTATTAAATTATAAAAAAAAACCTTCTACTAGTAGACATAACACAAATATGGTATGCCTATAATATAGACAAACAAACTCATCAAAGAAAAATAGCACAAAAGATTTCAAACTTAGTCATGATAATTACATATTTTTCGATACAACTAGATAGATCAAGATTTTATTTTAGGGTAATCGTAGCAAATAGAAATAGAGGAAATCATTGGACTCGTATAACTAAAGGCACAAAGCTACTTGGAAACTTTAGCATCCTCGGCCACCCTCTTCACAAACTGAGACATCCTAGGAATATAAGAAAGGCAAGATCCAAGCAAGAACAAGGTAAGAGAAAGCCAATCATGAGACATTTTCTCCAACTAGGTAGAGTTCATTCAATCATCTTCAGCTATGTTTAATATCAATCTTCCCTCCTTAGGTGCACCTCTTTAATCTTGCTTCTTCTATCACCTAGTGTTTTCAATTTTTTCCAACATGTAATACAAAAAGGAAAGTTCAATATTAAAGTTTATTATTACAATAGGCGCCACTTTAGAAACTCTCCAATAATCTTCTTTATGCTTTTACTTTCTATGATTAAATTGTATGCCAAACTACTCTCATAACCTCAGTAATCTATTGGTGTTCCAAGTAGCGAAAAAACCCATAGCCTTAGTTATTGAAACACACATAAATTCCTTGCACCTAAAATAGAAGAGAAAGGAATGCTCATCAATAACGCTCATTCAACATCTAATTCCAAATCATTTGTTGTGTTAAAGCATGAATCATTGCATGTTGATTGAAAGAATTGAAGGTAAGTCGAGAAATCAGAGCCCTACTCATGCGTGTGATTCCTCAAAATCTAATTAAAGAGATATCCTTTAGCTCAACTCATAGAAGAGTGGAAGAACAATTGATTTGACTATTGATAATAATTGTTGAACTATTCAAATAGATACAACAACAACATCAAGCCTTTATCCCACTATGAATCATTTTTTCTCCATTGTTTCCAATTAAGAGTTAAATTCTCATCTAAATCTAATAAAGATATGTCATTTCTATTATGTTCTCACGAAGACTGTTTAAGTCTACCTCTATCCTTCTTAACATATGTCAAATCTAATATATCTACTCACCTAACCGAGCCATCGGAAGGTCGACGTTTTATGCATACTATTCAAGTAGATAGTCTTACAAAATTATTAAAGAAAGTAAGTAAATCTCCTCAATGTTGATGTTCCTAGTAAATGCAATAGCTCAAGAGAATAGCAAGAGTGCTCGAGAAAAGAATAATAGCTCCACACAATATCCAATGAGCACACAAGCGACCAAAGCCCTACCCATGGGTGCAACAACAACAACATCAAACTTTCATCCCACTACGTAGGGTCGATTACATGAATTCTTTATCTCCATTGTCTCATATTAATGGTCAAACTCTCACTTAAATTTAATAAAAAAAAAATCATTTCTAATATTTTCTAGCCAATTCTTTTAGGTATACCTTTACCATTCTTAACAGGGCCAAATCCAATACACCTACACTCATAACTGGGTCTTCAGAAGGCCGATGTTTTATGTGTCCAAACCATCTAAGGTGACTCTCTCTAATTTTATCTGTCACTGGAGCTACTCTAACCTTTTTCACGTATATACTCGTTATGCATTTTGTCTCTAAGAATGAAGCCACTCATCCACCTGAGCATCCTCATCTCTAAAACAGCCCTACCCATGGGTGTGATTCCTAAAAATCAAATTAAAGATAAAAACTCCACCTCAACTCATAAAATAGTAGAAGAACAGTCGATTTGATAATTTCTAACAGTTGTTGAACTGCCCAAGAAGATGGCATTACAAAGTTAATAAAGAAAATAAATCTCCTCAATGTTAATGTTTCCAACATATGCAACCGCCCAAAAGAATAGCAAGAATAATCAAGAGGGCAATTAGGGCTTCACAGGATCTAGTGAGTACCCAAGAGGACCATGCTAGTATTCAGGAGAACGAAATTCATGCAAGAGAAATGGATGCAAAGGAGGCTGAATCTTCAGAAGATGAAAAAGAGAAAAGGTCACAAAAATTTTGAAATAGCAGCAACTGAGCAGCATGATGAGATGATTGAGTCAACTGCCATCATGGAGGAGCGTGTTTTATTATTAATCCAATTACATGGGTGCAGTCTTCCCTCTCGTGAGAGATGAGGTCCACGAGAATTGAGCCAGACACCAGAAGGTATCTACTATGCCTAATACTTAAAGATAGGTACCGATATGGCTTTCAGGTTTTAATCCTCTCGATATGTACTAAAACGCTACTTTATTTAAACCCTGCTTGAAGCAAACCAGCCACATGAAGTAATAGAAACGTGAAATAGAAAAAGGTGAAGGGAAACATCTGTTCAACCAGTCTAAAACAGCACAAGAAACACAAAAATAGAGGTCCATTAAGAACTGAAGCGACTTTTTTAAATCGATATTAACCAACGAGTAGAACAAAGAAGTAAGCTTACCAATCAGATTCCAAAAGATAAAAACATATAGAGATGGAGAGAAATAGAAGAAAGCAAATAGAAGGAAAAGTTAACCTTGGGGAAGAGTCCGACTGATGCCGAAACAGACAGGGTTGCGCGCGTTTGCTTTGAGAACTGAGGAGAAGTAGAGGCAACCTTTGCAAGACTTTCCCTTATAAGACGATGCCCTCGGGCCCTGCAATTGATCGGAGTCCCCGCCGCCGCCGCCGCCGCCGGATGATTCCTCCATAAACACCTCTGTGTCGCTCGAGCTTTGCCCTCGCACCAACTCGGGTTTGGCGTTTAGGCCTGGCGAAGTACACGGAGTACTTGTAGTGGGTAGATGAACTTGAGTATAAAATAAATATCTATACGTGTAATTTTTTTAAACAATTTCGATTTAAACTAGTTAACTTAATTATATTAAATTTCCTCTTATATATTAAAAAATTACATTAAATATATATCTTTGATACTTCACAATTTTTTTTGATATGGCACTCATGAGTTGTCCGATAAAACACTCCAAATCTACCCTATATCATCTTCATATTTACTAGTTATGCAACTCTCAAAAAACTATAAATATATCATCATTCTTCACATGAAGAGGGAGTATGAAGAAGAGAAGTGCTCTAAGGTTTGAAGAATCCTGGAGTTTCACCCAGCACATCCACCGACGAATATGCACCACTAGATCATCATTATTGACTTTCCCCCATACCATCGTCCTCACACCCACATCTGGCAGCCATTAACTAGTCTTTCTCCATTACCGTCCTTCAACTACGGTCCTTCCTGTAAGAATGGCAAGAAGAAAGAGTTGCAGAGAGCTTAGGCGGAGGACAACCGTGAGAAAGAAGTGAAAATAAAATCTTATTCATAACAGAGATACAGAGCTGTTTATATAAAAGAATTACAGGTAATGATGTAAATAAGATAAATAAGCTAATATATGATATGCTGGCTAACATTCCCCCTCAAATTAATCATTTGTGGAACATATGGTTAATTTGGAACGAAGTTCGTTGAAGCGAGCAGAGGAGAATGTTTTTGTCAGAATGTCGACAATCTGTTCTTTGGACGGAATGTGCTGGATGCTTATGTTGTAGGAGAGCTTTGCGGGATATCAAGTTCTTCCGCAAGTCGACGGAGTTATATCACTTCGGAAGTGGCTGCGGAGAGTGCCCTGTATTCGGCCTCCGTTGAAGATTGTGCGATAGTCACTTGTTTCTTTACGGACTAAGAGATTAAGTTTGATCCTAGGAAGGTGCAAAACCCGGAGATAGACTTTCGGTCGAAGGAGTCGGATGCCCAGTCAGCATCGGTGTATGATCAGAGTTGAAGAGAACATGTAGTGACGGGTAGACCGAGTTTTAAGGTGCCTTTTATGTACCTTAGAACTCGTTTAAGAGATTGGTAATCTTGAAGTGTCGGCTGTTGCATATGTTGACATACTCGGTTTGTAGCATAAGCCAAGTCCGGATGTGTTATGGTGAGGCATTGCAAGGATCCGGCTAGGCAGCAGCAGAGAGAGGCATCTGGAAACGGTTGATTGTCCTGATGAGTGTGTTTTGGTGCAGGATGGAACGGAGTAGGAACAGGTTTGCAATCGGCAAACTCGGAATCATGTAGAAGTTTGGCTGCATAATTTTCTTGTGTGAGGAAGTAACCCGAGCGAGTGTGTTGGACGTGGATGCCGAGGAATAGGTTTATCTGGCCTAGCTCTTTTACAGTGAATTGATATTGCATTTCTTGGATGATTGATTGAACGACGGTGTCGTTGTTATGATAAGAATGTCGTCGACGTAGATTAGGAGGTAGAGATGAATATTATTTTTGTGAGATATTAGTAAGGAGGGATCAGAATGACTAAACCTGAATCCACGTGTTTGGAGAAACCCGGTTAGTTTTTGGAACCATTGACGCGGTGCTTGTTTTAAGCCATATAATGACTTGTGTAGTTTGCAGACAGCCGTCGGTTGATCTTTGTCCAAGAACCAAGGTGGTTGGCGCATGTAAATGTCTTCCGGTAGATTGTTGTGTAGTAAGGCATTTGATATATCAAGTTGTTGCATGGGCCATTGTCAGTTGAGAGCAAGCGCAAGAAGCATGCTATTGTTGGCATTTTTGACACTGAGCTGAAGGTTTCATTGAAGTTTATGCCGAATTGTTGATCGTAGCCTAATGCGACGAGGCGGGCTTTGTATTTATCAACTTGACCGTCATGTTTCAGCTTCGTTCTAAAGGTCCATTTGCATCTTAAAATGGGCTGGTCGGTCGGAGCCGTACAAGTGACCAGGTGTGTTGACGTTGTAGAGCATTTATTTCATTGGCCATAGAAGCTTCCAAATGCGTGCATTGGGCAGCTTGACGATATGTTGCAGGAGTATGGTCGGCATTGCTGAACATAGTAAAAATCTTAGTGGGCTTGGTGATACCATATTTTGATCTGGTTTGCATCGGATGAGTTTGAGGTTGAGCGATGCGCTTGGTATTTTGGCCAGCCGATCGAGTGGGAGAGGGATTTGATGCTTGTGTATGATCCTGCATAGTAGTTGCAATGTGATATGGCGCGGAACAGACCGAATGGGGAGGCCCGGATGGTTGGTTAGAGGCAACATACGTGGGTATAAGCAACAGGGGTGAGGTAGTAGTCTGATCATGTATCATGATGTTCTTGTTAGAAGCAATAGAGTGAGGAAAAGGAAATATAGTCTCATGAAACACCACGTGCCGAGAAATGTGTAGTTTATTAGTGCGAATGTTGTAACATTTGTAACCTTTGTGAATCGGAGAATAGCCAAGAAATATACATTCTTGAGATCTTGGATCTAATTTGTTTGTAGTGTACGGTTTAAGCCAGGGATATCAGAGACATCCGAATGTGAGTAGGTACGAGTAGTTTGGAGGTTCTCGTTGAGGAGTTGAAAAAGGGATTGGGCAGTAGCTTTAGAGGGTAAGCTATTAACTAAGTAATTTGCAGTTGAAAGAGCGTCCGCCCAGAATTTGTTGGGTAGGTTGGATGCATGTAGAAGCGTGCGAGTGAGTTCAATAAGATAGCGATGTTTGCGCTCGGCCATCCCGTTCTGTTCCGGCATGTGAGGACAACTCAATTGATGAAGAATGCCGTTTTCTTGAAGGTATTATTGGAACGCATGGCTAGTGAACTCGCCTCCTCCATCAGAGCGAAATTGCTTCAGTTTAGCTGAATGCTGATTGCTAATAAGACTGCAAAATAGCTTAAAATTGGTGAACGTTTCTTGTTTAGAATGCATTAGGTAAATCCAAAAAAATATAGTGAAATCTTCAATAAAGACGACATAATATCGATGACCATTTAACATTGGTTCTTGAGCCGGACCCTAGACATCCACGTGTATAAGTTCAAATGGCATAGATGTAACATAATTATTAGTATTGAAACTAAGCTTGTAGCTCTTGGCCACGTGTCACGACCCGACCCGACCCGGGATGAATCCCGCTCGCCCAGGACGATCCCAAATCGTCCTGGACGATCCTGGAGCAGATTTCAGATCTTCACACCACGTTACAAGATTTTCAAAGAAATTGTAAAGAAATGTTTCTAATATCAGAAATGTTATTTGCAATAATTTTGAGAATATGTCGATGAGGGTGACCAAGTCTAGCATGCCACAAGTGACTGGAGGAGACGGTCGTTTGCAGAGCTGGATGGTGGCGTGTCAGAGCTGCTGTGATGTGGTATAATTTGTTGATAAGCTGTCCACGAAGCAGTAGACGCTGATCCTGAATGTCCTTAATATCAAAACCATTAGCGTTAAAAGTAATGGAAATGCGATTGTTTGTAGTTAATTTAGAAACGGAAAGTAGATTATGAGTGAGTGAAGGTACGTGAAGCAAGTTACAAAGGTGTAGCTTACAGTTTGAATCCGGCAGAGGGATAATCCCTTGGCCGGAGTTTTGAATTTGTAAGTTGGACCCGTTGGCTATGGAAACCGAGTCCATGCCTTGATAAACGGACTGGTTTAGTAGATTGGATCTCTCCGGTGTGAGGTGAGTGGAGACACCTGAGTCAAGAACCCAGTCTTGATTCGGATATTGCGATAGTTGGGAAAGCATCGCTCGAGGTCCGTTGGTGATGGTGGGAGCGTATTTGAAGTTGCAACGATGTCAGCAATTGAGCGCAATGTGGTTGGGTTTGCCACAGATTTGGCAAGATGGTATTGGGTTATTGCTAGATGCAGCTCCAGACGTCGGTTGAGCGGGTGCGGGATTTCTTGGCGTTGAGTAAGAATTCTTGAAATTCTGTTTGAAGTTGCATCCCCGAGTTGAATTTTGTGATGTAGCATGAAGAGCAGTCAGAGCCAATCCGATATTTGCATCTTTGAGTATTTCTTGGTTTACATGAAGCTCCTCACTGCATAATAAAGAATAGATGTTATCAAGATCGGCGGGAAGTGAGGACGTTCTAATTACCGTTTTGAACGAGTTGTAAGTTGAAGGAAGTCCGTTGAGAATATAGAGAACAATGTCTTCCGGTTCTACTTTCGAACCGGACGCGGCAATGTTGTCGACGAGCTGTTTGATTTGAGAAAGATATTGTTGCATATTGAGATCCTTCATTTGGATATGATGTAGTTCATTCTTGAGTTGAATGACTCGAGAACGACTCGTTGGTTGTAGGCAATGCTCGAGGATTGTCCAGACTTCTTGGGCGGTGGTGGAGGTGATGACATAGGGTAGGATAGATGGTGAAATCGTGGCAACAAAAGCGGAAATCAAATTGCTATCTACGAGATGCCATGTGTTGGAATCTTTATAATTCGGTTCCGCCGGTGGTGGATTATTGCCTGTAAGATGTCCGGCAAAACCTGTTGCCGTGAATTGCTGTAGAATTTGGAGACGCCATATTGCATAGTTGTCGGCGGCGAGGGGATGCGGAAGCAAGTTATTGATGTTGGAAATGAGAAATTTCAAGGAAGCTGGGATGAGAAGCTCGGCGGAAGAAGACGCCTCAGCGATTTTTGCAGAAGAGGGAGGGATGGAGGTTTCAGATTCTTGATCCCCCATTGATGGCTCTTGATACCATGTAAGAATGGCAAGAAGAAAGAGTTGCAGAGAGCTTAGGCGGAGGGCAACCGTGAGAAAGAAGAGAAAATAAAATCTTATTCATAACAGAGATACAGAGCTGCTTATATAAAAGAATTACAAGTAATTATGTAAATAAGAGAAATAATCTAATATATGAAATGCTGGCTGACACTTCCGACCTCCATCACCCGCTGAATACGATCATTCCGACCATAGCCGTTCGCTTATGCCCCCTTCGAACATCGTCGCCCACCTACGGACCTTCCGACCTCCTTTGCTCGACGATTACGATCCTTCGAACTAGCATCACCCTAAATACGTGCCTTCAGACCTCCATCGCCCGCCAATTACGATCCTTCCAACCAGTGTCGCCTAACTACAGTCCTTCAAACCTCTTTCGCTTGTCGACTACGGCCCCCTTTGACTAACGTTGTCTGCCAATAATCTTTTCGACCTTAGTCGCGCCACTAACTAATGGCCTTTCAACCTCTATCGCCTACCAACTATGGTTCTTCTAACCATCATCCTTATCCGACTATTGTCCTACCAACCAAACGAACATGACAACACTATATTGAGAACTTCTATTATGTAATTTTCCAACTATATAATATGCTCTATATAATATGTATTTGTTTCATCGAGCAAACACCCTCCTCCGAGAAATGGCATTATTTGTAACCAACCACCAACACTAGTGGAATCATTTCAACTGGGCATGACCCTATAAATTTTCCCCCTTTTTGGAAATTTTCACCTAAAAATTCTGTTGTCTCTTATGCATGATGCACTATACTCTTTTATTCGTTTGTGTGCTGTATCTTTGTACAAAATTAGGACGTTAAACTTTATATCTCTCTAACACCGCGAATGTTCCAGGACTCAACAATCTTAAACATTTTTTGTATACACAAAAATTAATATCAATTCAACGATACTAATTTGTATGTATATACATATTCATATATAAGAATATTTGTTTATAAAAATGGTTCAGATAAAATCCAAAAAAAAAGGAAATATATAGAAGGGCCTATAGGTAGTCTAAGAAATTACCATGCGATGCAGATAATTTATTTTTATAAAATAAATTGATATTGTGGATGTCGAAAGATTCATAAATAACTTAGCCAAACAAAATGATTAAAATAGTAAGGATTTAGTTCAACAGAAGTGCATTAAACATGAAGATAAAAAATGATTTTCTTAAAAGAGAATATTCAACAGAGGTGTATGAGATATTTTGATAAACTCTTCAATAAATATTTTGAGAATACAATTAATTTTGTGAACTATTTTTTAAGAATAAATGTGATGCACATTTGTGTGTGAATTATAGATGAATTAAGTTAACATATATACATTAAAATCATGACAGAGTAATTGAGCATAAGTTATGAAGCGAATCCTTGGTTCGCTTGCAACCCTAGAAGTGATGCTAATGGTTCTCTGAATCAGTTCAGATTCATGCTAGGTAGGTATATTATGGAAGTTATATATTTGTTGAGAGATTTGATTGAGAAGTCTAGATAGAGTGAGAGGAATATACATATGATGTTTATTAATTTAATAAAAATATATGAGAAAATTTCAAGATAAGTGTTGTAGAGGGTTCTAGAAAAATAAGTTAATATTGCTTAGACTCAAGTCATTAAGAATATGTATATAGGAGTTATTACTTGTGTTCAAACACAATGTGATTTGAACAATTTTTTCATATTTTTTTGGGTTTACCTCAAGAATTAGTCGTAAGCTTGTATCCTTTTGTTTTAGTTATAAATGTTCTTACTAGACATTTGTATAAGAATGTAACTTTGTTTATTTTTTTTGGCTGATTATATCATCTTTGCTGATAAGGCTAGAGAGGGAGTTGGTAAAAATTTTGAATTATGGAGGTCAACGTAACCTTAGAGTCTAAAAGGTTTCATTTAAGTAGATGTAAAATTGAATACATGTAGTATAATTATAGTGGTATTAGATATATTGGTATTGTGACATTGGTTGATCAAGTCATTAAAAAGAATGCTCATTTTAGATATCACATGTCGATTGTTTAAGGTGGTGGTGAAATAGATCATAATATTTTTAGTAGAATTCAAGTTGGATGGATAAAGTGGAGAAGTGCATTGTTTGTTGTGTGATTTAAAAGTACCCCTCAAACTTAAGGGCAAACTTAAGGGAACACATCATCAAATGGTTGTGAGACCTAAAATGTTTTTATAGTGTAGAATGTTGGCCATTAAAAGAGAAACATAAATTTTAAGTTTAATGTTACAGAGATTATGATGCTTAGGTGGATGAGTGACTTTACACTTGGAGAGCATATGAGAAAGAAGTAGATATGTGAAAAGGTTGGAGTAGCTCCAGTGGAAGATAAGATTAGAGAGAATCACCTTAAATGGTTTGGTCGTATAAAATGTTGTCCTTTCGTTGATCCAATTACGAGAGCTTATATATTAGATTTGCTCTATGTTAAGAAAAGTAGAGGCAGACATGAAAAGGTTTGATATTTTTTATTAGATTTGAAAATAATTTGACTCTTAATAAGACACAATTGAGCTCACATCATGGGACAAAGGTTTGTTGTTGTACATGTTCACGAATAAATAAATATTAGTTTTAATAGTTGATATTACAATTATATTAAAATTATAAATATATGAATATTTACCCTCATATATCTACATTTTATCAGATATTTTAATGGCTAATACTACAATTAGTTAAAAGGTAAGTTTGAACTTATTTACATAGTGATATGAATAGAAATAAGATATTGATAAAGCATGGATGAGAGAGAGAGAGAGAGAGAGAGAGAGAGAGAGAGAGAGAGAGAGAGCACTCTTCAAGGATTCAAGTTAGAATTTGTTATAACCTACATGCAAAATGTTGTTGAAGGAATCCTCCTTTTTAAGCATATGTAATCCAAGATTCAAATGTTCTTTATAAAAGGGATTGAGTTAGCATATTTACGATTGTTTTTGCTCACACACAAGCTAAAAAGAAATAAATTGCACCATTAAATATGTTAGTTGATATAGTGGGAGGATGACGTGTTTGTACCAAGGCAGTGACGATCAATAATTATGGTAGAAAATAAAGAAGCATGAATACCATTGTGGAAACATGAACTCCTATCTTGCCTAGTCATGCAAAACGTGGAATACTATTTTATTAGATCTAAGTGTGCTCAATAGTATGTTAAATGATATAATGACCTTAATATGCAGGGTATCATAGAGTTAATGATGCTATGTGAATAAAAGGAAATATTGGGTGATTGATTATTAAGGAAGAGGCTAATTTTTATGTGTAATCCTTAGATAAATATAAGGAAGAGGCTGAATGAAATATTGTAAATAAGGATAAATCATGCCTAATGCATCATTCGTGCCACACTTAGAGTAAAGCATGATAAAATAACACATTGCCAATAAACATGAGCCACAATGATAGCCCGACCATTTTTATATCTTTTGTAACTCGCAACTAAACTAGAAATTATTATACTATACATTCAATACACAGCTAATACACAACAATACATCACATTTGTGTATTTAACACGTCTTCATTTGTTTAGAGTACGGACGTAGTCCTACGTTCGGACTTCGCGCGTAATAATTTATCCTAATAAACAATTTGTTAATTAGACGAGACAACTAAGTTAGATGACATATATGGTAGTAAAAAATATTAGTTTAATAAGCTTGTTGGAGATAGTCGAGAAGAACATTTAATTTTTAGAGGATTTCTCTTCTTTTTTATAAGACTTGTTATTTTTTATAATTAAATTTTAATTTTTTTTAATTAATTTATCAACTTAAAGCTAAGAAACTTTTCATACAAGATTTAAAAAAGTATGGTGTTAACTACAAATAAAAGAAAATAATATATTTTGTTAACAAAAAAAAAATTGAACTTTGGAAATGTGTTTACAAATTTCTAATTAACTTTCTATTGGCATTGGGCAGAGGCTGCGGTTCGACTCCGCTGTTACTCGACCGGGTGCTAGCGGCTTTCCCGGCTCAAAGTTAAATGGCCGATAGGGCCCTCATCGTGTAATTTGGTTTCCCCCGATGGAGGAGGAAGGGGAATGCGTTTCGTTGGGCGACGACGTTGGGGAGGAAACCCTAGACGATGACGTTGAGATGGCCGAAGCGGAACTCATGGAAAACGGCCGATTCGCCGGAGAGGCGGATTCTTTGGGCGGAAGCAGCCCCGGAATCGGCGGCGGTTGCGGCTTTGGTGGTGGAGGCTGTAAGGAAACTTGCAACAATGGAGGCGGTGAAACTATTTGCGATAATGCGATGGGGGCAACAAGAAGGAAGAGGAACAAGAAGAAGAGGAGAAAGAGCGGTTCTAATGCCAATATCACCGACATCAACAGGCTAGTTTCCTCCCTGTAAAGCCAATATTATATTAAGGGAATTATGAATGATTCCATAGTTATTTTTTCCTTCATTAAAACATCTTTTATAGATCAATAAATATGGATAGTTTTGTATGGTAAAATTAAAGCCTTTTTCCCTCTCCAATTCTTTGAATTTTAACATGGTATCAGAGCAAGGCATTGGGTTCCTGCGTGCTTCCTGCTTACGGGCATCTGAGATGGAACGATAAAAGGAGAGCTAGTGAGACGAGGGCAGCTTCTTCCTGCTTCTTGCGTTCAGAGGAGTGAGTGTGAGCAGGAGAGATACAAGACTCCTTCGTCCCTTCCAGCAAGCAGCCGAGAGCAAGAGGGATTTGGGGCTGAAGCTCGCTGCGTGCTCAAGTGAAACTGAGAGGGAGTGGAGTCAAGTGGACGGAGCTTCTTGCGTGCGTGCGTCCGTATGGGACGAGCGAGAGTCCCGAGCGCGAGCTTCCTGTGTGCTTGACATTCTTGTGTGCGTGCTTGAGCGGAGACGAGTGGCTTCTATGTGCGTGGGGGGCGGGTCAAGCACAAATAAGGAGTCGAACAAGCTTCGTTTGCATTTGCATTGGTCTATCGAGTGGGGAGCTTATATTTTTTTAGGATGGAGAGGAAATTGTGGGAACTTGAGCACATTTATTGGGTTTTCTTCCTCGTGTGTGTGTTGGAGCCGAACCGAGCAAGAAACGAGCGGTTGAAAAATTGATGTGCTTACAGTCTAGAGGGATTGGGCTGTTGTGAGTAGGACTCTTGTGTCCACATGAGAAAGGGAGACGGAGAGGACATGAACGCCTTATTTAATAGAGGCTTCAAAGCCAATAAGAATGTCGACGTCAAAGCACTCGCTTTGGTTGATGAGAGGCCAACAAACCTTGTAGGCGGCGAGGCGAGCTCGAGTAGAGTTGCCATTGGCTGTGTCGTTGGCATAGCCTTGAACGTTCACGTTGGGCACAAAGTTGCCACCGACTGTCAAGAAAGTGTGGGTGTCATTGTCGTCGGTGTCGCGGGGACTGTTGAAGGTTGAGTTTAGTGGGCTGATGATGGCTGCGTAGCCCTTGAAGTATCCAGCACTGTTAAGCTTCCTGTTGCAGGAGAACTTCTATATTTGGTTGGCTGATTTAGGAAGGATTATATTAAGGCAATTATGAATGATTCCGTAGTTATTTGCTTCTTTATTAAAATACCATTTATAGATCTATAAATATGGATTGTTTTGTGTAATAAAATTAAAGCCTATTCCCTCTCAGATTCTCTGAATTTTAACATGTTATCAGAGCAAGGCATTCGGTTCCTGCATGCAGGCATCTGAGATGGAATGAGAAAAAGAGAGCTAGTGAGATGAGGGTAGCTTCTTCTTGCTTCTTGCGTTTAGAGGAGTGAGTGTGAGCAGGAGAGATATGTGACTCCTTCATGTCTTCCAGTGAGCAGACGAAAGCCAAAGAGATCGGGGCTGAATCTCCCTGCGTGCGGTCCTCCATGCGTGTGCGAGCATAATTGAGTGGGAGTGGAGTTAAGTGGATGGAGCTTATCGCGTGCATGCGACCGGACAGTACAAGCGAGAGTCCCCAACGCGAGCTTCCTGTGTGCGTGCTTGAGTAGAGACAAGCGACTTTTGCATGCGTGGCCGCGTGGGGGCGGGTCTAGCACAAGCAAGGAGTCGAACAAGCTTTGTTTGCATGTGCCTTGGCTGATTGAGTGAGTGGCTTATGTTTTTTTGAGGCGGGAGAGGAAATCATGTGAACTTTAGCACAATTATTGAGTTTTCTTCCTTCTGCGTGTGTTGGAGCTGAATCGAGCAAGGAACGAGTGATTGAAAAGTTGTTGTGCGTACGGTTTGGAGGGGCTGGGCAGTTGTGAGCGGGACCCCTACATCCACATGAGAAAGGGAGACAAAATGGAAATTGACACCCTCTTTAATAGAGGCTTTGAAGCCAACAAGAATGTCAGCGTTGAAGCACTCGCCTCTGTTGACTGGAGGCCAACAAACCTTGTAGGCGGTGAGGCGGGCTCGAGGAGAGCCGCCCTTGGCCGTGTCGTTGGCATAACCTATAACGTTGGCGTCGGGCACAACGTTGCCGTCGTCGGTTGAGAAATCGTGGGTGCCATGGCCGTCGGTGCCGCGGGGACTGTTGAAGGTTGAGTTTACTGGTCGACGAGTTTGAAGTATCGAACACCGATAATCTTCATGTTGCAGGAGAACTTCTGAACTGCACGAGGGCGAGATCACAACCGGTAAAGGAAAGAAGTATTGAAAGCTTGGCATGACACTAAGTAAGAGAGAGAATAGGTGTCATAGTTGGATTCCAATATGAAATCCGGCTATCTCATTTGAACATCCATTTCAGAAATAGATCCACACCCTTGTTCTTGGAATCTTTCTATCTTTTTGGTTGTCGGTTGGATCTCAATGATTTGATCAGAGCCGATTGGAGTTTGAATCAGATTTGAGGTTTTGCTGTGATAATGCGAGGATCCCACTAACCAGAGTTATTGACAAGGAGATCAAAGATCTTTTGGACGACTTCGAAGAGCATCGCTTGCGAAGTGGCTCAGATGTATAGAAGAGGAAGGTTGAAAGGGGGTGAAGTAGGAAGAGACAAGAATGGCGCCGAGTATGATCCAGAATGCAATCAGTGCGATGGAGGACCAGACGAGCATCGACCTTGCTAAGGTGTCGAGTAACACATGTGACATCCTCAGCCTCACCTCCTATTCCCACAGCTACATTGACCCATGCGTGGCCACCGTCTCTCATCGGCTTGGTAAGAGACAGTGGAAGATGCTACTCTGCGAGCAATGCAAGAGGAGCTTGGTACCAGGTTTGTATGTGGCGCGGGTTGAGGAAATGGCATCAATTTCATATCCTGGCTTGCCTGCTCGATACATACTCCATTCCATTGAGACTCTAGTTGAGAGCTTGTCGAAGGAAGGGGACTTCTCAACATAAGAAACATGAAAAGGTGAGGAGTTGAGTATTGTATAGGTTGTTTTTGTCGTAAAGCATTTTTGGAAATGGATTGATGATTATGATGGTGACAATGAGCCATCTCACCACCATCTTTCATTGTTGGAATTCTGATGAATAATGGTCATTCCATCGGCCTTCATTGACAGAATTATAAGGAATACAAGTTCCCACCATTGGCCTTCATTGCCGGAATTATGATGACCTTTATGCATCCATGATTGAGGAGAGATCGAGTGGGAGGGATCCTCTTACGTGCGTCTGGGGCGGAACCAAGCAGAGCCTAGCGAAAGCCTCCTGCATGCGTCTGGAAAGAACCAAGAGTTCCCTCTCGTACAGGTTTAGGGCTGGGACAAGCAAGAATGCGAGACCTGCACTCTTTCCTCAGATTTGATCGGAGGGATCGGAGGCCTTGCGTGAGCCTGTACGAGGCCTATCGAACAAGAATATGTTCGGGTGGAGTTGGATGATTGAATTGCATTGGGCCTAAGGATGGCTCTCATATGAGAGGAGATCTGTGTGCTGAATGCTAAGCCTCTTGAGCCGTGTTTTTTCTGCTTTTGTCCCCCGTCACAACCCTGCTGAATGTTGGCCATTAAAAGAGAAGCATAATACTAAGTTAAGTGTGGCAGAGATGAGGATGCTCAGGTGGATGAGTGGCTTTACCCTTAGAGATAGGATACGAAATGAGCATATACGTGATAAGATTGGAGTAGCTCCAGTAGAAGATAATATTAGAGAGAGTCGCCTTAGATGGTTTGGTCACATAAAACGGCGGCCTTCCAATGGCCCGGTTAGGAGAGTAGAGCTATTAGATTTGACTTATATTAAGAAAGGTAGAGGCAGACCTAAAAAGACTTGGTTAGAAAATATTATGAATGACCTTTTTTTATTAGATTTAAACAAGAATTTGACCTTTAATAGGACATAATGGAGAAAAAGGATTCATGTAGCCGACCACACATAGTGGGATAAAGACTTGATGTTGTTGTGTTGTCCCCCATCACAACCCTAGAAACAGATTTTTTAGCTTTCTACTACCGTGCCTTCATTGCCGGCCTTCCATCACATAAGCACCACTCCTATAAAATACAAACAGTTGGCTTTTAAGCTGCTACCGTTGATGATGATACCCATATTTCTCCTACTTTTTCAGCTCTAGGGACCTGCTGTTCCGGGTGGATTTCTTGAGTGCTTTATAGTATTATGCTCTACAGTTTATTCAGCTGCACTTTTTTTTCAACCGTGGTGTCTGAGTTAACAAGCTTAGTTTTCCGCACTACCCTGCCTGTCAGTGTGCTGTTCTCTGTATCATCTTATCCATTACTGTATGTATGTTGAGATGCTTTACTTCAAGAAAGCTCTAGTTTAACCTTAGTTTTCTTTTGGGACGCTTTCCAGACACAATTTGTTTATCCATCAATGAAAGCACCTGATTATTTTCCTGATGATTTTTTTAAAAACTTTTTATTGCTAGCCAAATGAAACGTTTCTAGTTCTTTTGTTTCATTGAAAATATTTTGTTTCTCATGTGATTGTACCATTTGTTTTATTTTCTATGACCTATAACTGATAGAGAATGTATTGCAAATTCAAAAAAAAAAAAACTTTTTTGATTTTTTCAACCCAATTTCTCTAATATATATATATATATATATATGAGAAGGAGAGATGCACTAAAAATATATGACGCCCTTGTTGTAAGAAGATTTTATTGTCTTATTTTCATAATACTCACCTAGGCAAGTGGTGCAGAGTTTTTCTTTAAAAAGAACCTTTCTACGCTTATACAATTCTCTGTTGGGAATTTTTACCACATCTCTCCATTTTATCACCCGAGGAATTTCTTTTAGGCAGTTGCTTATTCCTAAAATTCTTACTTACAGAGGAATTAGTTGACATTTTAAAATGAAATTTCAAAGTTTGCAACTTTCTTTTTTTTGTGAAAAGTTTGTTTTGTATTTTCCTTTTTGAGATAAGAGTGGAATCCCACTGCCTACATGTCATTTATTTGAATAATTGTCGTCCTTTGGATTTCAAAGTTTACTTTTCATAGGACAAGCCAACAGCTTAAGCACTATGTTGCAAGGGCCTGTGTACTTCTCTGAAATTTTCCTGTTCGTCAATAGCTGACCAATAGTTACAGAACAATTTCATAATAAAAATCTGTGGTAAGGTTTATAACCTGATATATTTCTATGAACATCTTGGGAGAATTTTTTTTCTTTAAAACTTTTTACAATTAATGAGCCTACATTTATGTTATCATTCAGTATCCTTTTAATTTTAAAATTTTGCATTTCTGTTTTAATAAGCAGCAGCTATTCTGCTAGCGTGAACAAAATTCTAGTTTTCCCATAAGGGCGCAGCATGGTCCTCTTGCTAATGCAGGTGTAGTGCAGGAAGGAATTTTGTCTAAAGCTGTCATTAAATGAGCAGATATGCCTAAAAATTATACCAGCTCATGAACTTTGTGATTTTCTTGCAGTATTTTCAGTTATATCCATTTCATTTTAATATTTATAGGAAAAAATGTATCGCTTTGCTTTAGTTTACATTCAGCTTAATGAAAATGTCAATGATTAATTTATGATTTTGCTGTTCTCAGGTTCGTGATTAACACATGCAAGCAATTAAAAGAGAAGAAGTCATATCTAGTATGGAATGCAGTTGGTTGTCTTGGAGTTTATGCTATGATGGATCTTGTGAAAGAGGTACTGATCCAATGCTAAATAATCAGATTTATTCTTCAAAGGTCATCGAATTTTTAGGCAGCGCACTGTTTATAGCATGGTCTATATAATGGACAGTAATGTCAATGTCTTTTGAAATGTGTGGTCTTATTGTTAAGCTGGTGAAATAAATCCTTAATGCACTTTACTTGAACCAAATCCTTATTTCTCCTTGCAAAATAATCTACCAGTTTCAAAATTTTTCTCATCTGTTAGTTTATTTAGAAGTTAATGCTTTGTTCTTGTTGTTAAGCATTGATGTAGTGTTGGTATCAAAGGCTTGGCTAAAATATTTCATAGAATTAAATTAGAATTTTATGTAATTTTACAGTGGGGATTGTTGACAGTAACTCGTATCCAAGCAATAAGTTGGATAATAATTAAGAAGTTTGTTTACATTTCTCTCCTTCTTCATGATCATTGCCTCTCCTCTATTTTGATTGTTCTCGCCATCCTTGCCTCCCACCACTTCTTTGCTATCATTATATCTATAGCCATAATTGCCTCATTATCATTCATGAAAAAATAACATCGTTAGAGGGTGCTCAATCTAAATTTTGCTTGACTAGATTTTTTTTGAATTTTGAAACAAGTTTCTAAGAAGAATTCATAAAGCTTGTTCGTAATATATTGGATGAAATAGATGATGATTATGGTTGTTATTAGATTTAGATTTTGATGTTATGATATAGTGAAGAGTTGTAACTTTGGCAAATTTCACTAGTCTATACTCCAATGTAACCAGTTGAACTTTGTGAATTTCATTTATTTTGCATTACTTTTGTAATTACTTTTATTGAATTTTAATTCTCAAGATGAAAATGAACTTTAATTCTCAATTTCATATTGGGTATTTAGCGCCCATTTAATTAGTAGGAAAATTGATTTACCTAAGTAGTGTGGATTGATGTATTTAGCGCCCCTCCTTTCAATAAACAAAAACTCAATTTCTTATCAAGAAAACAAAGAAGTACTAAAACAAAACAATTTTTACTAAATTTCTACCCAACCAAACAAGTGGGGCAAAATAAATCTCAGTTCAATTTCCTTATCATCTTCATTATAAAATCCTTTCTTGTAATTCCTCCAAACTAAAATGGTAGTATAAGGCTAATGATAATGATGATCTGAAATATTGTTGAGCTTTAATTTAATTGAAGTTGTTTCTTAAACCTAGGTGAATACCATTCAGCATTGCGGGGGACAAAAAACTGCAGATGGAAAGAGATTCCGTACCGGTGGTGGTATTTTATGGAATATTTTAAAGAGTCGTGAGCCAAATGCATACAAAGAAATTATGGCAAAGGGCAAGGAGTTTGAGGTAAGCAAGCAGTGTAGATTAATACTTTATGTTTCTGGGTTTTGCAACATTATTCAACTCAATCTTTAATTTATGTTGCTTATGCAATTAGGAAAGGATCTCCTCCCAATATAATGTATTAATTCTTTGCTGGGCTCCACCCCTAATCCTCTCTCTCCTTGTCCCCAGCCCCACCTGGGCCAGACTTCCTCGCTGGACCAATCCGTCTGTACAACATCAACAACAATGACAAGCCTTTGTCCCATTACGTGGGGTCGGCTACACGAATCTTTTTTCGTCATTGTGTTTGGTTAAAAGTCAAATTCTCATTTAAATCTAATAAAGAAAGATGATTTCTAATATTTTTTAACCAACTCTTTTTAGGTGTATCATTCAAAAATCCAATTCCAAATAGTTGGGACAAGGCTTCTGCTGGTGCTGATAATAAATATTCACTCAATTAAGTGTCCTTTATATAAAATTTGATGACATAATACTGTATATTTTAAATTCATCCGGCACTCCTCCCTCTCCTCTTTTTCTTTTGTTTTTTTTCTTCTAATTTTCTTTTTTCAGCTCATTCTTTCATCTTCTACAGAAGCAATTTAGGCAACCCCAAAATAAGCAGAGTTCAGGCAAGGATGTTGTAGTTTCTCAGGTCCAACATGATCCTCATGGTGCATCAATGTGTCCAGTCTCAGATTCTTCTGACAACTTACCATCCTCGCAGCGAAACCAAGAGATGGCCGAGCCCCATAAAAGGCGATTGCCCGTGCGAGAAAGAATTCGAGTACCTGTCGTCTACGACGACTTGCTCGAAGAGGGTGAGATCTATGAGCCATAGTTTCTGCTAATAGTTCCAATTCCAAGCAGGATTTTGCACTTGTGCAGTTATTATGAGGAAAGAATGTGATTGCCATCTTTTTCTCTATTGAGATTTTTCATTTTTGTTTATGGCTTTAGCACCCATTAGTAGATTCTACAATATGCAAGTCTTTGCCATTATGTATTAGGTTAAGTAAAATTTTGTTTAATTCATTTGAAGTCTAATGAAATAGGTCTGAGTTCTTATCGACTAAAAAATTCCTATATAGAGCAATCATGGGATAATTGTTTAGATTCTGTGAATGATTAGATAATTGACTGCTTAAATAAATATGTTAATTAAGCATTCATCTTGCCAGGGGCAGATTCAGCTTTTTTTTTTTTAGAATGGGTAAATTTTTTTTAATTAGATGATGATAATAATAATAATATCATCACATATAAATAATAACAAAATAATTTTTTTTTTTAAATTTATAACGTAATGCTATTAAATTTATAAGAGGAAAATTTTTATCATTTATTTTTCAATTATATAAGGCATCAAAGTTTGAACATAATGCGTGAATTGCGAAATAAGAACTTGCAGGATTGATAACGATGCTTAGGACATCTCCAACTGAGAACTCCATTTTTCACGGTAAAATACAACAAAATTCTAAAATGCCGTAATTCTGCTCCAACCGAACTCCATTTTAGGTGCTTATGTGAAAGTAACGATCATTCTCCCTTTTCGCGCGTTTTTTCGCCAAATTCAGTTGAGAGCAAAATAGCGTAGGTGAACAGTACAATGCTAATATTCACGTTGCCCATTTCACCCGCAAATTTAAATGATGGAAGATTTGGCGTTTGACTCTAACGATTGAGCGACATCATACCCACGTTTGACATTCCGTTGGAGATGTTCATAGGATGATAATATTAAAGCAAAAATATTAAAAATGCCCTTGTTAGTATAGTATTTATTTTTTAGAGGGTTGGACCCATGCATTGCACTGCTTGATCACACATTTCTGTTGAAAAAGAGAGCTATTTTTCAATTATTGCTACGAGGAATAGGTTCGTTCATTGTTGAAATATAGATGCATGCCAGTACATAATTTTTTTTTTGTTAAGAATTCCATATGATAATTGTAGGATTTTATTTAATATTTTATTTCATAGATTTAAACGCTCATAATGTGTAGATAAGGATTAAGAGTCCTAAGATTTATAAATACTTTTAGAACTCATGTGAAATGAGTTATTAAAATAAACAAATAATAAAGATTTATGCCTCTTTTTTTTTTTTTGGAACTGAGTATCCACTTGTTGTCACCCCCGAAAGAGCACTTAATGATATGATTAATCATCGACTGACCTAAAAGAGACCTCCTAGCCCTCACTTAATTGGGTCCCACTTAAGAGGGAACAATTACTACGTCCGATAGGAGGCCAAATCGCGGCAAAAAAAGAGAAATACCTAGCAATACCAAACAATAACGAGGAATACCATCACGTGAAGACCCAATACCGAGTTATACCGAGCAATACCGAGTTATACAAAAGTTATACTGAGTTTTTCCTAGAAAAAACTCGGTATAACTCGATATAGCTCGGGTATAACTCGGTATTGATCTTCACAGAGCGGTATTCCTCGTTATTTTCAAATAATACCTAATAATACCGAGCAAATACCGAGTTTTTTGGCAGAATTTTGCCTCCGACCGGACGTTCCTCTACGTCCTTACACCGGACCTAATAAAAGTTCCTTAAGAGGGGCTGCAACTTAAGGGGACAAATAATTTCCTTTTAAAAGAGGAAATACATTATAAACAAAATGCAGCACAAAATATAATAAATATTACAAAGCAAGGCAATTAGGCACACATATTGCTCATCTTTCATGTAGACGTGAATTTAAGATGCCATCAAATTTTTCTCAGTTAGTATACAAAACATTAAACCAAGAAAAAGAAGTCAACTATATTTCAACCAAAAACTTACAATTTCAGATGGCAATCATTTCTTCGGTCAAGTCTCCTCTCCTACCGCTTATCTAGCAATCATATCCAGAACTTTCAGCCATTGATGCTGCGCTCTGAGCTCTGACATCAATCAGTGCTCAGGTTTCCTTTGAACCCACATAAAATCTTGATATCCTCCGCGGCCGCGACCAGCTTGGCTCCCATGGTTATTCAATGGTGGTCTCAACCTTCCCCTGCCATATGCAGAAACCATGGCCGCCGGTGATCTCTGCCTCCAGTTCTCAGATCTATCCGCCATCATCAACCTGTTATCCATCTGCTGGTAAACAGGAGCAGCAGCGCTGTGCTCTTCCCGGCCGTAAGTGTTCAAATTGCTCGAGCCTGCGAATGTCCGATCCACAAGCAGCTTTCCTCGACCCGAGCCATCCCAACCTTCACCTGCAAATTTCCACATCTCCTTGCCAGGCCTGGCAAGTGATGAATCCAGAACCAGCTTTCCTCGTCCCATACTTCCTTGGGATGTATAATTTGCCGATGCAGGCAAGGTTTGTACATCTCTTTGTTGTCTGATTATTAATTTTATCAGAGAATGGCTAAATTCTTCATGTATTAGACGTGTAAGTAAAAGATGAAGTGCTTCATACTTACAATGTTTGTGGAGGAAAGTGCCCAGGATATTCATGCCAAAGCATTCGCTCAACAATGTCATCCTTTGTAATAGTCTGCCGAAATGAGATTCATCACAGATATGAAAATATAAAAATTGCTGCATTGACTAATCACAATTAAGGCTTTGTTTGATATGGCTTTCTTGCTGCTTCTTAAAGCAGTTTTTTAATACAAAAATTAGTAAGAAAGCCGTTCCAAACAAGCCTAAATCATGAAAACTATAGCTAAAACAATATGATATAGCCATCGATAGGATAAATTTGTATAATATTCTTTATGTTGTTTATGCATTGTTCTTCTTTTCAAAATTTTTTTTTTTTTTTTCACTATTGGCTGGTTGTATTAAATTTCGCCTATTTCTGTATACATTTTGACATTGAAGTATTGATAAAATTCAGTAGCTCTGCTTTTATATATCTTGCACCAATTGTGAACAGACACCATAACTTGCTTTGTAAATTAAGAATACATATTCATCTCTTAGCAAACCTTTTCTGGGATTTGAACGCCGTTGTTTGGTCTAGGAATATGTGTTTGGGGCTTCTGGTTGATGAATGTCTCCCACCTATTGAAGGATAATATCTTCAGTTAGATAATTTCATATATAGCTTGAAGGAATGATTTACAAAATAGAACTTGCCTGGATCTGTTACTTAGTGTATCGTTCATGCTTAAAACAGAATCAAAATTCGATAGAGAAAATGTATCTTCACAAAGAGATGAGAAACGATTCATTCCAAGGCTGCAAAAGACAGGAAAAACAGATAAATTTGGAAGGAAATAAAAATCTTAATTTCACCATGGACATAAATGTGTTGTACTTTTGACATGTGAATGTTTAAAATCAAGCGCCATTGCATTATGGTGGAATATATAGGTTTCAACAGTAATGATAACTATAATAAATTTATAGATTACTACAAAATATTAATGGATGCAAATAAAAAATAAAAACAAGTACCTGGGTCCAACAGCCTTAGGATTTTGAGTTTCTTTGGAAGAATTATCTGAACCTTGATGTTGCAGACTAAGTTTCGTAAGCAGAGAATTTGAATCCATGAAAAAAACTTTATCACTACTGACACAATTCCTCTCCATCTCTTCAGGCTTTAGATCATTCATCACATATGTTAGATAATCAATAGTGTAGAACTGTGAAAATGATCATTCAAGGTTTAAGAGAAATAGAGATAATTATCACCTTTAGTTCCTTAAGAAGCACCTTGGTTGCCCCTAGAAGGCTTTCTTCTTCGATAAATGGTAGCTTACAAACACCCTAATCCAAGATTAATATGAACTTTATCATGAAAAGCGACATCATTAAAATCTCCTTATCCATGATTAATATGCATCGGTATCATTAAACATGCAACAACTGGTGCACATAAGTTCTAAACCATGTTATATATAATATTGGACTAAATGCACTGACTCTATGATTTCATGATTCTCAATAAAAATGGAATGAAAACTTGGCTAGAAACTTGGATGAATATCAAGACATTAACCTGCCATGTAAAACGTTTCCCATCATTGTCCACCTCAAAATCTAGTTAAAAAAAAAAAACTTTTTTATCAAGTGTGATTATTAAAACCGAGACCAGAAAAAAAAAAATCCTTACCTTTAGGGTAGAAATTAACAATTGGAGAGTTATCGTCGTTCATCAAACTCATAAAAGCTTTGGGGAGAGCATGAGAACTAAGGGACAAAAGAAATTACAAGAGATATTAAGATATTAAACATATTGGGTTAAACTAACAACTCTGATTTACCTTCTTGGTGGGAGAACTGCCATAAGTTGATCAAAGGGTTTGAACGGCCTCCCAATTGCAAAAGATACCTCTACACGACATATATCTTTGAAGTCGGATGCAAAGGGAGCGTAATAAAACGGATAATACCTGTTAAAATAACTTTTTGAGAAAACTCTAAAATAAAGACAAGGAGGAGAATTCGTTGTAAACTTTAATAAATGCAAACACTTTTTCCTCACCAGGACCAAGAGCATATTCCGGTGAAGTAGTACTGCAAGACCCAACATAAGCCTTCAATATATTTCTTTACCTAAACGTAATATTGAAAGCAACACTTAACATAAAGCTACATCAAATTTACTATTACAAATCAGTGATAAACTTCTAGGCATGGCAATTTTAACTATTAGTTAAATAACCTTAATCCATAGAAAATAGAAAGGAGGATAATACTTTCATGGAAAGATGGACAAGATCAATTGAATGAATCAATGCTGCGAATTAAATATTGCATAACCGTTGTAATCTATATCGCAAACAAATAAAATAGAGGAATCACAAGTTATACAATATAAATTATAAAATTGTAAACGCACAAGATCTTTACTAATTGCCTCAATTTCCTTTGCATTCTCTGCATAGAACTTTTCTTTGTAAAACCTTGTCTTCCAACCAGGGCAACCAAGTCTGACCTGAAGAAAACCTTTCTGTTAACAACGGGAATATGCAAAAGTCCAAAAGGAAACACAGCTTTAAATCATTATAACAAAAAATTTGAATATAAACGCCATACCTTATCATTTTCAAGAACTTCATTCTTGAAGAGATCAGCTTTATCGCGTAGGAACATCTTCAATTTTCGCTTAAGTTCCTTGGTGTTCTCCAGGGCCTAAAAAATGAGAGTGAACAATATCCACTTAAGTAAAAAATTATAACTAAATTTAAAAGACTATTTTTAAGGCAAAATATGTGTTTTATCCAAAACTTATATATAATTTAATCTAAATAACATAATATAAATTAATAGACATACATCAGATTCCACGGTGCAACTAGCTTCCATAGCTGCTGAACTAGAAATATTACATTTTATTGAGGAGTCTAATATATGTTCTGAAGCTCCAATTCTGCAATTAAAATTCTCTTGCGTGACATTGAATTCCTGTATGAATGAATGGGACATAATTAGAACAAGGAAAGAATGTAGTCAAGTATAAGCATCATTCTAGTCCTTAGTAACACTATCGCCCCACTGATTTGCAAAAACTAATTACATCATTTTCGTCTTTATCTCTCTCTTGCAACAATCTTTGTAGCTTCTTCTGCAATCCAACAGAATATTCAATAAAGTATCATACAACCGAAACAAAAGTTTGAAATGCATCAATTATCTGCATTTTATCATTGCACAATTATACCTGCCTGAGCGTGTATCTTTTTACAAAAATATTATTCTCGTATGAAGCAACTTCCATTATAAAAATTCTAAGCCCCTTGACATTTATATATGCAGTATTCTTTTTATTGATCTGTCCAACAATGGAAAATTACTTCAACAGTCAAATATGCTGAGTGTACAAGGAAATTATAAAACTGAAGAAATTGATGAAGGCAATGACTTACGTTGCTTGCATTGATTAGATAGTCTCCCATAGAATTGAACACCTTTTTGTAGACAGCAATTAGCAAATCTATTCCACTCTAGAGAAATTTAGCAAAGTGCATGTTCATTAGTTAATCTAAACAAAACAATAGTTATATCATCATATTTTGTCCTCAAAACATGATAAAGGTTTCATGGATCAACAAGTCACTCATGCTGCATTTACCTCATTGATTTCAATAGAGGGGAGATGAGGTAGAAAATCATTTCCGGTGAAAAAACAGATGAAAATAAAATCATCTACAATCCTTTCGATATCAGCATCATATCGAGGCTTCATATCAAGCTCCAGATATTCTCTTAGAATCCAAATATTCAAAAGCTGTAAACAAAACAATGATGCTCTTTACCAACATAATAAAACACCATGGCTTTATATGCGTTGATGATTGACTAGAGAAAAACCTGATAAGGCTTCTTATTGACTCTTCTATTACCAGCTGTTTCAATCCTTTTGAACCACTGCCTAGACTTAAAAACCTCAAGATCTTTCTGAGAAGAATTTGCCACAAATGTTGATAAAGAAACTTCATGATGATCCTGCTTGAGAACTTCCTATTTCAACCAGGAAACCAAGTTACCAAAAGTCAGCACAATCAATTTTCTTCAGTATATCTCCAAAGCGGATGTGAATGGCAAAGATTGTGCCATTAATAGTGCCTAACCTCACGCAGAACACAAAAATGTATCTCATGTGTGGAAAGTGCAAGCATGATGAGATCAGCATCCTACAAAAAGAAGTTTTAATAGATACCCAAAAGATATGTAGTGTTGCTTCAAAGTGACCAGATTCTTACAAGGCCATAGAGGCAATGGCGGGTATTCGGGTTGTAACCTGGAAGCCTACGTTGTAGGCGTATAAATGACATAATTTTGTGCTCCCCCTCACCAGGAACATTTGCATCTGAAAGAATAACCTTCAAGGAAAATTTTGTAATTAAGATCAGAGGGCATAAGAATTTTAATCGAGAAAATATTTGTATTGTAACTAACTGCCACAGTTTGCTATAGACAACATATGAGTGTTAATTACATGTTAATTTGTTTTATCATGCATATAAATAAGGAATTGAACTAGAGAAGCCATTTTAATAATTACCACATCAATTTCCTTACCACCACACAACAATAAAAGAATGAAAAATTAAGTACGTTAGTAAATATGCTGACCGAGATGGATTTCCAAGAAGGATCATTATTTAGTTTAAGATGAATATATTTCTCAAGAGCCTTCGATAATTTCTGCATAAATATAGTTCCAGGAGTGATGACATTCGAATCAGAGACTTCAGAATACTCTGATTTAGGAAGAAGCTCTTTTCCCTCATTCTCAAACTGCCTCCTTAATCTATACTCCTCTTGTTCCTAATTAAAATAAAATAAAAAAAATACATAATAAACACATAAGTTTCATAATCAAGTGAGATCAAATAATTAATATAAATTGCTCGTGAAAAAATGCTGACGGCCGTAGCAGCATCTTTTGCTGTTCTATATCGTCGTGCTCTCTGCTGATTCATTTTGGCCCTGGGAGCTACTCCATCTGCATAATAGAGAAGGATTGCACGAGATTCATCAATTAATTGCATAGTTCATCTGGTATAAAGCTACATGCAGCGTACTCATAGCTAGCATCTGTTATAAATTGGATTGATTTCTACCTTAAATCTTACTGGGATTAAAATCAAGAATCTAGCGTACGAAAAAAATGTAGATCAAATCAAACTTAATATTCATACATTTAGCTCGAATCAAGCTATCACATGGCTGTATCAAATTAATGATTAAGCTAAATCTAATCTAAGTCTGATTGAAAAAACCTTATACCTTCACATTCATAAAATTATATAAAAAAAAAAAACATCAAAGAGATAAAATCCCGAGAACGCACCTACTGCGAGGTAGAGAAGTTTTCTAGGCCGAACAATCCGAAACAAATGATCGATGTACTCGAATATGGCAGAAAAAACTTCATCGAAGGTGCATGGCGCAAAAAGCTGGTAGATCATAGTTATTAGCGGGGGATAAATTCAACAAGTTCATATAACTGTGTACTGGCTACTCTCGATTAGGCAGACGAACCTCATCATCAGGATGGAAGCAGGGATGTATAATCCCATTCATATCCAGATACAGATTATCGAATTCGCCGTTGGGGTTTCTATCATCATCGGTAGCACAGTCTTCACCTCCATCTTTGGCGTCTACAACTGTTTTGGGATATCTTTCCACCAGCCATCGGTAAAACGAGGGAACGCCCATTGCAGATTTTTCTTTCTCGATCTTTGCTCCGTCTGAATTTAAACTGAAAGTACAAAAGCAGGAAACGAGAAACGGAGTTCCAATCGACGCGCTCAGCTCAGTGGAAAAGATTATGATGATGACGCGCCAGTGGAAGCGGAAACGAAGAGTCGGAGAGTACAGATCCACTGACGTTACAGGTATGTGTCTGTGCTTTTTTTTTCTTTTGAAAAAATTATTCTGCCCAAATTTAAAAAAAAAAAAAAAAATATTCTGTGGGAATACTGAGATAATCTAAACATCAATTAGGATGTGTCGTATCATTTTTGGTTATATTTTTTTTTTTTTTGAAAAATTTTGTTTGTAATGTACTCCATAAGATGTACATCAAGCTAAGGCCTTCTCCCAAGGAAGGGCCTCATTTGTAATTGACTGCAAATGCTAGTGGATTCTTTCAAACTGGGCTATGCCCCGTGGTTTTTCCCCCTTTTATAGGGGTTTTCCACTTAAAAATCTTGGTGTCACATAAATGCTAGACCCTCTCTCTTATCTGATTGCGTGCCAGATTTTCGTACAATGCTAAGACAATAAACTCTATATTTCTCTACCGCCGCGAATACTCCTGGACGCAACATTTATATATAGATGCTATGTACAATATATTGTGACTTGTTTTGATTGAACTCTGAACTGTCTGGTATATGTTTATCTAATTTTATTTTAAAAAATAAATAAATTTAAAAAATTATTACAAACGGGATAAGCAAGAAAAGTTGAAAAAAACTTACAAATCTTCACAAAAAAAAAAAAAAAAAGCTAAAAAAAGTAAAAAAAGACTTAAAAATAAAGAACCCTTGGAAGTTGGAACTGAGAATGATTAGTAAGCCTTCAATAAACTAAATATGATATAGGTCAAACCTCAAAAGATGGGATTCTCTTTTAATAAAGATGACAAATTATAAAGTGCCGAATTCGGATATAGAGATACATTCAGACTCCAATAAATATTGATATGTAGAGTGGACATATGGATATTCAATTGGATTTAATTTTTTACTTTATATGTTTAATGTGTCCGTGGAACTTTACGCTAAGTGCATCAAAAGCATAGTCAAAGCGCATCTAAAGCACACCCAAAATCGCAACAAAAGAATTGTCAAAGCGCAACTAAAGCGCATGTAAATCACAAGCAAAACATACAAAAAAAACGCAACCAAAATGCACTCAACGTGTCAAATTTTAAATGAATATCTGGACTCCGCAACTAATAATTTTTCGATAAGAGAATTCCAAACAGTTCATCACAGTGCCAGAAACATTAGTCCAAAGCAAAAAAAAAACCAGCAAAATATAACAATGAACTCCAGACCTGTAGAATTCCAAAACCCAAAAAAAAAACCAGCAAAATAAAACCAGCAAGAACTTCCAGATTCTAATATCAACATTAATGAAGAATATCAAGAAATGCAGTAATGAAACCTTAATGAACCTCTTTCCCAATATTCCAACTGAAATAATAAACAAAAGTAACAGCCAGTAACCCAAAAACAGAGCAAAAAGAATTAAATGGCAAGATTTAAGCGAGATAATTTTAGCTAGGATAGCATTCTTAATCAGCCTTTTAACATTAACCATACATTTCTACTCCCCAGCAAATTTTCTATTATTTTGTTCTCTCCATAAGAAATAAATCGAATATGACATGCTTATAGTCGAATCAATTGGCTCGACTAGATGAATCCAATGAGCTTAAGATCACATAATTCTGACATTATTAAGGTACTTAAATGTTCGACAAATGTTATATGATTAAGGAAATCAATATCAGTCGTTTGATGGAGCACTCCCAACATGCCCTTAATCTTCGATATATTTACAAGCCATATTATTCCTAAAAAATTATAAATAACCTCCATTCTTTACATGAAAAAAAGGAGGAGAAAAAGCTTGAGAATTCTCTTTCACTCTCTATCCAATGATGCCACAGTCGGAGTTCTTCCCAACTATCGATCATAGTTGGACTTTCTCTCGTTCTCTGATTATCGTCAGAACTCTTCCCGGATGCTACCGAGGCCTGATCTCCTCCCAAATATTGTCACCCACTGATTATGATCCTTCCGACCATCGTCTCTTATCGATTACGATCTCCGCAATCACTGTCTCCCACCAACTAAATCCTAATGTTCAAACAAACATACCAACATTCTCGTAAGAACAACTATCATTCCGTCATTCGACTATGTAATGTGCTATATACATTAAGTTAGCACCATCCTCCGAAGAAGGGCATTATTTATAATCAACTACTAATACTAGTGTAATCAATTCGACTAAGCAAGGCCCTATGATTTTTTTCTCTTTTAAGGGTTTTTCTTTTTCATATAAAAATTATGATATATTTTATTACTGTTGCACTTCATTATCATATTTGTTTTTATATTGTTGGATCTTGGTACAAGGCTAGGACGCTAAAATTTATATTTCTCTACTGCCGTGAATATTTCAAAATGCGACACAAATAATGCCCTACTTCTAAAAAAAAGGTGTTGGCTCAACATAGCAAATGTATATTGTATGGAACATATTATATATATAGTTGAAATTGGGAGGATTCGATGACATGACTCATGAGAGTTGTTCTCAGGAGAACGTTGGTATATTTATTTATTTGGTAGGAGCGTACTTGAACTGCGGAGGTCAGAAGGATTGTTGTCGGCAGACGATGGTGGTAGTAGGGCCACAATATGCAGGTGATAGAGGTCAAAATTAGGCTTGATAATGGCCATTGGAAGCAGGTCTGACGTCGTTGGTTAAGCATAGGTTTAGCAACGGCGGCCTGGTGGCATGAATTCGTCGGAGGTGGTGTCGGGGTGGAGCTTTAGAATTTCTTCAAGCTCCAGAACTCTTCTCTTCTTCCTCCTCCCTCTCTCTTCATGTGAAAAATGAGAGGCTATTAATAGTTTTTTGGGAGTTGCATCCTCAGTAAATATGGAGAAGATCCTCGGTAGTTTTATAATGTTCTATCGGACGACTCATAGTAATTCCCTTGATCTTGGGCTCGTTGGATTCGTCTTCTTGAGCCGCTCGATTCAACTATAAACATGTCATATTTGAATATCATTTCGTCATCCAATTATTGCTTCGAAGCTTTCAAGAGTGTTTTTGTACTTTGATTTGGGCTTGGATTGAATTGAATTTAGCATCATTGTGTTCATCTTCGAGATGTTCTATTTGATTATAAGCTTGCTGAAATTGGAGTTTGGATGATCCCAAATTTCAATTTTAGAAAAACTTTATTTTATTTTATTTTTTTTGAGATTCATGTCGTATCAAAGCAATTTTTTGTGACAAATCAATACTAATTTAAAATTAATTTTAAAATATATTTTATGGTAATAGAGTTGCTTGACGAGCTTATCAGCTGAACCTAGCTGAGCTAAAAACGTTTGCCATCCCCAAAGTGGCTTGCTGGAGAAGGAGAAATAGTTTTAGGGAAGAGCAAAAGGGGGCTAATGGCAAATCTAACTGATCAACATTGACATTTTATCAAGTTAATTCTTATTAATTCTTAAGCTTACATATTTAATTCTATTTGTTGTAGATTTAGTAGATGTTTCTTGATCTCACCATCGCAACAATGTCAATACATGTCATACATCCAATCGACAACAACACCAACGCCCAACTTCATAACTCGTTGTTGCCAACAACGTCGACATAAATGCTTATAAAGTTGATGCTTGCCGTAGACACCAATACCTATGCCAACTAGTAGTGTCGCTCACTGTCACCAATAATGTCAACCCGCACCATCGCTTACATGGTCAATGTGCATTATTGAATCCCATGCTAATAGTCGCCAACTTCGTTATCTACTATTGCAAACAGCGTTCACACAGGCTTCACCAATAAGATTGATGTGCGTTGTCAACACTAACTCCAGCTCCCAAAGTCAACATAAAGATTTATACTGAATTTTTTGGTCTTTTGTCAACTCTCCTCTGAAGTTCACAATTGAATATGTAACTAATGATCTTATAAAGGCTCTTTCAACTTCTATCACGGAATTCATACTCTATATTTTAAACCTATTATTTTGTGTTAATACTATCCTTTATTACATGGAAGGGCATCATTTGTAGCCGACTGATACTATTCTAAAATCATTTTAATTAGGCCAAATCTTGTGATTTTTCTTTTTACTTATGATTTTTTCAAATAAAAATTATGGCGTTCCTTATAACATTCTTCTATCTTTGTGCATATTTGATTTTTGTATGAAATTAAGAAAACGGCTTCCTTATGCTTCTTAAAACAACGTTTGAATATAAAAATTAAGATTTTTGTACCAGAAAGTTTATGTAAGAAGCACTAAGAAAGTAGTCCCAACCAAATTTAAGGCTTTATTTTAAGATAAGCGAAGGAAATTATTTCAGCAATTTTATATTTTGTTTCATTTTTATTGGAAATTATTCAGCAGAATCTGGTGCTTTTGGCTGCAGCAAGCAAAGCTACTTCTGCTTTTTCACTTTAGAGATCAGCAAGCAGATTGATCTGAATGGAGAGCTGATAAGAAGTTAGGTGGAAAAAAAAGATAAAAAGATATGTATAGTTTGTATACTGTGATTCCTCTTAAGTCTGAAGCTTTTCCAACCAACAAGCTCTTAGCTTTCACCATTTTTTTTTTCTTTTTAGTACAAAAGAAGAAGAAGAATGGGAGAAGAAGTGTGGTTTGAGTTAGCTTTTGGTTGGTTGTTTATTCCTGTAAATTGACATCCATATGAATTTATGGCATGTTGGTGGTGAGATTTTCAAACATTAATGAGAAAAAGAAGAGATTGAGATCAAAACAGCGCAATACCGAGTTTTTTGAAAAAACTCGGTACAACTCGGTACTCGGTATTGCGCTGTTTTGATCTAAAACCGAACGTAGAGGAGCGTACGTTCACTGGATGTAATAAAAGTTCCCGTTTGAGACGGCTTTCTTATTGCTTCTTAAAGAAGTTTTTTAGTACAAAAATTTATAAAACTGTTTTAAGAAGCAGTAAGAAAGCCGCCAAATAAAGCCTAATTTTTTTTTTCTTAGTACGAGGGTTTGTTAATTTAGTTTATTATAACTTTATTCTATTATGGATAAATATGATCATTGAAGAAATATATGTTGAATCACAGTATTAATTTGTGTTGTTTTTTTATGTTTTATTTTTGGATGATGCTATTAAGTCTTTAATTAGGATGATTGTAATATTTTTTTTAAATAAATTTATTTTAAAAAATTTATTGCAAATATTATTTACTTTTTTTTAATTATCGCATGATAATTATTTTTTATAATTTTCACATCTGATTTTAAAAAACTTATCCTTATTATGAATTATTTACAAATAGAAGTATTACAACTAATTAATATTTTACAAATAATTATATCATATAGACTCCAAGACTAAAGTTAATTATTTAACATTTTTAGATATTTAAATACAATAATCATTCCTCCTTATGCTTGATATTTTATTAAATTATATAAGAATTGTAACTTATTTTTATTATTTCCTATAATTAATTTTAAAACAATTCAAATTTTTATTAAAAAATTCTATTCACATGGGGCAGTGGCAATTTACAATGTTGGGATGAAAACAGTAAATATTTAAATCATTATATTTATTTTAAAATTAATGTAATAAATTACTCATTCATTATATTCTCCTTAAAATAAATTTAATAATTTATTTTATCAACCTTATTTTTTATACTAATTATCTTTTAACACAAGACTTGTTTCAAATACTTAAAGGGGAAGATTAATTGTCTACTTCCTTTATTCCTATTCCTCTAAGTACCAAACTCTTTCTTTTTGCTCTAATTTTTTTCATTTAATTAGATTAAATTTAGCATGATGTGTAGACATTTTAAAATGTCCTTAATGAAAGAACTCTTATATAATAAATATATTTGAAAAATTGAGTATTAGTAGGGGTGTGTATTGTTTGGATAAAATGAAAAGATTTATAAAATAGAAATGACTTTATTTTCACTGCAGGAAAATCACTCATTATCGGCGATTTTTGCCGGCGGTTAGCCCTTGTTTTCCGGCGGTTGTGGAAAAAACCTGCGGCTTTTCGGCGGTTTACGAACAACAATTTGTTGATTTGGTTTGTGTGTAAAAGTCTTGGTACAATTATTGATTGTAATTTCGATGTTCATTAATTTTTGGCTTTAGTTTCGATTTTCTTACTTGTGCAGAATCAACAACAACAATTGATACAGTGATATTGGACTATTCAATTCTCATTGTATTCAGGTCATACGGTGTGTTGCTTCTAAGAATTACCCTAATAATAATATAATTTATTAAGGAATTCATATCATAATTGTTTGATAAATTTTACGTTAGGTGTTAACTATCTAACGCAATTCTAAATTTGTATCATTCAGAATTTGGGACTTTGCTATGACAATGTTGATTTCGTAGAACCGATGAGAAAAAAAAAATCAAATTATACTAATATCTTCAAATAATGACAAAAATATGAAGATAGATATTCTTGATTATGCATGTGAAGATTATAAAACTTAACCAATATTACTTAATATTCTTTTTAATACATATTATTTAAGTTAAAAAATAATTGCAATTATCATTAAATTTATTTATCTTTTCGTTCATTCAAAATCAAACTGAAATAACAATGACTCTTTGGGATAACTTTCTTACTTATTTGCTTTTCCGACCACAATCACACTTTTATTTGACAATTACTTTTAACAAACTAATGTTCTAAAATCTACTTTTTATAACAACTTTTAAAAAATCAATTTTCTCGTAATAATTTTATAATCACCTCTATATAAAAGTATGGCCTTATGAAAAAGTCCCTTAGTTCAATTTAGATAATTGCTTGTTAGGTTCAATTTCCTTCACTTTTACAATTGAGATTAATTGATTTAGATATTTCTTGCTTTCGCATTCATTAAGCTCCCCAACATAACATTGATAATTATATTAAGAAACCACTTAAGCATATCTTTCCCATGCTTTTCTCTTTTAATCCTACTAATTTAGATTTTTAATATATTTCACTTTGGTGGTAGAAAATAAATTAGTACAAAAATATTCCGACACAAATTATCTCACACGTAAATCACATGTAAAAACAAAATAAAATATTACGCAGCTCGTTTAGGTCTGATAGTTTCGAACTTTGACTACCAATTAGGAGATATTGGATTCTAATTTTCTATATGATTTATTATATTAAAATTTTCATTAAAAAATTTATAGATGATGAACCTTTTGAAAAATTAAGCCAAAATATAATTATTACGGTATTTTAAAATAAATTTAAGGTTTGTAAATTAAAATTATTTTGGTAGAATTTGGATTACCAAAAAAAAAGAAAAAGGTAGTAATTTCCTAATTAGCCGATTTAGAGATCCGACCTGCTGCCATCTGCACATGAGTTTCTATTTTTACTTCATAGGTATCACCAATTATGAATCTACCATAATTATCAGACATTTATTTGACCTATCGTACTGTTTAAAAATCTCCAATTATATCTAACTTTAAGAATGACAATCACATAACTCCTTAAGAAAATAGTTATTGTTTGGTATAGCTTTTGACAGCTTTTTAAAAAACAAAATCAGATTTTTTTTTTTTAACTAAGAAAATATTTCAAACAAAGGAATTTTTATTCTGTGCAGAGTGCGGAGTGCGTTCTGAGACCAATAAAAATGCGTCACATCACTTCATTGGTGGATACCCAGCTCGGCACCTGCACTCGGTACCGCTGAGTACCCAGTACTTAGCTGTATGGTTCTCCCGTTCGGTGTCTGTATATAATAATAGCTCTAATCAAAGGACCTCAATATACCTATTGATTACACTCACTTTTAATTTTTTTTTAATTATGATGTGCATAAAATTAAAATAAAAATCAATTAATTTAGGTTGTTTGGGACTAGTTTAGGGAAAAAAACATTTTGAAAGTGGTGGTAAAGTAACTTCTAAATATATTTTTTTTAGAAAATGGTAGTCAAATGGAATTATGATTGAGATCTAAAAAATAAAATAGAAGGAAAAGTTGTCTTAAATATGAGAAATTATTCTGCACGTTCATCGGACCATCTGAGACAAATCAGAGCGTGTCACGTCACCCAGTACATAGCACCGTTACATAGCAAAAAAGTGATGTGGCGCGCTTTAATTCTTCTCTAGATGTAGTCCGATGACCACACAGAATAATTTTTCCTTAAATAGACCCATAGTTATTATTTTCTATCATATTTCTCACTATTTTTAATAAAAAAGCCAACTAATTTAATTGGTATAAATCCTGAAATTTATTGAATTATACTTCAATTGTTATGATTATATAGAAATATATAACAATATTAAAGGAACATAATTAGATTAAAAAAATTAATAAATAATCTTTAATAAGAAATTAAATAAATACATAATAGAATAGAAAGTTAATTAATTACAATAATTACTAGTTTTTTCCTTTTAAACTTAGTATTAAATTTCTAATATAAATTTTTTTTAATTAAATTTTGGTGTAGGCCCCACTTAAATTTAGCCGTGCATGTGAGCTCACTGACATGGCCTCTGGACAAGCCCATGTCCTCTCTCTCTCTCTCTCTCTCTCTCTCTCTCTCTCTCGTGATTTTCCTCAGCCCTCGACCTCTCCTTATAAATACCAATTTCACCCAAATTATCAGCAAAAATCCCCAATGGAGCTGAAACTCTGCTCCCTCCTTCTCCACCTCCTCCTCCTCCTGCCGCTGCTGGTCGGCGCCACCCACAACTACGGAGACGCCCTCTCCAAATCGATCCTCTTCTTCGAAGGCCAACGATCCGGCCGCCTCCCGCCGGATCAGCGAGTCAGGTGGCGGAGAGACTCGGCGATATCCGACGGCTCAGAAGCAGGGGTCGATCTAGAAGGCGGATACTATGACGCCGGCGACAATGTGAAATTCGGATTCCCAATGGCCTTTACCACAACAATGCTGGCCTGGAGCGTCATCGAATTCGGCGAATTAATGCCCTTCGATGAGCTCCGGAATGCCGCCACCGCCGTCCGGTGGGCGTCTGATTACTTGCTTAAAACTATCGCTTACCCAAATCGTCTATTCATCCAGGTAACCGTTTTTCTTTCTATTTGAAGAATTCCTTCGATTTTCTGGCATTCCAATCAACATTTTCAGCACATGATTTAATTCTCTTACCAATCACGACTAGTCTTATTTTGGAAATTTATTTTATGATTTACAGATTTTTATTATTTAAATTTTCAACAAATAGAAATTTCTCATTTTTTCTTTTAAGTTTTAAATAATAAAAATCTCTATATTAATTCTAGAATAATACTGAAATTAATAAATAATAATAATTATTTTTTAAGAAGTGATGTTTAAATTTAAGAAATTAATATTATAATTTGCTTTTTAAAATCATTTTTTGGCATATTTGATTTTTCATTTCAAAACATATTATAAATTTTCTATCTTTAATTTAAATATATTCAATAATTCATATTTTAAACAGTTGATTAGTAATATCATATTTACTCAAATTTTAATTGACAATAAAAGCCATTAAATATCCTTTGAAATGATTATTGCTTATTAATCCAATGCCACGCCCACGCCAAGAACAGATCCTAAAATCGCTATTAATCATCCAATAACCAGTTCGTGTCATTGATAGGTAGGGGACCCGATAAGGGATCATAATTGCTGGGAGAGACCCGAGGACATGGATACTCTACGGACAGTATACAGTGTCAGCTCCGAGAAGCCGGGATCGGATGTGGCTGGAGAGACGGCGGCGGCGTTATCGGCGGCGTCCATGGCGCTCCGGCAAATCGACGCCGGCTATGCAGATAGGCTATTGGAAGGCGCATTTAAGGCTTTCGAGTTCGCTGATACGTACAGAGGAGCTTACAGCGATGATCCGGAGCTTAAGGCAGGTGGCTGCCCATTCTACTGTGATTTTGATGGATATCAGGTAAGCGTTAATTCCATTGCCTTATATGTATATCTTATATAGTTTTTATATTTGGCATTGGGAACATATTTGTGATACTTAAATCTTTTTATGGGGAGGAATTTAGGTAAGATTTGACTTTACTGCCAATAGATTTTTGGAGGTTTTAAGTACTGCTTTTGACCCACCGTTAATTAGTTTGGTTGGTAGACGAGTATGATTTGGAACCCTCTAACTCGTGTTAGATTCCCCTCGAGCGGTAGCAGCTCTTAAGTTGGGTCCAATCAAGTTCGGGTTAGGAGGTTTCTGGGGTGAGTGCCTCTTTTAGGTCAACCGATGATTAGTCATGCCACCAAGCGTCCTTTCAGGACTCGCAGCGGGTGGATCCACCGTTCTCCAAAAAAAAAAAAAAAAAAACTTTTGGAGAAATTATTCTGTACAGAGGACGGACGCAGCTCTACGTCCGAAGGTGAATCGGGTGCAGCCACATTAGTGGTACCGAGTCGCGGCACACAACGAATGGGTAACATGGTGCATTCTGGTTCGTCTCCGAAAGTATTTTAGTGTCTACACAAAATAATTAACCCTACTTTTGATGAATGTGTATTTATTAAATTCATTTTTTATATATATTTTATGATTTAAAAAAATTATTTTTTTTCTTAAAAAGTTCAAATCTTTAGCAAATTGTCATTTTTTATTTATTTTAGGAAAGCTTTAAAATTATCATATCAGATTATAAATGAGTTTAAATTAGAGATTAAATGAATTTAAATTATTTTTTGTGAGATTAAAGGTAAACATCATATCAGATAAATCATTTCTAAAATAAGATACCAAATAGCCCCTAAATAATTAAATATTTCCAATGCTAAACTTTAAATATTTTAATAAAAGCTACTATTTTAATAATTAATTCCTTTTCTGATGTACTATATTTATATATGGGATTATATGATTATCGTGTTAAAAATAATTTTTAGATTTCAATCCTCTAAAAGAAATTTCCAAACAGAATGATGGGGACCTATTTTATTATTTTAATAATTACAGCTTTATCCCCATTATTATTGATTTGAGAAATTCTCTTATATAACCCTGAAATTCTGAATAAATAATGAAATAATTTATCAAAAATTAATAATTATCATGCAAAATAGTTTTCAGATTTTAATCCTCACATAAATTAGTTAATCAGAAGTTATCATGCAAAATAGTTTTCAGATTTTAAACCCCTAACATTTGTTAAATCTAAATTTACTGGATTTATTGAATACTATTTGAATTAAATCTTATTTATTGTCAAACAACCCCATGGGTTACCTCTCACCATCACAAATAATGTCATGTGATCTAAGATTATATATTTTTATATCCATTTTTTTTTCCCTCAAGTGTTCAATATTTATTGTCTTAGCTAATTTTTGAGATAATTTATATTCTTCAAAAAATTATGTTGCATGTGCATTTAATTAGGAGGATAAAAAAATTCATTACTAATAAAAATATATGACAATTTCTTTGGTTTATCTAAGGAAATAAAATTTAAATAATTATTGTGTACTTTTTTATTGGTTAAAGGAAGTGTATTTTACTAGAGCAAAGTAAGATAAATGTTGTTAAAAAATGTTCTTTAAATGATAAAATTAATTGGGAAAATTTAATTTATATCAGAATACTACATATAAATATTAAAAATAAAAAAAATAATTGTATGCTATAATTTTTATTTTGTATGCTCGTTCTGACATAAATTATATATTTATCTCTTTCTATGGAATATGGTAATAGACTGAGTAAAAGAGAGAGCGAGACCACCTCATTCATTAAATTTCGGTGCATTTAAAGCTTGGAGGTCTATAGTAAATTAGTAATTAAGATGGCTTGTTACGTTTTGCCCATCATTCCATTAATATAGGATTTAACAGTTTTAAAATGGAGAAATGATAAAAACTCTATAGAAAATGATCTATTAGCACAAGTCTATATAAAAAATGTTCAAAAGATCTAAGATATTATCTTTTTTTTACCTTTATTAATAAGGATCTGAGGGCTACAAAAAAGATTATATCAATGAAGAAATATTAAGTACAATAATTAATGACCCTTAATACAAATTATTTTAGAAATGTGTTATACTCTAGCTAGATTGAGGCATGATTACAACTCTTATGTTTGCTCCTTTGTCTTGGAGCAAGTTCCCTAGTGCCAAGTGTGAAGAGACAAGTAAGAGTGTGCAAGTTTATTGGTGAGGGCTGAGCTGAGAAGGCTATGATTGGCGAGTACTCTAAAGTCGTTGACAACCTTTGTTGGAGCCCTAGATTGCTTCGGAGTGGGAGGCGAGTATTTTGAAGTAGTGGGCGTAGTAAGCTCCATAGTTGGTTGATTGTGATAGGGCAAGATGGAACTCTTTTAAACATCATTTCCTGCAAATGGGATGATGACAATGGTTGACGAATGTGGGCTCCCAAAATTCGTCCCCAGCATTCGCCCGCTTGTTGATTTTCTTTTCTTTGGCGAGGCAGTTTTAACGGAATTAAGTTCCGGGGTAAATTTTCGAAGGCATATGAGTTAATATATAAGACACTACCCAGAGATTTCGCCCTCATTTTGCGAGGACTTTATAATCTGAGTTCAGGTTTCCTATAGTTGCAAGCCCCTATAGTTAATTACTCCTCCAGTAACGAGAGAGAACTTTCGATTAAGGCTAGTCATCGATCAGAGACGTAGAGATACGCGCATCTAGCATATAGTAGCAGTATGAACATGGATATGAGATTTAAGTTTGGATTTAAAAAGTTTGAATATTTGGAAATTTAGGTTGAAATATTTAAAATAGAAATTTCACCATCTTGCACTTAAAGCGGATAGTGGGGGAATGGATGATGGACCCGATCAAGATCCCATGGTTCCGTCGTCCCGGGCCATCATGGTCCCTGGTCTACTTAGTTAGAGGAGGTAGTCGTCCCAACTTGACAGAAGGATCCTTGTCAGTAGCCATGGGTTGCTTTGTCCAAGGGTACCTTATAGACCTGAGGTGAATATTTGTCTAAGGGAACAAATTTGAACCCATCTTAGCTAATAGGAGGATTTGTGTCCTATTGATTATACCTTATTAATTCATATCTAAATGATTTGATGTCACTAAAGAATGCATTGGCTTTGGCCATAACCAGTATTTTGTGGTGCAATTTGCCAGCAAAATCACTCGGTTTAGAGGGCCCGGGGTCATAATAATTTATCCTGCGGTGCCATTTGGCGACAAAACTGCCGGTTAGAGGACACATATCACGTCCTTATTGGCAGTAGATTGTTTGATAATAAATCATAGTGATATTTTTGACCAGACATTAACTCTTTGTGATCTGAAGTACATTTCAGCTTGTCCACCTCGATAAATTATTGCAGAGGATGGATGGACTTTATTTTAAGTGTTTAATGAATGGATTTCAATTTAAATATTTTTTGATTTATTTGGATTTTGGAAATTTCTATGGAGTTTTGGAGTTCTGATGAGCATTTGGATGACATTTGAAAGTATTTGGAGTCAACCCCTCCGGTTGATATTTGCATTCAACGCGGTCATCATCGGGGTGTTTGCGATCATTTGAAAATATTTATGTTCTGAATATTTTTGAGTTGTCGACAGAGAATAGGGTTTCATAGGCTTTATGCCATTGTGAGTGAATTATCTTAATTATAGGTCTTGAAGGCCTAATATGAATGTATAAAATAAATATCTCAGTAGACCTCACGACTGTATATTTATTAGATAGTTCGAGCCGTGTTGACTCCTATTTACCTTTATAGAAGGATCTGGGCTCAGACTTGAATTTACTTATTAACCCGTGCAGCATCTATATACATCACATGTGTACCAATAACACGCTCGTCAGGGCTCATGTGAATGTTTGGGGGCATTTTATAGTTGTTTGTTGAACCTTGTCAACTCCTATTTACCTATTTAGGAGAATCGGGTTTAAATTTAATCACCAGTGCTTCCCTAGACGTCAAAAGAGGTTTCATTTTCACTGGAAATTTTGACAGCTTCCCGACGTTTCCCCCGTTTAAGGGAAAACTACGGGAAACTGGGTCTTTCCCACAACTCTAAGAAAAGCGTGTATGATAGGTGTCCTTAGACGAGGACACTGCGGCTGTATTTTCTTCGTCCCCCACCACGCTAAGAAAAGCGTGTATGGGTCTTCGATATCTGTTGCAAAAGAAGAGCAGTTGTTTCCCCGCAAGCGTGTACTTATGGGTATCTCCACTTCATCGTACGCATCGCACCGGGTTCTCATCCTACCACGATAAGAAAAGCATGTATATGCAGTTTTCCGGTGCACCACGAATGCCAAAAAAAGGATTTTAGGTTATTACCCACTTCGTCGCAAGCGTCGCAATGCATTTCCTCCCACCACACTAAGAAAAACTTGTATCGGTGGTCGTTTTGTCACGCCGCATGCGTCAAAACGAGTTCTCTAAAACTTGCAAAATTGTTTCTTTCCCCATTTTTTTTAAAAGCTCTTTTCTCTTTTTTTTTTAACTCTTTTCTCTCTTTTTTTTTTTTTTAATGAGCTCTCACCTGGCCTCCCTTTTTTGTTTTTTAAACCTCTCTTTTCATTCATAAATTAATTTTTTTTTTTGCCCATGCATTCACACACCCCTACCTGCAATATGTGTAATGTATGTTCAACAAATTTACAAACATATATACATACAAATATTCATATCTAAAACTAATAATAAACATAAACAACACTAGCTAATGCAAAGCTTAATAAGCCATCATAATGAATAAAATAATAAAAAAAACTAATAATAAACATAAACAACACTAGTTAATGCAAAGCTTAATAAGCCATCATAATGAATAAAATGAAAAAAAGCTTACTATTAAGGGGTCCTAGGCTGAAATCCAGAAGGAAAACGAGCTTGTGGAGAGGTTCAAATTAATTAGTTGTAATGGGCCGGGTTAGCTTGGTTGAGTACAGAATGACCGTTGAGGTTTTGTGGGCTGCACTAGTAATAATAAGATTGGAAGTATTGGAACAAATCTAGCCAGGCGCAGTGGAAAAGAACGTTGCTGCCAACTACGGGACTTCATGTGAAGAGCCTTTTAAGTAGGGATCAGCAAGCAGGTGGCTAGGGGGTCTCCACGTGGGCCTATTAGAGGGAGGAGGTAATTGTTTTTGGAGGTTTGAGTAGGGGTGTCAATTTTGGGTCAGGGGTCGGGTTCGGGTTGAATCCAAAACTCACTCGACACTATTCGGGTCAACCTGAACCCGACCCGCTTTGGGTTTGGTTCAACTTGACCTGACACTGATTTGCGCGATTTGGCTAAAGAAGTGCGCGAAATAGCTGGCGAACGGACGGGCAGCAGACGCGACTGCTGGTGGACCTTCAGCTGCGAGTATGGCTGACGAACGCAGTGACTCTGTTAGTCTGTTTGCAGGCGTGCGATGCAGTGACAGTGCATGGGCAGCGGTCATGGGTCATCGGACAGGCGGACGACAGATCATTGCGCAGGAAACATTCCGCAGTTCCGGAATGCCCTATGAGCTTGTCTGCTTCAGCCGCTTGACGCGAACGGCCAACCGAGGACACGACGTCGCGACAGACTCGAAATTCGGACCTGACAGATAGATGGACGCGGACGGATGGACACGGACGTGAATGACGCGAACCCGGGTCAAACCGTGTTGATTCCAAGTTTCCGAGCCAACCCGAACCCGACCCGGTTTTACAAACGGGTTGAAATCTCTAACCCGAATCTGAAATTTTCTTGTCGGGTTCAAGTCAAATTTTCAGGTCGTGTCCAATATTGACACCCCTAGGTTTGAGGGAGGAAAACGTGGGATAAAGTGCCTTATTGGGATGGCAAAAAAAAAATCAGCCTTTGTTCCCTTCCTTTATTTTGATGTACTTCAAAAAAAAGAAAGAAAACTACTCATTGATTAACAATAAAAAGATGCATGCACATATATAAAATGTGACAAAGTTAATAGTGAAGAAATAAAAAAGAACAAATATAAAGAAAATGACTTTATAGAAAAAGGCGAATAGGAACTATTGTGGACCCTAACATGTAGCAGAAATGATATGTTAGCTTTCACGTGGGGAATGGGTGTTATTTTTTTTAACTTTTTGTGTGGAGTAGATGATATTTATGTGTGAGACGAACAATTATTACGTCCTCCGTCCGGATGCAGAGGAACATCCGGTTGTAGGCAAAATCGTGCCTATACCGAGGTGTACCGAGTTTTTTCATCCTTACACCGGACAAAATAAAAGTTCGTGTGAGACACACAAACTCACCTTAGCCTACTGGTTGAGAGCTTAGGCTTTCAACTAAGAGGTCTTAGGTACGAGTCTTTGTGTATGCATTATGTGTATAAATTTGCCTTAAATGACCTAAATGTCCCAAAAAAAAAATATTTATGTGTGAGGTGGAATAGTCTTGTCATTTTTATTTAAAGTCATAAGTCACGTTAATAATGACTTGCTATAACTCGTATTCACATTTCAACAATACATTAATTACTGAAAAAAAAACACTTCGTTCTATGTGAAATTCCTTAATTTTTGCTCATTATGTCTCGATATTAGTGTAATTTCGTTGGAGTTCATGTATGTTTCGCCTCATAATGTGTGTCGACTCATCCAACAACCGAAATTGGACAAATTAACAGTGGATTTGGGGGTATTGACGATGTTCTGGTCGCAAAGACGTAATTCATTTTGCAATCGGACACCATTTGATCGTCGTCGAGAATTAATTTCCTCGAAAGACGCGTTATTATATTTGAATCGCCTCGACATTCATGCCACCACATCAGACGATCTAAATTGATTACATAAAATGTATATTCTTAATGCTGACAACATTTCGGACGCAATGATGCAGTCCGTTTCATAATCGAACGTCATGTCATCTCCGTAGAGATAAATTTTCTCGATATGCGTGCCCTTGCATTATATTGGAATTGCCTCGAGATACGTGTCACTAATTCTAATGATCAAAATTGATTAAATGAAATATATATTCTGAATGTTGGCGACATTCCGAACGCAACAAAGAAGTCTGTTTGTCGATACGACATCGTTTGATCAGCCTCGCGCTTTAATTTCGGGTGTTAGTCGTCCCTTTTGACCGATCTGTCCGATTCAATTGCGAGGGGCCTCGACCCAGCAGAATTCAATGTCCTGATCGCAGCGACACTGTCTGTTTTACAATCCTAGGTCATTTGACCCTTCAAGTAATGCGTCGCATCAACTCGCGCGCTGCTCGATCCGTCATTTTTGCCTCTTTTTTTCGCGTAGTTTGAGTGGTGGGGGTCAACAACGACATTCCATAATAAATAACAACGAGTGTCCTTGGTGAGTGCCTCATACCAATGGGCTAGTGACAAGCTGAGTGGTTCATGCAAAGTGTGAACCATTGGCTTGTCATGTGAGAGACAACTCTCCTATGGCTATTCTATCTAATTAAGGTTAATTTGGTGACCCTCGGGCGAGTTCTCATTGTGGGGAAATAAGGATTTAATTAAGTTCACACTTGATGAGTTAAATTTTATGATCAATGTTTGCTTATGATCTCAATATGCTTTTGCAAAGAAAGATGATTTTCTTACCTTGGGCTAAGAATTTAATAATTGAAATTGATATATGAAACATCTTTTATAATTGCAATTAACTCCATAACCAAATTAATTAGGATGAGCTACTTTGGGGAGCTGCATGGCTAAGAAGAGCCTCACAAAACGACTCCTTCCTCAATTACATCCAAAACAATGGCAAAACTCTTGGAGCTGATGACAATATAAACGAATTCGGCTGGGACAACAAGCATGCAGGCCTCAACATCCTAGTCTCTAAGGTTTGACCTCCTCTCACAAACTTTCTTGTCTTATAAGTTCGAAAAATTATTAGGTGCGGCGTGTGCTCCGTCGCACAAGCACTGAGTACCCAGCGGTATCGAGTGCGGGTATCGCTAGGTACCCAATGCTTGTGCGGACAATTTTCCCCGTCCGCACTCCGCACCTAATAATCTCTCTATAAGTTCAGGGTTTATATGTGAATATTAATATTTGGTTTCAGGAATTTCTGGAAGGAAAAGTGTTCTCTCTACAGTCATATAAAGAGTCAGCTGATAGTTTCATGTGCACATTGGTTCCAGAATCTTCTTCCCCCCATATACAATACACTCCAGGTGGCCTCATTTACAAGCCTGGTGGGAGTAATATGCAGCATGTGACCTCCATTGCCTTCCTTCTCCTCACTTACGCCAATTACCTTTCCAGAACCTCACAATATGTTAACTGTGGAAGCATTGCTATCAGTCCTGCTTCCCTTAGGGCTCAAGCCAAGAAACAGGTATTTTTATTTCGTTCACATTTCGTTTGGAACGATTTTCTTACTGCTTCTCAAAGCAGCATTTTAGTAGAAAAGCTAAAAGTTTTATACTAAAAGGTTGTTTTAAGAAGCAGTCAAAAAAAACTGTCCCAAACAAAACCTTAGATTCCATTTGAGACGGCTTTCTTGTTTCTTAAAGCAGCTTTTTAGTATAAAAATTTAATTTTTGTACTAGAAAGCTGCTTTAAGAAGCAACAAGAAAGCCATCCAAAACAAAGTTTTATAATGAAACAATTTTTATATTATAATTCTATTGAATTATAGGTTGATTATATATTGGGGGACAATCCATCAAAGATGTCATATATGGTAGGGTATGGAGACAAATTTCCTCAAAGAATTCACCATAGAGGCTCATCACTCCCATCAATTGCAAACCACTCAGAATTCATTGCATGCAAGGAAGGAACAATTTATTTCAACTCCTCAAACCCTAACCCTAACCCTTTGATTGGAGCGATTGTGGGTGGACCGGGAGAGGATGATATTTATGAAGATGATCGAGCCGATTTTCGCAAATCCGAACCAACTACTTACATCAATGCTCCTTTAGTTGGTGTCTTGGCATATTTTGCTGCTAATCCTAATCTTTAGATGATTAGTATATAGTATATGTGCTCACATGTATATAGTGATATTTTTATGCTCGTTTCAATCGTTGCAATGCCCTATCCAAAGGTTATAAAATCATTGCGAAGAATTCCGTGGGTTGAAGATCTTTGGAACGATTTAGCAGTTGTTAAAATCGCTGATAATTTTTTTGTTTTTGATAGTGATAGTATTGTGAGAATACAAAAAAGAAATCATGAGTTGGATTTGATTTGATTTTATTTATTTTATTTGGCATAAAAGAATGTGTTGTTGATTAGCGATACGGAAGTATGTATAATGAGCCTTGTGTGAAGACTTTGGATTGGATTGTATGTAACTATTAGTGAATGAATGGAGAGGTTCAAGTTTCTACGAGCCTATTTTTTGTTCTTCTTTTTTGGAGGTTTCGTTGGAATGACTTCTTTATTGTTTTTTTAATACAGTTTTCTTTAATTTTTATATTAGAAAACTGTACTAAAAAATAATAAGAAAGTCATCCCAAACCAAGCCTAAGGTTTCGTTTGAGACAGCTTTATTAATGATTCTTAAAATAATTTTTTAATATAAAAATTAAAAAAATTGCATTAAGAAGTAGTAAGAAAGTTGTTTCAAACTAAGAGTAATTTCAAAATGTTCTCTCAATATATTAAATAAATGGATTGATTACTTTTCTATAGATTGAATTGATCCTTTTTTTCTTCATTTACTTAAGATTTATAGAAATCTTCTATAATGTAATTACTTTATTATTAAAAATTCACAATTTTGCCCTCCAAATGATAATGGACTGAAGATGAGGAAGATGATATAATAATGATATTTTTTTAATGGTAGATACATATCTTCAATATTTTATAGTTAATAAATTTAATTTAAAATTAATATAGCATATAATTAATTAATTTAAATCAGCAAATATACTTATAAATGAATATTATATAAAAACTACTTAAAAATTTTTTATAATATATTATATTCATGTTAAAATAGATTAAATAGTTACAAAATTTATTAAATAAAATATCCTTACCGAGAATCATCTTTCCTTTCTTTCTGGAGAGATGGTGACACTGTGACACAAAAGAATCTCCTGGAGCAGGCGCCTAACTGCCCCGGCCCGCACCTCTTCAAACCCTAACCCTAACTCCACCTCCGCCATGGCCAGCTCCTTCTTCCCGGCGAACATTCCCAACCTCCTCGCCCTCTCCACCTCCTCCTCATTCCCTCCTCCCAATATAACCCCACACACCGCCGCACACGCCGCTAGCTTCCCCTCCCTCTCCTCCTCTTCCAAAGCCGCGACGGCCGCCGCCGTTTTCGAGATCTCCATCAACACCTTCAGCAGTCTTGTGGCGGCCTCCGCATCACCGGCCGGCGTTCGAGCCACCATCTCGTATCCCAGAGCCAGAAGCGCGTCTCCAGTCATAAGCTCTGTTCCGAGGGAGAATTCGGTGAGGGGATGGTGGCTGATGACGGCGTTGTGGGCGTGTCTGACGGCGTGGATGAGTTGGAGGGCGCAGGCAGCGTTAATGGCAAGGTTAGGGTCTCCGCCGACGAGTTCGGAGGCGGCGAGGCAGAGGGAAGGGGCGATGGTCGGGGGAGTGGAGGAGGAGAGGAGGCGGTGGATTGGGGTCTTGACGGAGGGGTGGAGAGTGGTGGGGAGGCTGCGGAGGAGATGGGAAGATATATCGGCGTTGGCGGTGGCGAAATAGGATTGATCGGAGGCGGTGGTGGAAAGGGTTAGGTTGGGGGCCTTGGGGCGGCTGAGCCGGCGAGGCAGGATTGCCGAAATTTGAGCTGGTTTAAAGGAGCAGGGGATTGAGACAAAGGCTGCTGCCATTTTTAAGAGAGAGAGAGATAGAGAGAGAGAGAGAGAGTTCAAATTGAGGAAGAATATTGTTGAGCTTACTATAATTTATAATAAAGAGAAATGTTGTGATTAGTAAATTATTAATTTATTAAAAAAAGTTAATTCTTAATGATATGATCAATAAAGTATTTGACATGAGGTGAAATAAGTACTTTTCAAGTCATGATAGGAAGAATTTGGTGAGAAATTATTCTGAGTGGATATTGAATTATTTAGAGGAGAATTAGAGCGAGCTACATCACCCGATATACAACGGATATATAGCCGCGGAATAAGATGATATGGTGTTCTTTGATTCTCCTCCGGACGGTGTCCAGTGTCTGCGCAAAATAATTTTTCTTGTTTGGTAAAGTTTTTCGTGATTTTATTTTTTAGATGATAATAATAGTTTTATTTGACTATTATTTATTATTATTATTATTTTAATTTTTGAAGTAAACTTATTTTGATTATATTTTATAATCAAAATAGCTAATATTTTAATTGGGACAATTTTTTTAATGCTTTTTAGTTAAAAGATTTCTTAAAAGTAGAAAAATTTTATGATCATGAATAAAATCATTTAAAACCCATAAAAAACATATTTAAAAACCTTATTTAAAAAAAATATAAATTAATTAATATTATTATTAACTATTTTTAATTCATATATTATATTTTGATAATATTTAATTCGTAATCAAATGAATTTAAGAAGTTTAAAAATATTAATGCTTCAAATTTAAAGTTTTATCTATTTTTTATATATTATCTAAATACTTTTAATTTATATAATTCATACTATTTATTTATTTCATAAAAACTCTATCATAATCTGCCTTACAGTCTTCGCCCCCAGCTCGGCAAGGCAGCAAAGACAATTCATCTTTGTACAATCTGAACTCTGAATGACTAAGCTAATTTCCCAAAAAAGGAAGGACAAAGCTTAGCTTGCAAGCTTTATTTAGGCCATGTGACTCATGCTATTATTTTTTTTTTTAATTTTTTTATTTAAGAAAATTAAAGGGCAAAAGCCCATATTTCATTAAAAACTAGTTACATGTGTGGTAATAAACCTGTAAGGAAAAAATAATCTTCCAGAGGAAGATAAAGCAAAATTACAGGGTCAAGATAGCATAAAAACTAGGTGGTAGCGACCAAAAAAATAGGGCCAGGGTATTGCCACTGCACTGATAGTGTCACGACCCAACCCGATCAGGACGGGTCCCGCTCGCATCGGGTCGTGAGCGGAACTTCAGACTGACTGAACTGATTCCAGGATCTGGCTTTTGAATTTGTTTCAGAACTTTCTTCCAAACATACAGACAAAAACAGACGCACACAGAACTACTATAAACATCAAATGCAGCGGAACAGAATCATCTATCTTTTTCTTCCTCAAAAGAAATCATGTACAAATACAGATCATGACTTTTAGACAGAAAGAAAGACAGAACAGAAAAGCGCATGACTGTACAAAAATCAAAAGTGTTAAAAATATCATATACGGAATCAGACTCTGAATTTCTATTCTGAACTTCCTTCCCCTTCCAGAACCGAAAACCACGCAGAAATAAGGATGAGCTACAACAGCTCAGCAAGACAACAAACCTCCAATCAAAATCCTCAGAGTCCACATCAAACACATCAGAACAGAAATCCGAACAAAAAATGAGAATACGAACTAACAGCAGCAAGAACAGAATGAATCAAATCAGAACAGAACAGACAGAACAAAATAATATCACATCAGAGCTGACAAACGTACATAAATCAGAAATCAGATATCAAAGTAAATCATATCAAGATCGAATCAGAACAGAATCATATATCAGAAGCAGAATACAGATCAGATCAATTTATATCGTACGGAAAATCAAGAAATCATATCAATTCAGAACATATCAAAAGGCAGAACGATTCCCTAACAACTGACAGAATCTCAACGGATTTCTGGCCCCTTATGCCCCCTCCCAGACACTGACAGAATCTCTCGGATTCTGCCCCTTATGCCTCCCTTTGGTGGCTCATGACACCAGAACAAGTGCTTATAGCACCAGAACAAAACTTTCATCGGATCCGAAGAACTTGTATTTAGAAATAGATTTAGAGCTCATTTCAGATTTCCCTGACACAGACAGGATCTCACAGGATCCTGACCCCTTATAACTCCCTTTTTATAGCACACAATCATATCAATTCATTTCAGAAAAAATGGACAATTTCAGAAATCGTACGAAAATCCGGCAGCTAACGGCAGTATTACGGAATTTACACAAAATTGACAGAATCAGAATTTTACCAATTACCACAGAACATTCACAGCAATAATAATAAAGACTTTTATTCTACTGCCACAAACATTTTTAGACATCGTCAAAATTGCAGTCGAAAGAAAAACAACGCGTAATCAAAAATTACCCGGTCAAAATTCTCCAGAAAAATAATCAAAATGTGCACACTCGGCACCTCAAAAACATACCAAAAGTTACGCGGTAAAAACTGAACCAATCGGAAAATACGGACGAAATTCGCTAACAAAAACGAAAATCCGGACAGAAAAGTCGTTCAAACTTCACCGTTCTGAAAATTGAGAAAGGCAGAATGTGCCTTACCTTGCGTACAACACTTTCTCGAACAATCTCGTCGGACGAAAACGGCCCGGCGTTGCCCGAAAATCAACTTTTCCAAAATTGCCCTCGACCTTCTCTCTCCTCAGCTGAATTTAGATATTTATTTTGATTCTCTCTCTTCAAAATGAGCTGATTTCAGCTTTAAAATACTCTGATCGGCCCGGCCGATCGCACGATCGTCCTGGACGATCTGAACAAAATCCAATCGGCCTTGGACGATTTCTCAGGACGATAATTAATTTTCAGGATGATTTGCTCTCTGACTTTTGCCATACACTGATCGTCCCGGGACGATCCCAGATCGGCCCGGACGATCCCTACAGGAAATCATTCCTGTAACTTCTGTACAGAATCTGGAACAAAAATTGCACTGATCGTCCCGGGACGATCCAAATCGGCCCGGACGATCCTGGAGCAGATTTGATGTTACAGATAGAACCCCCTGGTTGCACAGGAAGAGTCACATAGAGATCATGAAGGGCACACAGCATAACATCCCTTGCCGTCCAAGGGGGCAGAAAATGCAGTACTGACATCATCACCCTAAAAAAAACCATCAGAGGGACAACAGACAACCAAAATTATCAACTGAGAATCGCAAAACGGTCTTTAAGATCATCAAATTGCTTCCATTTCCTAACTTTAGAAAGAATAGCCTTGCGGATGATGACGACGAGCCTGGAAGGGTTGTTCCAAACATTTTCAAATCTTCTAGAGTTTCTCTACCTCCATAAAAAATAAATAGAGCTGCAAATGGTAATATATCTAAAAGACTTCTCCCAGCTAGAAAATTCACGAGAACCATCAAAGAAGTCAAAATTTTGCATTAGATTAGGCCTAAGGAGAAAGGCACCCATAGACGGTAACAGAGAAGAGATGACAGAAAACAAAAAATCACAAAAAAAAATGTGAATGATTTTCACTATCACAATCACAAAAAGAATATCCAGAAAAAACATCAACACCCCTCATAAGAAGAAGGTCAGCCGTTTTTAACCTGCCTAAAACCTTCATCCATGCATAAGAGGAAAACCGCAGAGAATGATTTTTATGCCAGAGAAAATTATGTCAATTCACTTCTTCAAAATGAATAAAATAACTGTAATAAAAGGTAGAGAAAGCAGGGTTTTGAGAGCCATCACAGGACACAGCCGGTTGCTCATAAAAGCTAATACCCGAGGGTTCATAACAACTCCTCTTACTACATGACGCTCACGTAGTCAACATTTAGATCCGGCTCTACCCAACTTTTTTGGTTCACCCCAACATTACCCACTTGTCCGACTGTTGCTAAGTAGTTTTTGGATATCAAACGAACCTTCCCATATGGCAATCTTAATGATGAGAATCCTTCTAAATTGAAAGTGAGAGCCTTCGGGGGTAAATATTATTACAACCACGTGGCATTTGTGTAAACTTAGACCAAGATTCAAGAGAATATACTATATTATGTAATAGATATTAAATTAAACTTAATGCAAATTGCAGCTTTGGGTGGTAATAGAGAATTAGAAATATCAAATATTCATTATTTACTCACTTTTCATTTATTGCTAAATGAGATGGAGGATTACCTGAGCTATTCATTAAAGCTTTCTTGCTATACTATCACTATTTCATGATTTAAAATTGTCAATTCTATCTGTGTAAGTCTTTTATGTTTTAAGTATTTAACCATCTTTCTTTTGCAATTAATTCAACTTGAAGAGTGGGGGGGTTTATGATATCTTGAGCTTTTAGCTGAATGGGTTGGATAGTTGGACCTGCAATTTGATATTTTAGATTATAATTTATAATATTTAAGTATGTAATTTGAGTATTTGACTGTTTGAGTTCATTTGTAAATTCAAAATTGTAATGTATTATGTAAAAATGTCAATTTGTAATATATCATTTATAAAATGCTTATAAGTTTTTAATGTAATTTATCTTGCCAAATGTCAATATACGGTGTAATTGTTTTTGCAGTTCATTATAATTGTAAATTTAATTTTGCAAATTTCATTACTCAACTGTTTGAGAGTCAGGTCGGATTTACTCGAACTCAAATCAGGTCGGGTTCAGGTTGGGAAATGTGACCCGAATCCCAAATCAGTTCGGGCTCGAGTCGAGTCAAAACTTACCAGATCAAAGTCGGGTCGGACCTGAACCTAACCCGTGGACATGATTTGACACCCCTATATATGGTGAGGCTAATGACTTCCGTCAACGAGGTGAGACACAGCTCAAGATATATCTTAGCCAAAGGAAGGCGCATGTTTCGTTAAAAAAAAAAAAAAGCTTAATGAGTAAACCTCAATGCATTTTTCATCTAAATTGCGCTGAAGTCGGCCTCATAATGCACAATTTTAAACAAAGCATCATTATTACATAATTTAATTAAATTTACATAATTATAATATTCATTATATCATTTAATTCAATCCTAATTAAAACTTTTAATCTTGAACCAATCATAAAGACTAGTCTGCAAACCCTCGATCTTCTAGAAAGTACTCGATTTAATTTGACCTACCGTTGACCTATTAGGCCCCACATGGACAGCCACAGTGCGACACTCAAACGACAGCCGTCAAGCTCCCTTCCTCGAAACAATTATTATGTCCTTCAACCGGATGCAGAGGAACATTCGGTCCTAGGCAAAAAAATGACTGTACCGAGGTGTACCGAGTTTTTTTTTAAAATTCGGTACACCTCGGTATAGATATTTTTTGCCTAAGACCGAATGTTTCTTGCATCCGGTCAACCAAACCAAATAAAAATTCCCTTGGTCGCCATGTTCGCCAGCTCCTTTGTTTCTATGGCTCGCATTTCATGGCTCCGAGGAAATTGGAGCTGATTACAGGAATAAATAAACAGATTAAAATTCCCATTATGTATAAAAAAAATAAATTAACGATAATGCCTAACCGCCGCTTAGGCTTTATTCGGAAAGAGGTTAGGCTGACGACTCCGATCCAAGCCAATTGGTTTTTGATGACAAATCATATCATCTGTTCTTTAAAAGAACCGATTTTTTCGCGGGCAAAAAAGAGTTTTTTAGGGAGAAAATATATCGCGGAGTTGATGAGGACAGATCTCTTATAGAGATTTTTCTCTCCAACATACCTTTTGCCTTTTCCCACTTCATTTCCTCTTGCCGAATGAAGAAACCTCGTTCTCGTTTCCTTATCTAACGCCGGCTCGGAACGCGGACCAGTTCGCCGGCGCCGGAGAGTTCTACGCTTGGTAGAGATCTCACATTCCTCCTCTTTATTGTAGTAACACTAGCTTGTTCTTCCTCTTCGGCTTGTTTTGGTCTTAGATTTTCCCCATTGCATGTTGATCGATTATTTGAGAGAAATGAAAAAGAAGAGATTAACGAGGAACTGCGTGGAAAGTATCTGTAGCATTCATTTATAGAATAAAAATCCAAACTTGAAACGTGAATCTATATAGTTTTTCTATTTTTTCTAAAGAAATTGTGATCTTCCGAATATCATTATAAAAACTACTGTTCTTTATCTTCTTCTCTATAGCTGCTGTTCTGTTCATAGTTTATTTCATCAAATTGGGTTTATAATTGAATTTCAACAGGAATGGGGTCAAGCAATGGAGATGATGCAGGAAATGGCGGTGCCGGCGGCGGAAAGGAGGAGAGGATTTATGTTTCGGTGAGGGTTAGACCTCTCAGTTCCAAGGAAATTGAGAGAAAAGATCCATCAGATTGGGAGGTCATCAATAACACTACTATCATATTTAAGAACAATCTCCCAGATAGGTCTATGTCTCCCAGCGCTTATACATATGGTGAGTGTAGTATTATAGTTTGATGTATTTTATGTTTCTTCTTAGAAATCTGTTGTTTTGCATACATAATATAACATAATTTCATGATCTTGAGGGGATTGAAATCTGAAAATTGTTTGGCATGACAATTGCAGAATCTTCTTTTATCCTATAATGCAATTTGGCTCTTTGTTTAAAGATTTAAGATTTAAATTTCATGAATGATGAGATTTAATAAATCATGAATTTAACCAATAATGAGGTTGACATGAGATTTATCTAATTAGTAGGATTTAAAATCCCCAAAAATATTTTTTGGTGGAATTTAAGCTTAATCTGGCCTAGAATAGGATTGCAAACGCCCCCTTCCTCTTTTTTTTTTTTTTTTTGAAACTCACAATGGGGCATACACGTTAATTGAGAAAAAGAAGTACAAGTCCTTAGATGATCTAAAACAATCTACAAAATATAACATTTGAAGAAAAACCTACGAGTCAAAGATCTTATCTATTACATATGCAAAATTAAAAAACCAAAAAGACAAAAACTAGAAAATCATATCAATAGTTTGCAAAGAGAGAATGAGGCAACATAAACAACCGAAGTGAGGAGGAAACCACAAACCTCTCAAAATGGAGGACCTGCCAACAATCGACTTGGACAAAAGACAAACAAGCATGAAAAAAATACAGCATATAATAAGAGGGAAACCGATAGCCCCCAGTAGGAAAAGAGGCAACTGGCAGGATTTAGCCAAACTCCAAAGCAGCCCAACCAATCAAAGAGACAAAGCCAACAACTAGCTAGCCCCACCAACCAAACTCAGAACCACCACCGCCACTCCAGAGAAAAAAGAAGACCAACAACACAGCAATAAAGAAGAATCCAAATAAAAAAGTTTTTTTTTTTTATTTTCTCTACCAACATCTAGCCATGTTCCTATAGAAACCTTCGTCAATGTTACGAATAACATTTAAATCATAAATTTCAAGAGAATCATCCCCATGTACATCAAATTCCTCCCCAACGTCCCAATTAGGTGAGGAATCACTCTCAGCTAACCAATCTCCTTGATCGGCACTGATATCCTTCGATTTAAATTCCAAATGTGCAAGCAACGCATCATTAGCAACAAGGGAAATGGACACATCTATGAGAGGCACTTCAACATTCACATCCACGTTTTTAGACCGCAAAATAGGATCAATAGAAATGCAAGGTGACAAAGTAGAAACATTAACATTATCCATAGAGGGATCATTCACAATCACCGACTAAATTCACATCACCCAACTTCTATACTAAAGTCAGTATGAGAAAAATTAACATCATTAGGAGTCTCATTCCGCCATAAGCCAGCAACAACAGGGGTTTCCAACCGATCAACAGGACAAGAGACAACAAAATCAATGTTTTTGTTTTTAAATTAATTTTGAATGCTTTGTTTTCTTTCTGATAAATTTACCATATTTCTGTTCTGCATGATGAATAGATAGAGTCTTTGATTATAATTGTGACACGAGAAAAGTTTACGAGGAGGGAGCAAAGGAGATTGCTCTTTCTGTACTCAGTGGCATCAACTGTGAGTAAAATCTTTTATAAACTTCTCCTTCCATCTCTTCTATGGGTTTGTATGGAGCTATCGTGCACTAAACCATGGCCTAATTGAATCTCACAGCAAGCATTTTTGCTTATGGACAAACCAGCAGTGGAAAGACTTACACAATGAATGGAATAGCAGAGTACTTTGTGGAAGATATTTATGATTACATGGAGAAGGTGACCCAAAAATAAGGCTAAACTGTTATTTAAGCTTTTTCTTTGATTATCAATCCACAAAACTAGAGATTTTCAGTGTTTTTTCCACTTTGCAGCATGAGGAGAGGGAATTCCTACTGAAATTTTCAGCTATGGAGATATATAACGAAGCAGTTAGAGATCTTCTCAGTTCTGACAATAGCCATCTTAGGCTTCTTGATGATCCAGAGGTGAGAGATTACACGCAATTTAATTCTTTTCTTCAGCATATAAGAAATAAATGCTCATTATTTACCTTACTTTATTTTGTAGAGAGGAACTATTGTTGAAAAGCTCACCGAGGAAACATTAAGGGATGAAAGCCATCTTAAGGAGCTTCTTGCTATTTGTGAAGGTACAAGGCATGGCTTAATTTTTCAGAATTTGCCTTCTAGAGATTTGCCTTAATTATTATGTGCGGACACCGAATGTCATCCAGAGCCCAATGAAAATGCGCTACCTCACCCACTACTCAGTACTGCGGCTCGGTACGGAGCTCGGTACTGCTCGGTACTGGATGACGTGCTGCACCTGATTCTCCTCTGGACGTTAAGCTGTGTCCGGTGTCCGCACAGAATAATCTCTTCTGATAGAAAGTAACTATTATGTTTGCTTGCAAAAACTTTAAATTTTGCCAGATTATCAAATCAATTTCAGACTACTAGTTAGATTGTATATGTTTCTCTAATCAAAATGTTTTCTTTCTCCCAGCTCAAAGACAGATAGGCGAGACCACATTAAATGAAGCAAGCTCCAGATCTCACCAGATACTCAGACTGGTTGCTTTTTTGGATCCAACTGACTAAGGCTTCATTAGGGACGGCTTTCTTACTGCTTCATAAAGCAGCTTTCTCGTACAAAAATTTAATTTTTGTACTAAAAAGCTGCTGTATAAAACAGTAAGAAAGCCGTCCCAAACGAAACCTAAAACGCTTTCCCTCTGCTTTTTCATCACAGCATAAACAGTTTATTTTCATTTTTCTTCTATTGCAGACAATAGAAAGCTCGGCTAGAGAATTTCGTGCTAGCTCTCTTGCAGCCACTGTGGTATAAATTCTCTCTTGAACCATTCTTTTTTTTTGTTTTTTTAGTTAGTTAGGTTCATAAGTTAAGGCTGAGATTGAATTTTTGATTGCAGAACTTCGTTGATTTGGCTGGTAGTGAACGAGCTTCTCAGACATTGTCTGCTGGGACAAGGCTGAAAGAAGGTAGTCACATTAATAGGAGTTTGCTTACTCTGGGAACTGTCATTCGCAAGCTTAGGTTAGTACAATTTCAGAAAGGCTTTTCTAAATACTAATCTGAGTTTTTCTTGTTGATTTAGACTTCTTTTGGGACAGCTTTCGTACTGTTTTTTAAAACAGCTTTTTAGTACAAAAATTTCAAAGCTGTTTTAGAAAGCAAGAAGAAAACCATCCCAAACGAAGTCTTTGTCCTAGAGGCTCTACGTCTGGCTTCATGATCTGAAATCTTGCTTCGTTGCTCTTGTCACTCATGTCTGAATACAGCAATGGAAGAAATGCTCATGTTCCTTATCGAGATTCAAAGCTGACACGAATATTACAGAATTCACTAGGGGGTAATGCAAGAACTGCCATCATTTGCACAATGAGCCCTGCAAGGAGCCATATTGAGCAAACGAGAAACACACTTTTGTTTGCAAGCTGTGCAAAGGAAGTAGCTACCAGCGCACGTGTCAATGTTGTCATGTCAGACAAGGCGCTCGTAAAACATTTACAGAGAGAACTTGCAAGATTAGAAGATGAACTGAGATATGTCGGCTCGATCCACAAAACAACTAATACAGATGAACTGAAGGTGAAAGATGAACAGATAGTAAAGGTATTGATTTGATCATTCTAAATTGCATTTGTTCTATACATTTTTAGCTATTTCAAAATACTTTTCCAAATCAATAAGACAAGTACAAGAAATTTTTGACTTAATATCATGCAGCTAATTTCACATTACTATCAAGATCATCGAGCATGTTTTAATAACATCCATTATTTCTAAAGCTGGTGATCGAATCAACCTCACTCATTTGCTTTCTATTGTCATATATCTTATAATGTGAAACACTCCAATTGATGAAGCCTAGTTGATTCTGGACTACATCAATAATCTTACTGATATTAGACTTCCTACCACTAAAAGGAAGAATAATATGGCTTTAGGACACTTTCTCGCTTATATCATTGAAAAGAAATACAATTTGATTCATCTCAATCCACCAAACAATCTTCCAATCATTGATGCTTCCTTTCTTTGTGCAGATGGGAAAAGAGATAAAGCTGCTAATTCAGCAGAGAGATCTTGGTCAGGCTCAACTTGACAATTTGCTTAGATCCATTGGGGATGATCAAGCGTCGAGACGATTGGTATTTCCTTTATTTTAAGTATGATTATATATTTCATCAAGGAATGCATCTATATCATTTTTCCCATCATCTTTGATTGTTTTTAGGAGGAAACCAGAGGATTATCAATGCGACATATACGCAATCCTTTTGATGATGTTCATTCTTCAAGACACTGGGTAAGCTTGGTAAATAGTTTGTTTCTTCTGCCTTGAACCCAGATTATATTGTCCTAGAGTAGGCTGAAGTGCACTATGATCTGCAAACTTGAACTTAAATGTTCTGTTTTCTTCTCCATCCTTTAGGATGAATCCAGCCAACTGTCTGTTTATCGTGCCGGTACTTCAGAAGATGAATCATTGACATCCGAGGCCTCGGGAATTTGTTACCAGAGTCCAGAATTTGGAATTTCAAAGTGCCGGATACCGCATTCGAACAATTACTATGAAGCCAATCTACAGTCGTCGGCGATAACAAGGTTGTCTGAAACCTCAGTGGGCATAGAAAGATACATTGCTCAAAATGCTTCTCGAGCTCCTGAGATTGCTTCTGAAACTTCTGAAGATCACTGCAAGGAAGTTCAGTGTATTGAAATGAATGATTTGAATGTAAATAAGGATGAGTTTAGTCTATTGTTAGATGAAGACTGTGACAATCTGATCCCCACATCCTTTGTTGCTAAAGCAAAAGCGGCTCAAAGTCTGAAACATCAAGTGGGAGTGAGACGAGCTTGCAAAAATCTTGTCAAACCAGATATCGATGAACCAACTCTATGGCCTTTTGGGGAGGATTTTCCTAGCTTTAGATCCTCTTCGCCTTCTACAAATCTTAGGGGAAAACCAGGACCTTGTTCAGATTATTTTGGCCGCCAGAATCTCGAGGAAAATAACAATGCACCTTACAGCTCGGCTAAGAAGCTTTTGATAAGACCCGAAGATGCCTCAACTGGAAATTCTTCTATAAGTTGTGGCTCAGAAACTGAAGCACTTTTTGGATTGTTTAAGAAATCAGAATTTTTTTCGGATGAGGAGGTCAAATTTAAAGATTTCAAGGTTCCTGAGAAGTTACCCAAACTTCAGCATACTAGAAATTGCGAAGATAAGCTTAGAGCAAAGCATTGTAAGACTCCTTCTGAAGTGGACATTCCAAGCATTTCGAACTTTGTTGAAGGAATGAAGGAAATGGCTCAGGTTCAATGTCAGAAACAATTGTCAAAGAAACGGGTGGGTAAAGGTGTCTTTCATTCTGAATCGTTTGCATCGTTCATGAAGTCATGTTTATCTATACATAAATATTTCCCAGTCTTCATTCTTTAGTACCCATCTGCTTGATAAGAAGTTAGTTTCTTAAGAGTATTTATTAGACTTCTCGAGGCTTTTTTGCATTTTACTCTGTATTATTTGGCTCTTAACCATTTTAGCTTCTTATCTTCTGAGCTTATTTGTTCTGCAGGAGATGCATGATACCTCCTTTGACAACTATATGTTTGAGAAAACTGCAAGAGATTCCAGTACAGGCCTATTGATACGTTGCACAGAATCTCCCTCTCAGTGGCCTTTGGAGTTTGAAAAACTACAGAGAGAAATTATTGAACTCTGGGATGCATGTATTGTCTCCCTGATCCACAGGACTTATTTCTTCCTACTCTTTAAAGGTGAACCTGCTGATTCTATTTACATGGAAGTGGAGCGTAGGAGGCTGTCTTTTCTCAAAAAGATGATATCTCAGGACAATGGAAATGACACTCTTTCTTCAAGGTGAACACTTTATTGATGTGGTGGATATTTTATATATAAAATTGAGGATATGTTTTGAACTTTTTTTTTTTTGATAAAACCACGAAGGGGCTTACGCGCTAATAAAATTAAAACGGTTAGAAGTCTTTAAAGGATCAAGAGCTCTCTATAAAAATAGCATTTGAATCAAAACCTAATGAGCCTATGATCTAACTAATAGAACAATACAACAAACGAGATACAAAGCCCGAAAACCAACAAAGAGTCAAAAAAATAGCCCAATTCAAAAACAACATCAAAGTGAAGAGAAAACCAGAGCAACATCACAAATGAAGAGATAATAAACTCTGCACGAACATCTGAGCAAACGGCCACAACCTGGAGAGGCACTAGCAGACTAGCAGTAAGCTCCTTGCAAGCAGCTAGAAAAACAGTAAGGCAGTAGAAGCAGGAAAACAACACTAGGGAAAAGGCAAGGAATCCACAACAACAACCCTCTAACAACAACAAAACAAACCATCCACAATTAGCCCAAGATACAACCAGCATGAACCCACCAAAACCTCAGCCAACACCCCACCAGAGCAAAGCAAACACAGCAAAGCAACAACAAAACACAAACCTTTATTAGCAACAGAATTTAGAAGAAGTTTTAATTCTCTTAGGTCTACCTTCATAAAGCTTAAAATCTTGCACAACATTTTTATTTTTATTTTCTTTCTATTTTTCTTATCAGCAATTTTTGCAAAATCATCATTCCCAACTTGCATCACATTCATATCAAAATCTTCATGGGAACCATACTAGTAACCTCATTAACCTGCTCATAATCTCCAATAACTGAAGGATTGTATGGTATTAACTAGTCAGAGTGGTCAAGAGGATCACCATCCACAACCGAATTATTAGCATTCTCAACATCCACGACAAAATCCCCTATAGTGCTGTTAGCCTGACACTCCCCAAGCTCCAAAATGATCACATAAACAACTTGGGTAACAGAGCAATTAGGAGCAGAGATTAAACCAGAATCAGCTATAGCAATTTCAGCATGAATACCATTAGGACTAGGAGTCGAGATGGGGCAAGCTATGTGATTCACCATATAATTAAAAGTAGAATTGACACCCATATCATCATTAAAACCCTCCATATTTTGAACTTCAATTCATTAATTATATAATAAGGGCTTACATAAAGTAGTGAAATTAGTTAAAAGTTGATGAGAAAAAAATTGCGAAATGAAACATCATCATGTATTACAGGGTGTTAGTTTCTTTTACAGAGATAGGAAATTGGGTAGAGCAAGGTAAGACTGTCAATGTATGGTCAAAATTGTTAAGTTGTGGAGACTAATTACTTGCTCTAATCAACTATGCAGCATAAAGAATCTTCGACGTGAGAGAGATATGCTCCATAAGAGGATGCTGAAAAAGCTCTCAAAGGAGGAAAGGGAGGCTCTTTACCGCAAATGGGGCATCAAATTGGCCTCTAAGCAGCGTAGAATGCAGCTGGCTCGGCTGCTATGGACCAATACAATGGACATGGAACAGATAAGAGAAAGTGCTCTACTTGTGGCAAAGCTTATTGGTCTCCTTGAACCAGAGCAGGCTCTCAAGGAGATGTTTGGACTCAGCTTCACACCACATAAGACTCATCGTAGATCTTCCAGCTGGAAGCAGATATCTTCTTTCAGGTGAGCAAAAATATGATCAATCAGGCTCCATTGTATTGTTCTTTATAACTAATTATGGTTTTGTCCTTCTATTTTATTGTCATTTTTTTTTTGTTCTGATTCATTTGTAGAAAGGTTCATAATTTTGTTTGTACTAAATCGTCAAACTGATACAGAGTTTATAAGCTGATTTAAATTTTGCTGTCTGCTGTTTGTTCTTTAGTTCTTTTTGCAGTTGTGGATGCTGCATCTAGTTGGGGTGGCTGTAGCTATTTGTAAAAATAGTTGTGGGGTTGCTACTAAAAAATAGATTTTTTTTAATGATGATGTTGGTATTATTATAAAATTGTTTTTTATTTGAAAAAAAAAATCAAACAATAAACTTCTTATAACTGTCATATTATAACATATTTGATTATAAAAACGGCTTTTCAACTCGTTTGGGATATCTTCTTTGCTGCTTTCTAAAACGGTTTTCTAGTACAAAAGTTTTTTAAAAAATTTATTGAATTAGAAGTTTTTTACTAAAAAATAGTCTTAGAAAGCAACAAAAAGATTGACCCGGACGAAACCTTTGTCCAAAAAATTGTCCCCGACAAAAAAACTGTTCTGATAAAATAGAAATATGACAGATTTTTAAAAAACAAAGTTGTGGAAAAGATGTTCCAAATGAACTCCTAGGCTTGTTTGGAACAGTTTCTTTCCTGCTTTCTAAAACTGTTTTCTAGTATAAAATTTTTTTGAATTATAAATTTTTTTACTATAACACAATTTTAAAAAGCAACAAAAAAAATTATTCAAAATAAAACCTTTGTCTCATCCAAATCTAAAAACTAGAGAAGCATCAGCATTATGTATACTTTACTCTTCTATCAGCTAGTCTAGTTCATAAAAATCTTGGAAGTTATTGCTAGAATCTTGAGATCAAATATCTGCTATATCAAATTTATTCTTCAGCACTCAAACTTTTCCTATATATCAATCTATAACATTGAAATCTATAGTTTCAAAAGCTTGATCTTATCAACATATCCCTTATAATTTCTAAAATCATTAAGGGTGTTAATTAAATTCAAGCATGATCAAATAAATCTTAACAACTCAATTATATGATGAAAATTGAAAAATAATCAAGTAATGCATGATTGATTGACATTATAGACGCCAAAGAAAGATTAGATAATATAAGAACCATAACAACTTTATTTTTAAATAAAATAATTAAATTACTATGATTATTTATATTCATTTTATTTTATTTCATTAAATTAGCAATTTTTTAGGACATATTATAAGCCAATTAAGACGAACTCACACACATGTCACATATGTAAGACTCAAATCCAAAGTAGCAAAAACTCGCAACCAACAGACCAATATGAGCAGCGTTTAAATTAGCAATTAGATTACCTACGAAGAACCAATGCCGGGCCTCACCCATCAGTCCTGCTGACACATAGCCTCAAATGTTCATAAAAAAAATGATTTTTCTCACTGTTCCCACTAATCCATTTTCTCTCTTCATTATTTTAACTAAACATAACCATATAGAGTCAACTAATACTTGTCTGCAAAGCTAATATTATACTAATTAAACAGCTTCTAATGATCAAACTATTGCTTGTACTTTGATAAGTATGGAAAGTTGGTCATATTATTGATTGCTTTATTATAATTATTGCCAATCATTTTCAGCTCACAAAGGATAAAAATTTTATACAAATTATCCCTACCATTATTAATTTTATCTTACTTATTTAGAGTTAAGTTAGAAATTCTCATATTTGTTTATTTATTTTAATAATATTGGAAGTATTTAATTTTTCTTAAGAAATTATTTTGGCCAATTTCTATTTAGAAAACTTTAGGCCCATTCATTTTATTTTATAATCCCCTTACATTAATTTTATCAATTTATATAATTAAATTCTATCTTTGTTGTAAGTGACAAAATAATCTAAGGCTTATTTGATTTATTGAAAAAGGAATTTGGTATAAGGTAGAGTTGGTTTAATGTAAATTATATGCATTTGATTTAAGTTGTTCGGGTGAGTGTCAAATAAATGAAGTAGATTGTTTTTTTTTTTTTAATGTTTGAATTGAAGTAAAATAAACTCTAGTAAATTAAAGTGGTGGCATATGGTGGTCGCCTGTGGCTGCGGTGATGGCTGCAATATCAGTGGCTATGATTGTTATTGCCACCAGTAACTACACCGACTATGGTGGTAAAAAATGGCAATTATGGCAATAGAGACAAGAACAGTTATTGTGATAGGAACGATAACAATGTCCGATGACAGTGGCGGCCAATGGTGCTGGCAGTCAATAAATTATAGTAGTAAGTGACAGAGAATTTATAATGTATTTGAAAATAAGCCAACCAATAGATTTCTAAATACACTAAAATGAATTAAAAGATGAATTCCAAATTCACTAATGAATTACATTGCATTTGAAATTCGCCTTAACAACACTCAAATTCTCAAAACGCATGCATTTGAAATATATTACATTATTAATGCAACAAGCCAAATAACCCCAAAATCTATTTCAATCTCCTTATTCAATAGATGTCAATCTAACATTTTGTTATAATATAATCATTTTTAATTATTCCTTCCTTGTTTTGCCAAGCATTCATCTTTTTATTTTTATTTTTGTCATACTTAATTTAGATACCAATGACTTACTATAACCTAACATTTAAATACATTCAATATTAATGACTTAATTACAATTTTACTTAACTAAATGTTAAACCTCTATGATATCATCACACCAAACAAAATATTATGATACTTCTAAATTTTAGGCTTGGTTTGGGATGATTTTTTTACTGTTATATATATATATATATATATGACTCCAACGATGGCCATTATCAATGATGTCATCAATTGAAGATCTTAGTATACCATATCTTTTATGTTATCACCATAAACATCTAATGATGACAAATCAAAATTTTAATGAATGGATTAACATGAACAATCATGAGAAGGTTCAATACCTCTTAAATTAATTTAGAAGATATGATTGATAATATTGTGCGATTGAATATCTAGAAGACTTGGTTTAAGTTATATTTGTTCTATTCAAGTCAGCTCAATTCAATCTGCCTAGTTTCAGCTCAATAAGAACTCACCAATTTGTATATAAACTCGCCTCAAGCAAGCGACTATGATATATGAACTCATCACAAGCAGGCGAGTGATAGACATATAATATTAATGTTTTAAGTATTATATATATAAATAGCATCATAAAGTGGTATGCATGTAAATCCCCCTCGAACATACATTATAAGAAATTGCAAATCTGCCCTAAAGATGTACACAATTTTCATTAAATTTGAAAATATTTTAATTACATCATGCCTTAGTAATTATGCACACAACAATTCTTTTAATAATATTATCTTACATTTATATTATTATTTGGTATTAAATAAAATTATCTTGCTCCCAAATAAGCGCCTTTTTTATTGTGTTTTTTGAGCTGATGAGTCATTAATAGGGTGCATGACTTAGATCAAACATTTCAAAATGCATTCATCATAAAAATAAAAAATTATATCTATAGGAATATGAAAAAAAAGATTTATTGATTGAAGCCTAAGAAGTGCGCTTTAAATAAGGTGCTGTTTGCAAATAAACATTTAAAAAGGGCTAAAACCTAATTTTAAAATTAGGATTGAGTTGCAACTTGGCTTTAAACTATAACATAAAATGCAATTTATTTTAATACAGTGGGTGTTTATGAGAATTTTAAGGAAGATTTACTGAGTTAGTAAAGATAGAAGTCAAAAGAAATCAAAATATTACAAATATGTCCATATTTTTATCTATGTTTTTATTATTTCCTCTTTCCTATTATATAACTGGAAATTTTTGTAAATTTTTTTTATTATTTTTTACGTTCCTCGACCTCGGAACGCTTTTTTCTGATGGTCGATCTTTGACCTTTCCGATTCCAAGAACCAGAGCCTCGATCCCTCTCCGAGAATAAGAGGGAGAGGTTTCGCCGGAAAGTAATCTCCGCCGGCGAAGGTGGTGGCGAAGACATGGGTCAGTGCCAGGGGAAGAACATCGCTGTGGCGGAGGACGCCGACGGAGTTGAGGATGGTCGACGCCATCGCCGTAAAAGAACTCCAACGCACCCATCCAATGGCTTATCTTCGTCTTCTGCTACGCCGAATGCGGCTCAAGGCGGGGCCACGCCGGTACACCATTCGTTGGGGAACTTTTGGCCTAGTCCGTATCCGCCGGGCTCCGCGACGGGGAGTCCCCTCCCGGCAGGGATCGCACCTTCGCCGGCTAGGTCTACCCCTCGACGGTTCTTTCGCCGACCGTTTCCTCCTCCTTCACCCGCGAAGCACATTAAGGCCTCCCTTGTCAAGCGATTTGGCACGGCTAAGCCCAAAGAGGGGACCATCGTTGAGGATGTCGCGGCTTTGGCCGTGTCTCCTGAGGTGGAGAGGCCTTTGGATAAGACTTTTGGGTACGGGAAACACTTTGGGGCTAAATATGAGCTCGGGAAGGAGGTGGGGCGGGGGCATTTCGGCCATACCTGCACAGCGAGGGTGAGGAAGGGGGACATGAAGGGCCAGATCGTTGCTGTCAAGATCATCTCCAAAGCTAAGGTGCGTTGGTATGTCTATAATTTTTTTTCTTTTTTCTTATTTTGTTGGCAATGTTTTCTATGTTTTGGTCATTCTCTGCCCGCTTTAATTCATAAGAATTTGATTTTTTTTTCTCTTGTGGAAAATTTTTCTCAGCTGATTGTTTTGATGTTGTTTCTTTTTATTTATTTTAAGCACCCGGAAAATTTTCATTTGACCACACGGAAAGGTTGGCGTTATACTGATAGTGATTACCTGGAACCGACGCATGCGATTTTTCTTTAAGCATAATTGTGTGTTTTCTTGCTTTTTCGAGGTTTTAAATTATGTGATTTTATCTTTGATTGTTGTATTAAAATTGTGAAACCAAAAGGTACTTGTGATTCTATGTTTGGAATAAGAGATGACACGCATTTCATGCAATTAGATTTATAAATAGATCAGTTTTCATATATGACCACAAATTCAATGTATGCCATGGGCCTAAATATAGTTGTTTTTTAATGCATTGTTGAAGAATTATGTACATTTCTCTGGTTTAACCACTTTATAATGCATTGATTTATTAATCTATATATATTTCTTGTTTTTATTCATGCCGGATTATTAACACCTCATGATTGTTAGAAAAGTGAGAATATTCTGTTAATTGAAGACCAAAGTATAGGAAGACCACAAGAACTGATGTAGATTTTCAAGATACTAAAACATTATTGAATTCAATTGGTTCGAGAAATTATCTATTACCATAAGTTCTTAAACCAACTTTTGCATTAGTTTTTAGTGCTTTTAAATATTGTTACACGAGAAATATATGAACTTAATGGTATTCAACCTCAATCTTCAATACTATTGATATACTACCATAATCCTTTTAATTATTATAAAGATATTACCTATGATGACCGACATTGCTCCTCAAAGAGGGGTGCAGTGTCCGACACATATTTGACAGGACACACCTTTAACACGTGTCAGATACGTTTCGACGTATCTGATTAAAAAATATTAAATATAAATTGGACACGCGTGTCCCTCTCAACATTGACAACAGATGCCCTCTTGATATCGACACTCGATACTTATTGTGATGTTGCCCGACTCTCGATAGTATTGTTGCTTCATCTCTTGATGCCTAATACACAACATTGACGTCCGACTCTTGATATCCTAATATTAATCATTTTAAGCACAGATTTTAGTTAAACGACTTATTATTTCTAAATTATTTTAATATTATACTTATTCAATTTTTATATACTATTTTTAAAATAAAAAATTATAATACCATGTCTAACCTGTGTACATGTCTTATATTTTTAATAATTGACGTGTCACTTGTTTGTGTCGTATCATATTCGTGTCGCTGTGTCCGTGTTTGTGCATCATAGGATACCACCCTAGTTTGCCCATGTTAACCTAAAAGGTACATTCCATTAAATCTTTTTTTTTTTAAAATAGCCCTTAAAGAGTTAAAGTTCACCTTTATAATGAAAATAATCTTCCCCACAATCCCAATCTTTAGTTTCAACTTATGTTAATTATCTCTTGCCAATCTTGAAACTATTTTATTATTGCTCATATGTTTGTCTTTGAATTAGAAGCATCAAATTCACTTCCATTACTTATTTTCCATTTTTAGCAAAGTAGATGTATCATCATCATCATGGAAAAATAGTTTTGGGTTTGTTTTTAAATCCTCATTCTCCATTTGTCCCACCACTGAATGCTATATTAGATATTAAACCCTTTTATAGAAATATTTATGCATCTATTTCTTTGGAGTCAACATAGGAAATGCTAGATCCTTAGGCATATTGGAGGAAAAATAATGCTAGACAAGCAAAGAAGCCCATCATGAAATCAATGATTAAAGCCCAAATTTTATAACAATTAGCTGTAATTTATTTTATTTATTTTTCATTTTAAATTGAGGCGTCGATCATTTGAGTTCGGGAGAAATATTTGGAATGAAAAACGTATTTTGAAACCATATCAATTAGCCCAAATTAAGGATTCAAGAGAAACACTCAAAGATTTGTTGTGTCATTATTAGTTTCTAAATAGGGAGAGAGCTTGAGAGCCTAACCTATATAGCTCTTGGACGAATTTTGTTGGAGAGGTTTTGGTGTATTTCCTTATGTGTTTCTCTCATTTTTTTACATCACTGCATGTATTATTTATATCTTATATCTTCAATGAAAAAAATTTCTTTGATCTCTTATAAAATTTGTGTCTGCATGGTGTTGGTGTGATGCAATCTTTTGGATTGATTTATGAATTATAGTTAATATTTGCAAACCTTAACATTCATCACCCCCTCTAAACTTGTTCTCCCACATCTCCACCATCTTCCTAAGAGCTCAAACTCACTCGGGCTATTAAAAATTTGAGCCATATTCCTCTCACCAAATATCAATCAGGCAATCATTTTATTCATCTATTGTGCCCAATTCATAAAGAGAATTCAAAACTTCCCAAACACTCATCCAATCAACCTAAAATCACCACTATTAGTTAGTTAACATTCTAAAATTTAGATTTTGATTTCTCTATACTTATCTGCCTAAGAAAATCCAACCATTCACTACGATAAAAGTTTCAATGAGACACCTGTCCTAAAGCCCTAAAACTACTCACTATTTTCTTCGCCTTTCACGAACCCTAAACTTTCCATCTCCACTCTATTAACCCTTGAAACCATTTAGAGGAATAAGATGACTGAAACATATTAGCTATGCGTACATTTTAAGTCTCAAACTCAAGCCAGTGTCAACAAGGTAATGGGTCAACACCATATGCAATCTTTGAGAGGATAAGGTAGAGTTGCAAATAGGAACCAAAGCTTCAAATGAAATGAGGGTAAATTGAGGATCATAAAATTTCTTGATACAATATTTAATGAAGCATCAAATCAAATTTTAGTAAACAATACTTGTTAAATTATATGTTTGAAGCACTCTTTGTAGATTAATGAGGATCCTTGTTACATCACTCCAACATTGTATTAGCATATTATTATGTTTGTTAGCAATGCTAAGTGGTGATTCTATTTTTTTTCAATCTACTTTGGAAGTGTATAGTTTTGCGTGTTTACCAATGTTGATCAATATTTCTAGTCTAAGAATTGCTTGATAGGTAATGGTTTAGATAATATAATAATGACAACCGGGGGTTACATCTTAATGTTTGGCCATAAGAATCTTTTCCACACGAAGTACTCCCATCTTTAAAAAAAAGTTACTTTAGGAGAGCAATAACAACTACTTTGAATAAGAGACCATTAGGGATGTTCTAATCTATGCTAACAATAGAGGAATGCTTGTCAATATAGCACAAATTTTTGTAGAATCTCATCCATGACTTCTACTCCATTGATGCTTAATTCCAATATGAAAATTCTCATAAAATTTATTAAAGAAAAAAAAAAAACCCTAAAGAAACAATCACAAATGCTATTTTCATCATTAATAGTGTGTGGATTACTCATCTATGAAGCATAAACTTGACTAAAATCATAACTTGAAGGTTAGCCATGTGGTTGAGGCTGAGAACCATAAAAGTAGCCTCATTGGGGGAAATTAATACACATAAAGCATCATATTCTAAACCAAAAAATAAGATGAGTTTGAAAAAATTAATAGAAGGTCAAGATTAAAAAAGAGAAAAAAATAATGAAGGTCTATTCATGAACGATGAAAACGAGCATTTACAAGTTGGGATCAAAATTGCAATAATAACAAGCATTTCACATCAAGAACATCTTTTTACAATTAAAGATGATCGTAGCAATGAATAAGATGGTTATTATCAATCAAGAAGATGTATGCATGAAGATTGACTGTGTTTAGAAATTGATTGAGATTGTAATACTCAACAAAGACTTTTTACAAATTCAAACAAGTTATAGTTGATGCAAAATATGGAAGATGAAAAGGCAACCTTCTAGATGTTTGACTGTATGAGTCCTTCCTCCATGAAAGTATTCTTAACTTATGAAAATCTGAAAAAAGTTACTTTAGGTGAAGATTGATAGCTATATTGAATAAGAAACCATTAAAATGCTATAATCTATGTTTGGTTAGGGGTGGAGGGACTCTTGTCAATGTAGCTTATAGCTTGGTAGAATATCATCCAAATGATTTTCCATTCCGCCTGTATTTAATTCCCATGTCAGAAAATCTCATAATGATATATTAGGAATACATACGATGCTACCTTGATAAAGAAACCATCACAAATGCAATGATCCACATCAGTTGAAGGAGGATTGCTTCTCTATGAACCATAAACCTCATTAAAATCTTGAGATGGGGTTATTAGCCATGTGGTTAACATTGAAAATTATAAATGAGTATTTATGGAGGAAATTAGATATCAGAAAGAAGTTCATAATCTAAATGGGAAAGAAATGCAAGTTTGAAAAGGAAATAGGAGGATGAGATTGATTTAGTTTAGAAAACCAATTAAATTGCATTATTCACTTAAAGTTTTGTTGAATTCAAAAGTTGTAGATGACAATCTATGGAAGGGAAAGATGCAGTCCCATGTCAGAAGTATTAAGACTAAAGATCAAGGGTGAAAGTTTTAGTATTTTTGTAAATCCTTTTGCTGAGTGTATTCAAGATACAGAAAATGCACAAACTGGGGTTTTTTTAATTTATTTGCTGTAGATTTTTTTATTTAATTAAATTAATTTAGATGTTCATGATTATTTATTTATCAACTTTCTTGACGTATCAGGTTTGAGTTATAAGTTCTACATAATTTGTAATTACTTTTCTCATGAATAATGGAGGATGGAATGAGAAGTTGAGTTGTAGCTTTCTTCAATAAAAAATAGAATGCGGAGGGTTTTTCTCTTTCTTAGAGTTATTCCAAAATATATAGATGCATTTTTCTATTATATTTTTTTCCTCTTTGGAGTGTATCCAATAAGCCTCACTAGATCCTACATTTAAATTTCTTCAACAACATCCCCCCCCCACCCTAATCACCCACACTACCGTCATCATGTATCACATTGCTCAAATGGATTGTTCCAACTTTTAATTGAGATTTCCTTGATTGCCGGTTACAGTTGGCATGGTACATTATTAGAACGCCTGGATGGATTAAAGAGAACCTACTCATCCCTTTGATATGTTTTTCCTGACAAAATAGTACTGTTATTTTATTCTTGTAACTAATTCAAGGATAATATTGATCATAAAGATAACCTGGATGCCTTTGTGGGCAGAAAGTTTATTTAAAACTATACCATTTGAGAAATTAATACTGGAGCTAGCATTTTACTAAAGAAAAGGTCTGGGTGGTTCTCCTTCCTTCATCATTCAAAGAAGCCACCTTGATTCCCTTGTGTGGCCTCTATAACTTTTTTTAAATCTAAAATTACTACAACCACACTTGCCATTTTGGAAAATCCTTGCTGCAAATTATAATATTGCAAATTATTGCAAAGGATAGCATTGCAAGTTATACTGATTTAGGTTTCTATGGTATTTGCCAAACTCATTAATGATCTTCTTGAGCAAAAACACTTGTTGCTTATTGGCCAAATATGGCCCTCAAAACTCTGTGTGGTGTTATTATCCTTTTGTTATGATTACTTTGATAGTGGTTTGTGCTTCATTGTGACTTCTAGGTTGTGGATTTGAATATGAAAAGCAGTTCTCTGTAGCATAGGACAGGGCTTTGCACATTAACCCTTACTAAGTCTGCATGGTGAGAACCTCATGCGCTCAGTATGTCTGTATGTCATTTTTTTTATTGAGAAGTTAACGCTAGGAATGCTTCACTCCATCCTTTTGCTACTTAACAAGAGAAAATAGCCGTGGCATTTTAAACATTGTTTATGTACCAGTTATATTTAAAACATTCTCTTGAACTTATGTTAGAGTTATTCTTATCAACATGTTTTGAAATGCCTTTATTTTGTCGCTAGTACACAATGAAATGTGACTATCCTCTGCTCTTCTGTATTCTTGTGGAATATCTCAATGAATGTGCATTGATTATTAATTTAGACATGCAATTGCTCTTCTACTTTCGTCTGCTGGTTTGTGATTCTTAGTTTTATTTTCATTTATAATTAATTAAATCTGGTCTAAAATCTTATTGTTTACATTGGCAGAATGGCTAATCTGTTATAATTTTCTAACAGATGACAACAGCTGTGGCAATTGAAGATGTTCGTAGGGAGGTGAAAATACTGAAAGCTCTGTCTGGGCATAAAAACCTTGTCAAATTTTACGATGCATGTGAGGATGCCCTTAATGTCTACATAGTAATGGAGTATGTCCTCTTTTCAACAGTAGCTTATTAGCTGCATGCTGTTTCGCATGCCAAACATCATGTTTTACATTTTTACATTTGTCAAGCCTGTGGTCATAATGGAGTTTGCATTCCTTTTGTTTTAATGTTCAGGCATTTTTTATCCTATTCCTTTTATTATCAATCGAACTGACATGGCTACCTGTGGCTTTATCATGATATGTATTGTTTAGAGTTTTTATGGTTTTTTTTTTTTGGTGTCAGACTACCTCTTCTCCAACAACATTGGTTCTAACCACATAATTTGTTTTTGCTGCTACTGGTACTGTTAGCTGACCAATACTTTATTAAATAGTTAAAAAAAGTGATGGCAAAGTGTGATGAATGCAAATGAGATGTAAATATGGAGATGATATGGGGTGACTAATGAGGTAAATGTGGATTGATATATACAAGGAGGTGTGGGAATGACTTTACAAAAGAGAGTGACTTTCCAAATGAGGTAAATATGGATTGTTAATATGTAGCGACCAAAAGAGAGTGACTTTTCAAGATTGGCCAAGAGACACCCTAAGTTAAAATATTTTTCTAGCATGGGAAGGGCTCGAACAAGTCAGGAATGAGGTGCAATGAAGGTGTGAGAATGCGGTGGGATGAATACTGAAGTGAGAAGGGATGTGTGCGAGGTTGTGGATGTTATGGAGAGGGGGTAAGGTTGGGGAATTTTAACCGGAGGGGGGTATAAGGCTCACTTGGGGGAGCTTACCCCGAGGGGGATAAGGTTGGGTTCCATGGGATGGTGTAACCATAGCCTTAGCCCTTAGGGACCTTTTTATTATTTTCTATAACTTTTCTTGTGAAGATGGAGATGGTGAGATGGAGGAGTTATTAGATAGAGTGGAGTGGAAGATAGAGTATGGAGTTGCTATGGTGAGCTTTCAAGCTACAATGGCCATGGAAACAAGAATGGCAATCCTTGACCTTGTGAAAGAATGATCATCCTCTATTGGCGGTGGAACAAGGATTTGCATACATAAAAAATATTAAAAACATAATTATAAGATTTCTCATCAAATAAATCATATAATCATGCCATGAAAGCCTCCATGGACCATTCACCACCAAGTAAAAGGAGGGGAACCCAATTTGGGATAAAACAATACTAAAATAATTTTTTTTTTATTCATTTTCATCATCTTTGGAGCATAGGTTGCGGCGTGATACTAATGTTATGGAGCGTAGGTTGCGGCGTGATACTAATGTTTCTCAAAATCAATTTGATTCATGCCGGGTAGGTCTACTATGGAAGCCATACATTTATTGAGAGGTTTGATGGAGAAATTTAGAGAGAATAAGGAGGATCTACATATGATATTTATTGATTTAGAGAAAGATATGTAAAGTTCCAAGAAAAGTGTTACGGAGAGTTCTTGAAAAGAAAGGAGTTAATAATGCTTATATTCAAATCATTAAAGATATGTATGCATGAGCTATTACTTGTGTTCAAACACAAGGTGGCTTGCCAAGTATTTTCCTATTTTGGTTGGATTACATTAAGGATCAGCCTTAAGTACATATCTTTTTGCTTTTGTCATGGATGTTCTCACTAGACATTTGCAAGAGGATGTACCTAGTGCATGCTTTTTGCTTATGATATTCTTCTTGAGTTCTTGTTGATAAGACTAGAGAGAGAGTTGAAGCTAAACTTGAATTATGGAGGTCAACTTTAGAGTCTAAAGGTTTTCTCTTGAGTATATCTAAAATTGAATATATGGAGTGTAATTTTAGTAGCAATAGACCTAGTGAGGGGATTATGACTTTGGGTGATCAAGTCATTAATAAGAGTACACGGTTTAGATATCTTAGATCTATTGTTCAGAATGATGGTGAAATTGATGGGGATATTATTAACAGAATTCAAGTTGGATGGTTGAAGTGGAAGAGTGCATCGGGCTTATTGTGCGATAGAAAAGTCCCCTTCAAACTTAAGGAAAAATTCTATAAGATGGTGGTGAGACCTGCAATGCTTTATGGTGCCGAATGTTGGCCATTAAAAGAGAAGCATAATGCTAAGTTAAGTGTTGCAGAGATGAGGATGCCCTTAGAGATAGGATACGAAATGAGCATCTACATGAAAAGGTTGGAGTAGCTCTAGTGGAAGATAAGATTAGAGAGAGTCCCCTTAGATGGTTTGGTCACATTAAACAGAGGCCGTCCGATGACCCGGTTAGGAAAGTTGAGGTATTAGATTTGACTTATGTTAAGAAAGGTAGAGGAAGACCTAAAAAGACTTGGTTAGAAAATACCTTTCTTTTTTAGATTTAAATGAGACTTTGACTTTTTATCGGACGCAATGGCAAAAAAGGATTCATGTAGCCGACCCCACATAGTGGGACAAAGGCTTGATGTTGTTGTTATTGTTGTCTTTTTCATCATCTTTATGCTTACACAAAAATTCAAAGCAGCAAGAAGATATAGACTTAATTTCAAATTTCAATATTCAAATTCAAACTGAAGAGGGACAATTTCAAGTGTTAGAGGAGCAGTTTGAAGTGGAGGTAGTTTTGCATGAAGTGGTGCCTTGATTCGTGGAGCAATTGGGGTAGGTGGCAGTTAGAGAGCTTCTAGCACTTCAATCATGTTCTTTTTGGATGTGTCTTGCACGGGGAAATTGGGGTTGGGCGTGTCTTGTGTGGTACTGCTTCGAGGGATCTATTTGAACTTAATTGCATGGAAAACCCGACCACATGCTTTACACTTGTACCTTGAATCACATTTTATGCATATGACTTTCCCTTGACTTGTATGAGGCTGGCCTCATATTGATGATCAATGAACCACTCCTAGTAGTTTCTACCTTTCTTTTTAAGTTTCAAGGTTGCAACCATTACAAGAACTATTAAAATAAAGAAGAATAACAAACATTTCATTCATTCCCCTTAATGTGTTGCATCTTATCTTGCATGGATTGATGTGCCAATCTTCACTCACAACCCTTGATTTATTTATTGAAGAATGAATGCATGATCTTCCAATGCGACCCTTGATAATCTTATGCATGGTTTTGAAAATCAGATCGGACTAACTGATTCAACTGTGGACTCAGTCATATGGTCAGTCCGATCCATCATAAAAATTAGCCATACTTCTAATCGGTATAAATCCGTTAGAATCGCCTATTCGATTAGCAAATTGTTGAACTAGTTCTAATTTCTTAGAATCAGCCTGTTCAATTACTATCCATTATTAAATAAATTAATTTAATACATTTTGTATAAAATATTAAACTTAATAAATTAATTCAGATTTAATATATTTAATTTTATAATGAGTATTAAATTCCTATAAAAATCATTTTTCAAGCAAGAAACAACCAGTCATTTTTAGTTTTTTACGTTGTCCCAACACAATATGCTAGTTTCTTACACATGCATAAAACCAAAAATGCTATATAAATCATACTAAACAAAGTTCTCAATTAATGTGAGACTAAAAAACTAAGTTGAATTTCTCAAGTTTACAACCTACGCATTACATATTTTTTGAATAATATTTATTTTTAGTTAATAATAATTTATTTATTTATACACTACAAAATAATAATTTTTATATATTTATTAATGATAAATTATTTTTCATAAATAATTTATAAATATAAATTTGGTACAGATGTGAATTATATCTAAGAATATAATATAAATTAATAATAATTTATATTAAATTTATAAATTGATATTTGAATTAAATTTATCTTAACTATGAATCAAATTTAAAATTTGAATGTGTTTAAACTTAAAATTATAAAAACTATTATTTAAGTATTCTTTTTTTATAATTTTATGATTCTTATCTTATTTAGATAATATTTAAATAATATTAATATTTATTACCTTATTAGGTTCAACCCCCATCAAATTAGTCAACCTTGAACCTCTTCCTCTTCTAGTTTAATATGTGGTCCGATTTTCACAATATTGCTAATACTAATTAAAAAACTAATCAACACCTAATCTCATTTTGTCATGCCACTCGGTCATATTATTTATTTTTATGTAGCTAGTATTAAAGTTAGCTAATCAACAAAAATAGGAAAATTTGAAACTAGCCCCCAAACTATTTGTTTATGGTTAATTTGGTCTCATAGTATCTCTTTGCCCTAATTTGGTCCCTCGATAATATAAAATTGATCCAAAATAGTCCCTCATATTATAATTGTGATATAAATTTGATCTCAATTCAATCCCAAAAAGATCATTTTGGGATAAATTTTTTATTGTCGAGAGACTAAATTGAAGTAAGGTTATACCCCGGGACTAAAATGACCATATACAAAGGTCCCGTACAAAAATGATTGAAATCAATCAGGCTATAATCCCACTACATGGGGTCGGCCTCATGAATCGTTTTTCTCATTTGTGTTATATTAAGAGTCAAATTCTTGTCTAAATCTAATATAAAAAAGTTTTTTTTTCTAACCAAGTATTTTAAGTGAGTATGTATTTTTTATTTTATGGAGTTATTTATGCATTAGGTGTATGTTTGCTAAGCAACTGAACACGCTAATAAGGGGGCAGAGAAATTAAACACTTGAATTTTTTAGATTATCATATTGTACGATCTATATTATACTGTATAATCTATTCAATAAGAAATTAATTCAAATATTTAATTAAATCAAATTAATTAAAATTAACATATAACTAATTATGCTCTAAAAATCACCAA